GGGGGGGGGGGGGAGGATGGATGGGGGATGGGCGGATGGCGTCGTGGTTGTGCCAGTGTGGGAGGAGATGGTGCATTGGGTACGGCACGACGACGGGACACGGCACAAGACGGCGATCGACCGCGGGCATGGACCAGAGTGTTGTGGCGGTAGCGGGTTGATGCAGCTGATAGCTGGCAGCTGGTAGCTGGCAGGGAGAAAAAGAAGAGAGCGCGCACTACATGATGATGAACGGCATGGTCTTGGAGCCGTAGCCCTCGCCGGGCTGAAGCGGCGGGAGGCCGACCTTGCCGCATTGCGAGCAGGGGATTGTAGTGGTGACACCGGGGGTGTATGGCGTTCTGTTCCCACACTTGCGGCACTCGTACATCGGGCCTGTAGGAGCCTGCGGCGCCGGAGAGCTTGTGCCTGGAACCGCCATGACAGTCGCGCAGACCGAGCACTGCATCTGCGCCGCGCCCTGCGGAACAGACAGATGGGTGGCGCAAGATGGGCAAGCAACCACAGCAGGTGGAGCAGCAGTGGCCGAGTATGGTGGCGGCGCTCAGCAGCGTAATGCGGATTGGTCAGATGGATACCGCACGAGGGACAGGCAACGATCTTGGCCTCGGAGCCAGCGGCCAAGATCGTCTTGCACTCGGCGCATTGCAGCGTTTGCGAGGCGGCCGACATGAGAGCAAACAGGTTGGAAAGGCTTCGGCTTTGGCTTTCAGGCAGACAAGGTAGAATGAGACTCCCTACACCGTTTGTGACGTCAAGTGGTCTGGCGTAAGTACGTATGTGCGTGTGTAACTGTGGCTGTAGCCAGGTCTAGACTACGATGACATTCGTGCTCTCCTCGAAGAGACAGGCTCACCGTGCCATGGAACATGGAAGACATCAGAGTCGGTCAATGCCAATGCCAATGCCAATGCGCCAATGTTCACCAACAGCCACACAGATCAGCACATGCCAAGCCAAGGCAGACCACGACAGGCCAAGCCAGGGCCAAGCCAGGGCCTAGCCACAGCCAACTGACTAACCCGCTGTCAACAACGATCTTAGTCTCTCCCTCTCCCCTCGACCGACTACACATGGCCCTGCTCCATGTCCTCCCGCCAGAACTCGTCCATGCCATCGCATATGATGCTGCCGTCCTGACTGCCTCGGACATTGTGGCTCTTGCTTGTACATGCTCCCGGCTCCATGCAGCCCTGCTCGGCTCTCCCTTCTCGGCGGCTCGCGCTCACGCTCTCGCGGGCATCGATGTGTGCATCAGACGCAAGCTGTGGTACGGCGCGCACCGCATCGTTGCTGCTCCTGCTCCTGCTGTTGACCCACACCGCTCCGAGTCGGATCCTCTGGCCCGCACCGGCGGCCTCGCTGCCATCTTTGATGCCGCTGACCCGCTTTGTCGTGGGTGGCGCAAGCTCGTCGCCGCGCTTCTTGACGTCAACGCCACAACACGCCCGCTACGTTTCGGCTCGCGCCGGACCGACACCTACGTCGCCATGCAGGTTGATCGCTCGGTCGGCGTCCTTGCCTGGTCCTGCGGCCGCGATCTGCCTGACCTCGCCCTTGAGCTCATTACCGCCCACAAGAGCCTCTCTCCCGGTGCTGCCAGGCAGGCTGGCCTTGTTGCTGCCCTCAAAGATCAACTCGAGGTCCTAAAACTCCTCATCGTCCGTGGCGACTTTGACCTGTGCGCGCTCGGCGACACCGCCCTCCGCATCGCCGCCCGTTTTGGCGCCGTCCGCACCTTTGAGTACTTGCTGGCGTCGCCCGAGGCAGATCCCACCGCCGGCGGCAACTACGCCCTACACATGGCTGCCGAGTTTGGCTACCTTGCCATCATTCAAAGCCTGCTGGGCGATTCCCGGGTCGACCTCGCGGCCGCCCATCCTGTCCACGCCGTCAAGGCCGCCGCGGAGAGCAACCACCTCGACATTGTCAAGCTCTTGCTCGCCCATCCGGATGTCGACACAACCGCCGCAGCCTCCGCCGCCCTCCTTGCCGCTTCCGAGTTTGGCCACGCCGACGTCCTCGCCTACCTCCTCACCCACACCGATGCCAACCCGTCGATCCGAAACTCGTCGGCGCTGTACATGGCGGCGCAGTCCGGCTCGGTCGCCGCCGTCGTCCTCCTTCTCGATGACGCCCGCGTCGACCCAGACGCGGGCCACAACGCCGCCCTCTTTTGGGCTAGCTACCACGGCCATGTCGACGTTGTCACAACCATGCTGGCACACCCACGCGTCGATCCGTCGCTCGATCCAGGCCCGCTCACTACCGCCCGCCGCGCAGGTCACCTCCACATCGTCCACCTCCTCGCTGCTGCGGGCTGTCCCGAGTAGCGAGAAAGAGTACATGTCATTTATCCCGTAGGCGCCGCACAGCAGTTATCTGCTACGCCGCCATCCATACGCCGGCCAGCCGTTCATGCTCCTTGCGGAGAACCATGGCCTCGCTCGGCAGCCGTGCACCCGCAGCCTGCACCGCCTTGGCCGCCGAGCTCGCCACGCTTGCTGCGCCCTTCCGGTCGCCAATTTTGGCCACGGCCTCGGCAATGAGGTTAGACGCCGCCACAAGGACCCGCGCCGAGTGCGCGCGCTTGATCATGGTCTTGAGCGCCGCCACAAACGCAGCCGCACGGGGTGCGCTAGAGGTGCACACATCGACAACCATGCCTACCACACCGTCGATCTCGGCCTCGTCGCTCTTGCCTAGCCGGAGCCCGGCAAGCTCCTCAAAGTGCGCAGCTTTGAGCGCCAGCGCCACCGCCGTCCCCGAGTTCTCGTCGCCTCCGCTCAGCGGAAGCTCGTCGAGCACAGACCCGCCGCTCGCCGTGGTCTTGGCGCTCACCGCCAGCGCGTGCCGCGCGAGCAGCGGCACCACAACCTGCAGCTGCCGATGCTTCTCGTACAGTGCCAGCACAGACTTGAGCGGCGCCGCCAGAATGCCCACGTACTTGCTCGGTGCCGCTGCCACCAGCTCGCCCGTCAGCCGCAGCGCTGCGTCGACGTCGGCGCATGCCTCAAACTCCTGGAACAACACCCGCCCCGCTGCCTTGGTTGCCCGTCGCGCAAGCTTAGGTGGCGCAGACTGCATCACCACCACCAGCGCTCCGCTCAAGCTCGTCGCAAACCCGCCGGTTCGCATCCCGATCGCCAGCGCGTCGGCCGCAATGCTCAGCACGCCGTTCACGTACTGGAGCGCAATGTCGATGCCCGAGCCGGCCTTTCCGCTCGGCCGCTTGCGCCCACCCGATGCTCGCTCGCGCTCCGCAGACGCCAGCGACGCCAGCGCAGGGCCAATCTCAGTCTGCACCGCAGTCACCGCGTCGACAACCTCGCCCGGTGGTGCCCGGCTTGCCCCACGGTACGCCTGCTTGTGCAGCGCAAGCCGGAGACCAGTAAGTGCAGCTCGGACGCAGAACGCGTCCGAGCCGGGATCTTCGTCCGCCGCACCCTCTTCGTCCGCAAATACCGTGTTGAGCGCCGCAGCTGCCGCAGATGCACCCGGTGCCGCAGCCTCGAGCGTGAGTGCGTGCACAAGCCGCGCCTCCAGGCCCTCGCCGTACGCCGCGGTCGCGCCCGTCAGCCGCATCACATGCCCCAAGTGCTCCGGCTGAGCAAGCACAGACCGGAGGTGTGCGTCCTTGAACATAAACTCGACAACGTCGAGCGCAAACCCAGCGCTCATCTCCCCCGTCTTGCCAGAGCTCGACGGGCCCTCGCCGCCCAACGTCCGTGCTTTTTTGCGCGCACCGGCCCGGCTAGAGCTCGTCCGGCCGCGCACAAGCGCCGACGCGAGGCCATCGACGACAAGGTCAAGCTTTCCCCACTCGACGAGGCAGAGCAGATGCGGCGCCCACTCGGACGATGACTGCCCAGCAATACCGCCCGTAAGCGCACCGAGGCAGTACTTGGCCAAATCCGCCAGCTGCGAGTCTGGCAGCGATGACGCCAGCGCCAGCACCGCGCCAACTGCGCCACTCGACACTTGGCGGGCCCACTCCATGATGCTGACCACCGTCGCCGGCGGAAGCAGACTGTTGAGCCGTATCACAAGCGGCGCAAACACGGGCTTGGCCAGCGACTTGCTGATCGACGACCGCAGCGCGCCGAGAACCACAATCAGCCCGCCAATCACCGCCGTCTCGTCGGTCGAGAGCAGCTCGATCGCGCGCGCCACGCCCTCGCCGCTCTTCTCGGCCTCGAGCAACTTCCGCCGCTTGATCGACCGTGCAGCCTCGTCGCCATCATCGCTCAGCTCGAGCTCCACGCCCTCCACTGACGACGCAAAGATGTCGGCGTGTCCGCCCGACGCACGGGTCGAAATGGTGGCCGGATGCGGGGCACACACCCGCGCGGCTGCCACCGCCTTGTCCACAAGCGCGCCGAGATCCTCAATGAGACACGCCACGTCCGAGACCGAAATCGGGCCGGCCTTGTGGGCGTGGCGGTAAAAGTTGAGCGCTGCAACTGGGTTCTGGCGGACAAAGACAATGACACGCTGGACCACATGCGTTGCTGCGCTCGCACTCGTGTTCGCCGTCGGAAAGTATGTCGCTGCCAGCAGCCGCACCAGCTTGCGGCACATCTTGTCGCTGTCGACCGCCAGCCGTGCGAGCAGCGACTCGACCGGCACCACCTCCCAGAACTTGATTGACCGCAGCGTCTTGACGCTCAGCAGCAGGTCTGCAAACGCACCGCGGACCTTGTCCGACACGTCGTCAAGCAGCGGTGACAGCCGCGACAGCACTGCCTTGAGCATCGGATGCGAGAGGTGATTGTCGAGGACAAAGCTCAGGCCCTCGCAAACGGCCACCCGCACCGCCGGCGAGCTCGCATCAAACGCGAGCTCGCCCACCAGCTTCTTGAGGAACGCCTGGATCTGAATCCGCGGAAGCAAGTCCCAGAACAGCGAGAGCACCCGCGACACACCGTGGATGCCCACCACCCGCACGCCAACAGCCTCGTCGTCCAGCAGGCACCCGAGCGCCTCAAACTGCCGCGCCATGTTAGCCTCGGTCTCCACCTGGCTCGCCGCAGGCGACTGCAGCGGAAAGGCCTCCACAAACAGCGCCGCCGCGTTGCACCGCACCTCGGGCGACGCAGCTTTGAGCGCCCGCCACAGAATCGGCTCGTACAGCCGAAGCAGCAGGTCGTCGACACCCGGATATCGCTTGCGCTCGTGGAACGCTCCAAGCACCGCCCGCAGTGCCGCAGCGAGGCCCTTGGACGACGCGTGCACGCCCGCGCTCATCAGCTCCTGCACAAAGTTGTACTCGATCGCGTCACGCGACGCCGCGCCCGCCGTCTTCCATGCCTTAAAGTACACCTCGCCGTACGAGTTGAGCATCTTGAGCTTGGCCATCGGCATCTGGCCCTTCATGGTCACGTGCATCTCGCTGGCAAACGGGCCCGAGAGGTTGAACATGTGCGCCAGGAACTTGATGCCAGCCGCCGCGCCCAGGAACAGCGGTGAGAAGAGCGTCCGCAAAATGAGGTCCTTGATCGACTCGGTCGACTCGTGCTCAAAGTCGAGGAGCTCAAACGCCGTCCGCATCGCCGCCACCCGCTTGACATCGCCCGGCGTCCCGCCCGGGGACAGGCCCCGCACAAGCAGGTAGCACAGTGTCTGCGGGACCAGCGCCTCGCGCCCCGGCTTGGCATGCGTCCACCAGGTCTCGCAGAACAGTGCAATCTCGTTCTTGAGCGCGTCGCCGTCCAGCGTGTTAGGCAGAACAAGGATGATGTCGTGGAGGAGCGACGCGACGGCAAACATCGACTTGGATGCCTTCCGCGCCTCGTCTGCCAACACCCGCTGCATCACAAAGGCGACGCCACTCAGCACCCGTAGCGGCTCGCCATCGTCACCTGAGTTCACGTGGGCACCCGACGAGACAATGTCCTCGGCCGTCGTCCGGAGGACGTGCCACATGTGCCGGAGGAACTTGTAGTCTGCCACCTCCAGCTCGGCATCCACATCGAGCTCGCCGCTCTTCTACTCTCACAACCATTACTCCTCCTGACCCGTGAGTCCGCACCCGTGTCGTGTATGTTCTCTTCCGCGCCCTGCCGCCGCCCGTCTCTCGCCCTGTCACCACTCCCCGCTTGGCCTTCCATCGGCACCATTTGGCGCCAAAACGCCACCCCACCTCCACCCGCCATCCCACAGGCACAGGCAAGGCTCAATTTGGCATTGACACCGCACGTACATGCAGCAGAGGGATTTGAGCTACCCCTTCGTCGGACTCGAGCAGCTCTCGGAGCAACATAGTGTGCGTGTGAGAGCTGTGTTTGGCGTAGTGACGCTTGGGGTGCGGGTGCGGTGAGCGAGCAGCGGCCGGAGGCTCGGCGGCCCACGCCGGGTTTGGTCTTGCTTCAATTCAAATACGGCCATGGCTACGAAAACGGCTGATGAGCGGTGAGACGGAACGAGCCGATGTCGGTGACGACGGCCGAGCCCGAGATGCCAGAGCTGGCATCAGCGTCTGGGCTAGAGTGTGGCGAGCTGGGGATAGCAATGCTAGCCGAGATCGAGGCCGACGGCGCCGCACCGCAGTCGAGCGAGAGGAGGAGCGAGGAGACGAGATCGCCCTTGGAAAAAGAGGACGACGAGGTAAAGACGACATGCGCCGGCTGATAAGCCGCAACCTCGAGATGCTGCGGCGACCATGAGCCATCAAGCGAGGCAGCACAATGGACGATGCCCGGCACGTCGGCGACGACAAAGACCAGCGCCGAATGCGCTCCCGAGCGCGGAAACGGGCTGCCGTCGGCGGCGTGGATGGCTACAAAGTCAACTCGCGGCTCGTTGCCTGGCGGCAAAATGTGCATGGCCTGCATGTGCGCTGCAAGGCGGCGGAGTGACGAGACGGCAAATCCGCCACACACCAACCGCGGACAGATAAACTTGACGCCCTCGCCCGAGTTGTCGCGGACAGAGGCGTAGAGGCTGGCAACCCTCGGCGGGAACGGCGCCTCCTGCATTGGTGCAGTGCCCATCGGTGATGGGCTCTGGACCGGCGGACCGGCCCGTGAGAACGAGTCGCCGCCGCCGGCTGCAGGCCCAATGTACACAGACGGCTTGCGCGCCGCAATGATCTTGGCCTGCTCCGCAGACGCCGATGGCGAAAGAAACGTGTAGAAGAGCTCGTCCGCCCGAAACGGGTGGTCGTCAACAACGTGCCGGAAGACTCGCCGGTGGAAGAGCTCGTTGCCAAGCAAGACGGCAGCCTCGAGTGTGGGGTAAAAGCCCTGCTTGAGGAGCCAAGCGTACAGCCACTCGGCAGCCTCTGATCCGACAAACACGTCGTTGTAAGCCCGCAGCAGGTACCGCTTGCGCTTGTAGACCTTGACCCCGGCGCGAAACTGCTTCTCCAGCAGCTTGAGGTCCAAGTCCATCTCGACTAGAGACTGGACCGAGCCGTCGAGAATGTCCTCGACCCGACCTGCGGCGACCAGATCGCCGTCGAGCGGCATGGTCCACACCGACGCGATGTCAGCGCATGGGCTGTCGGCACCGTGGCGCTCCTCCAGCTGCGCTTCCGGCTGCCGCGGTGAAGCACTCGCTCGGTAGTGTGCCACTCGCTCGTCCCACCCGTCTAGAAGCGGTGTGAGGGCCAGCAGGGTCGAGCGATAGAACTCGAGCGAGTCGGTAAACTCGTGCTTAAACGAGACGTGGTGGATGACGCCGGCTTCCAGCAGCCGCTGTCCGATGGCGACGCCCTGCAATCGAGTGTTGACCACTCCGCGTGCCACAAGCGCCGTCACGGCCTCGCCGGCCACAAAGACGTGCGAGAGCATGCCCTGTCCAGGCACCTTGCGCTGCGACACATAGATGGCGCTCTCAAACAAGTGCAAATGGGTCTCGAGCTCGGTCGAGAGGGTCAGCGGAAGCGCGAGAAACGGCCGCGTGCATGGCATCTCCGATGGCAGTGGAGAGCCAAGCGCGCCCGTGCCCGGCGACGACGCCACCTGAGCCTCGGTGATCAGCACCGCACGCTCGCGCGCCGCCACCTGCGCATCGTACCCCGCCTCGTACTCGGGAACCTCGTCGCCGTACTCGCCAGCATCGTCACGGTAGCGGAAAAACAGGCGCTTGTCCTTGAACATGTGCTCGCGGGTGACGTGATAGAAAGCTCCGGCATCAAAGAGTCGCTCCGCGAGCCGGAGCGCCGCCGGCCTTGACGGGAGTGCACCCGAGCGTACCAACGCATCCAGCGCTTCGGACGCCACAAACACCCCGTGGTACGTTCGCAGACGATACTTTCGCGACGAGACGGGAACGAGCGCCCGAAAGAGCGAGAGCAGAAGCGCGAGCGACGAGACGTACGATCGCAGCGCCTCCCGCCCCGACCCGTACACCGAAGATGTCGACGACATGCCTGCGCCTACGCTCACGCTCTGCCCATCAGGCCTGACATCAACTTCGACTTCCAGCGCGCTCTCGCCCGCCGCAAGACAGCGCTCCGGAGCGACTACGCTGGCTTCGGCCTCCGCCTCTGCCGCCGGCGGAGGTCCGTGGCTGAACGACAGCACGACACCAGCGGACGGCACCGACGAAGTGGCAAACGGAACCGCGTTTGACTCGCGCACAGACGATGCGGAAGCTACAGTTGCACACGGTGAGACCGGTGCCGAGTGCGAGCCCGAAGCATGCGGGTGCGGGACCGCCGACGTGGTGGTCATGTACGGCAGCGTCCGTGTGCGGGACGAGGCCGAGGCCAGGGCCTGAGGCGTCTCGGTCTCTGTGAGGGTAGCAAGAGCAAAGGCCAAAGCCCGGGACGGACTCGTTTGCTTTCCCATCTCCGTCTCCCCTCTCGTTGCCATGTGGCCACACGAGGTACGACAGGTGGTGTCATACCCGGGCCTGGTTTTGTGGCAGACTGCCGGAGACCGCTCAGAACGTTCGACTCGAAGGAGTGTGTCGGAAAGGGGAGAGGCGGGAGGGGAGGAAGGGGGGGGGGGACATCGGATGGAAGGAGATGGTGGATCGATTGACCACACTGACGAGTCGTAGATGTGAGGTGGGTAGAGATGGGGGGAAGGGGGGGATCAAGTGATAATATGCGGGAAGGGGAGGAGGGTGAAGGTGGCGGGAGGAGGTTGAGCGGAGATGGCAGGTGGTGGCATGCGCGGGAGTGGCGTCGATGGAGGAAGGGGGGGAGGGGGGGGGGTCGGCTGATGGAGATCGGATGATTGCGATGGCGAGAGAGAGAGAGAGGGATGATGAAGAAGAAGGGGATGGAAGGGGTGGTTGTGCACTGACGGCAGTATGAGTTGATCTGGGTTGGAGGAACGACGGAGGAGGAGGGGGGGGGGGGGGAGCGGGGAGGGGAGGAGCGCGTCAGCCGCCCGGCCGACCACAGACTTTGTCACTCCCTTTTGAGTGGGACAGAGGGGAAAGGCAGACGGCTACATCCAACTTCTATCTCACAAGTATGTTTAGGAAAGGGCTGGAGGTGTGAGTGTGGGGGGTAGGGGGAAGAGGGGGAGGGGGCGTGGACGTGGAGGGATGCAGGGGGTGGAGGGGTTGGGGTGGGGAAGGGGGTGTGGGCGTGGATGAGGTGGGTGATGTCGGGTTGGTTGGTTGGGAGAGGGAGAGGGAGAGGGCCGGGGTGGGCATATACAGGGCAAGGACTCACTGTGGATGATGGATGGCGGATGGTGGTTGGTGTATGGGTGTGGGTGTGGTGGGTGTGGGTGTACGGATATAGTGGCTGACATGGAGAAGGCCAAGGTGGCACAGATGGAGTCGTCGACGGCACTGAAGATCCTCAAGGTGGTGGACACGGCCATGACGGTCGGCAAGCACGCCCTGCACTACGGGTTCATCCCCCTCATCATCGGCCTCGGCTACTACAACACCCCGGCTCCGCAGCGTCCGGGCCTGCACAAGGTCTTCCTCCCGTTCTAGGTGCGCAAATGAATGACCAGCGGTCTCTGGCGGAGCAGCCAAAGCCGAGAAAGTCGGGGAGGAGGAGGGCGAGGGTGTACGCAAGGGGGAGGGGGGGATTTACTTCTTGAGACCGACAGAGAGAGCGACGACAACAGCGATACAGATGAGAGCGATGATGCCGTAGCAGCAAAACTGCTTGTTGCGGGCAGATTTGTGGTAGTCGTTAGCGATGCGGAGCTGGGTGGCGGCGCCGTCAGTGTGGGAGACGGTCGACTCGATGTTGTTGTCGATCTCGCCGAGCATCTCGCCCTGCTCGTTGACAATTTCTGCAAGGTCGCGGAAGATCTCGTTGACCTCGCCAATGGTCTCCTCGATCTCGCGGATCTCCGACTCGCGCTCGGCAATGATCTCGTCGTTAAAGTCGATCTCGTTTTCAAGCGAGTTGAGGCGGAGCTGCTCCTGGGACTGGGCCTGGGCAGCAAGCAGGGCAGTGGCATCTGAAGGCCCGTCGTGCCCGGCATACGGGTTGGACTTTGCCGAGATGGAGGCGCGGGCCTTGCGGACAAAGGCCTTCTCCTTCTGCATCTTGACGTTCTCGATCTCCTTAAACGAGGTCAGCGCGGCCTCAAAGTCCTTCTTCAGCTTGTTTTGCTGCATCTTGCGCTGGCGCACCTCATTGGGCGAGCCGCCGTCGAGCGTTCCGATGATCCGGATCTCACGCCCGGTCCGCCGCGCGAGCAGCCGCGTCGTCTCCGAAAGCTCAGCGAGGGTATCGCGGAGCCGCGGCGAGTCCTTGGGCCCGCCAAGCTTGGAAACCAGGCCCGACATCCGCGACACATTGGCCAGCATCTCACCCAGCGCGTCAGTCACCTGCTGCGTCAGCCGGATGTACTCGGCGTCAGCGTCGCCCTGCCCGCCGAGGGCGTCGAACCCGGTCCCACCGCGCCCGCCGGCGCGCCCGCCGGACGCAAGCTCAGCATATGACATCCAAACACACGCAGAGAGAAGAAGTTGAGAGAGGGTGGAGGTAGAGGGGGGGGGGAGGGGAGGGGGGAGGGGGGAGAGGTGACCTTCCACTTGCCTGTGCCTCGACAACCGCCTTTCGCGGAATGCCGATTCGGAACGTCCACGATGCATGCGACCAATTTGGGCAAGGCAAGGCTTGGCTTTGGCAGGTGCAGGGAAGGGATGGGGAGGGAGCTTTAGTACCTGCGGCTGGAGCCACGGCCACGACGGGCGGATCCGCCCGATCGCGGAGGGGGATTGCGACGGGTGGCGCCGGCCCGCGGCTTGGCGTTGCATCGCGGGATGTGGCGCTCGGCGGTGGCTGGGGCAAACGTCCGAAGGCACTGTGGGCACTGGACATGGTCTGGGTTCGGGCCCGAGGATGGCGGCGGTGGGAGCGATGACGGATCGGCACCCGACTTGATAGCGGCCGAGTACTCGCGGGCGGCGCGGACGTTTGCGACAAACTCCTCATGCTCGCGGCGCCAGTCCTTCTTGGGCGCCTTTTTCACCGGCTGGCGCTTGGCTGCCGCCTTGGCCTTGGCCATTTCCGGATCCATCCGCTGCTTGGCCACGTTGAACGTCTTACGCTTCTTGGCGCCGGCCTTGAGCTTGCGGCAGGCTCCCTCGTGCTTCTGCACTCGGTCGGCGGCAAACTTGCGCCCGCAGATCGAGCATGGGACAAGGCCACCCGGCGGCGGCGCCGAAGCTGCCACAGGATCAAAGCCGCCCGAGCCGCCACTGGCCTTGATCGGCACCTCATCCAGCGGCATGCCGCCTCCAATGGGCCGCTCGTCAAAGCTACCGCCGCCACCATGGCCGCCACCAATAGGCTGCTTGTCAAAGCTTCTGCCACCGCGCCCGCTGGAGCGCTCCGACGCGGACGACTGCCGATGAGTCGGTCGCCGCGCCGGCTTGGTTGCAGGTGCAGGCTCGTTGTAGCCGCCGTAGCCGTCGTCATAGCCGCCACCGCCGCCACCATAGCCGTCGTCGTAGCCATCACCACCGCCGCCTCCGTACCCAACATCGCCGCGGCCGCCATAATCGTTGTACCCGTCATAGTCTGCGTATGGCTCGGGCTCGGGCGCAGGTGCAGGCTGTGCGGCAGGCTTCTTGCGCCGGCGACGGCGGCGGCGCGAAGAGCCCGCGGACGACTGGCGGTCCGAGAATCCATCATAGCCGTCGTAGCCGCCGTAGCCGTCGTTCGAGGCGCGGCTCGACTCACGTGAGCGCTGGGCCTCGCGGGCGCGCTCCAGCTCTTGCTCACGCAGCCGCCTGCGAACGTCGACGCTGTCGTCAATGAGCCCCGTCGAGGCCGGCTCGGTAAAGTCGTTGTTCCACTCGGGCCGGCGCGGCTCCGACTTCCGGGTCGGCCGCGAGGGGCGCGCCGCCGGCTTGGCCTTCTTCGGCCCGTACCCATGGGACTCCATCAGCCGGGCCACCACGGTGTGGGTCGACGAGCAGCACGGCTCGCGAAGGAGCGAGACAAGCACCTCTTTGGCCATCACGTTCTCCAGCTGGAGCACCGACCGGATGACGTCCTGCGATCCGATGGGCGGAACACGCGGCGCAGCATTGGGGAAAGGCACCCCCGAGACGTTGGAGACCGACGACGCCGTCGAGTCGTGCGACAGCCGCCGCCGCGCCATCCCTCGGTTTTGCTGTGGTGACGACCGCGCCGAGACCTGCCGCGCGTGGCTGCTCTGTTGAGAGCTCCGCCGTGGCGCTGGCGACTCGTACGCCGCAGCCTCATACGACTCGCCGTACCGCCGCCCACCGCCACGCCCGCCACGCCCGCCGCTCTCGCGCTCAGCCCGAGCCCGCGACGACTGCCGCGACGACATGCCCGGCACATCGTGCCCGTACACAGCCTTGGTCGCGTACTCGTCATACTCGTTGTACCCGCCACCGCCACCACCACCACCACCACCACCACCACCACCACCATATCCCCCACCACCATACCCATCATCATACCCGTACCCATCATCCTCTACATATCCGGCATCGTACTCGTTGCCGTAGCCCCAATCAGCCTCTTGAGCTCCGCCGCCACGACCGGCACCGGCGCCTCCTCTTCCGCCGCCCGAGTAGTAGTCGGCACCACCACCACCGCCACCAACGCCACCACCACCACCGCCACCACGAGCATGCGACCTGCGCGAGCTGCCTCCATATGCTTCCCTCTCCTGCGCCGGCCCCCTGGATTGTGAGCCATGCCGGAAGGGGAGAGAGAGAGAGGGAGAGGGACGGACTGGTCTGCCTTGGCGCCAAATAGCCCAAAGTTCAAACGCCATTCACAGCCGGAGGGCAACCACAGGCAAGGGGGGGGGGGGAGGCATGGGCATGGGAAGCAGGCATGGCACTTGTTGGTGTAGAGGGTACGTACCTGCTGCTCTCGTTTACGCTGTTCACGGACAGCCTTTGCTCGCTCAATCTTCTCCCCCGGGCTTGGGGACCACACCCCCGGGGGGGTGTGGGGGGGGCCCCGCGCGCCCTACTCGCTCACGTCATCGCTTAAAAACACCCTCCTCGAGCACCCTTCTTCGAATGGTGGGGGGGGGGGGGGGGGGGAGGGAGGGGGGGGATCGGCCACGCACAGCACGACTTACATAGATACAGCGTACGGCAATCCCGGAGATGACAGAATACCATGGTTGCTCTCGGATTGGATTGCGAGGGCGTGGATCGCGGTTGGAAAGGACGGCGGGGGTAGCGGCGGGAATTAGCGGCGAGTCGAACACGTGCCGACATCGCAGAAGAAAGACAGGGCAAGGGCGGGGGTGGAAGAGACACTTGTGGTAACTAACACCCAACTTGAAGTGCAGAGAAGAGGCAGCAAGTTTTGTCGGCTTGCAGCCTGTTCACAGAGGCATAGCATCAGCATGGCTTCGTCGACCGACCAGGAGGTGTGGACCGAGACAACGGGTGCGTCGACGGTCGGGTTGAACGCCGCAGCTGAGACAGCCGAGTCGGAGCAAGTGTCAGGATCAGCGATGGAAGGGGTAGATCCTGCAGAGGTTCTCCCTGCAGAAGTCATGGTCCATGTCCTTGCGTATTTGTCGGCTGAGGACATGGCCCGGGCGGCGCGCGTGAGTAAGCGATGGAAGGTTGCGGCGAGCGACAACTACCTCTGGCTGCGGTTGTTTGAGCAGCGCTTCCCGTTTGCGGCACCCGAGCTCAAGCGCCGGTTCCGGGAGAGCGGAGCGGTCGACTGGCGCTCCGAGTTCCGCAACACTGTCGCTGCCGAGGCGGATGCTTTGCACAAGATGTGCACCGAGCTGCAAGAGCCCGGCCTTGCCCACTCGCATCGGCTGCGCGGCGCGCGCCTCAAGGCCGGCCGCGTCGACGCTCGCAAGCCCCGCAAGACATCGGCGACGGCGGCGGCCAAGTTCTCGTTCAGCGGCTTTACTAGTCCATCAGCACGCAGCAGCGGTGCAGCGCAGCCGGCTGGCGAACGTCCAGGCACCAACCGTCCCCGTGGGCTCTTCGGTTCCAGTAACCCGCAGCGGCCGCGCACCCACTGCATCGGCCTCAATGCCTTAACTCCCGCCTACTTGCCGGAAAACGTCCTCGCTGCCGACATGGCGATGCCCAGAGGCAACGTCAGCGAGCGAGTGGAGCAGGCTCTCGAAGGCAAAGCTTGGTTCAGGGCCTTTGCGCCACGGCGGTCGGCCCGCGCCCCAGCCGGCGCCAACGGAGCGCCGCTTCGCACTCCGCCAGACCCGCACCTCATCGCCGAGTTCAATGCTCTCAAGGAGCGCGTCGAGCGGCGCTCTACTCCGTTGCCGGACAAGGATAAGCATCATCTCCAACCGACCTCCCTCGCTGAATACGAGTCTGCTGTCATCTTCTTCAAGGATCTGATTGCGCCCCGCTGCCCGGCCTATGGCGCGTATGCGACACAAGCTCTACGGCCCGTCGACCTCGCGCGCGGCTTTGCCACGCTCTCGTTTGCGCCGCCAGCGTCGGGCCAAGCCTGGTCCGTGAGCAAAGGCGTGGGCGCGGGCGAGAGCAAGGCTCCTGGAGACCAAGACGATGCCGACGGTGGCGATGCAGGCGCCTAAGCCGGCTAGAATCAATTGAACGAACGACGACGGTGGGAGGGGCGGGCGTCTGGGCCTGGGCGGCCACAGTCGTCTCGTTGGGGAAGCACAGATGGACGAGCTAGCTTTTGTGCCGACATTGTTCGCGGCAGGTCCGCCTTCGTCACCTAACACCATGTACGTCCACGCTGGTTTGCAGTAAAACGGACGGTGTGGGAAGGACGGCCCGTGCGGTGCGGTGCGGTGCGGGTGGGGGGGGGGGGGGGGGGGGGGGGGGGGGGGGGGGCGGGGAGACGACAACCCAAAACGCTCAAATTTTGAATGCGATTTGGCTGCGACGGCCGGGGGAAAAGGGAGCAACTAACGGACAGCGGATGGCGCGCGAGGGTGCAGGGCCAAGGCCAAGGACGATGTTGTTGGAATGATTGAGAGCCTGGTTCAGTCGCGTGAGCAGCTGGAGCGCTCGCTGCCGCCGCTGCTGGACAAGGTGGTGTGGGCGGTGGGCGGAGTGGGCGCGGCCCACGAGCCGGCCGCGCTCGACGCGCTGATTTGGACCGAAGCCCAGCTGGCTGGCGCCATCGACGCCGTGCTTGAGACCGGGAGCGGAATGCTGGTGGTTGGCATGCTGCAAGCGTACACAGCGCTTGCGCAGCGGGCCCTCATGAGTGTTCTGGCAGGCGGAGAGAGTGAGAACCCGGTGGATGCTCGGGCGAGGACTTTTGTTGTCTCGACGCTGCCGCAGAACATGGGCAAGCTGGCGGCAGCGGCCCGCAAGATGAGCTTTGCTCGCAAGGCCTCGGGTGAGATCGAGCTGGGAGCGCAGCTGCAGGCTGCCGCCGCCGCCATCGTCAGCCAGGCGGTTGGCAACGGGGGGAACGCAGCGAGCCCGCACCCCGCGCTCCCTGTTCTGCGAAGCGCGCCCGGCTTTGTCGAGCTCGTTGCCGCGCTACAGAGTGAGGGCGTATCGCTGGACACCGATTGGGGCTTGTGGTATGTAGTCGTTGATGGTGCGGCGCGACTGGCGCCCACCGCAGCCGCGATGGACGAGGTCTTTGCGTCCGTCAAGGCTCGGGTTGCCGGAAGCAACACTGAGACAAGCTCGCGCTGGTCTTGGCTCAAGGCCCGGACGCTTGTGGCGCTCTCGGGTAGCGCAGAGCGGGCTGAGCTCCGCGAGGCGGCGGCGGCGCGGCTGGCGGCCCGAACCGATCCGTATTTGGCGCGGGTCGTAGTCCGCGCGCAGAGCTGTGCCGGTGGGTGTGCCTGGCATCGCGAAGCGCTGTCGGCGCAGGCGCAGGTCCAGCGGCTTCAGTTCGAGCTTGAGTCCGGCTCGACGGTTTCGACAGCACGGTACATGCGGCTTCGTACGAGCCACGATGCGGTCAAGGGAGAGCTCACTGAGCTCCGGGCCGCGCTCGAGGGTGGAAGCGAAAGCGCACGCCTCGCCGGCGCGCTCGAGGAGGTCAACAGCCTCAAGTACGAGCTGGCACGGGCGCAGGCTGCCTTTGCACACCTCGTTGGCGGTGCCGCGACTCCAAAGCTGAAGACCGAGCTCGCACAGCTGCGGGCGGCCAAGGCTGAGCGCGATGTCGAGCATGCCGCCCTGCAGGCTGCGTACGACGAGCTCCGTGCCCAGACCGAGCCTCGCGCCGACGGCAAGATCGAAGAGATGCAGGATGCAAACGCCAAGTACGCCAAGTCGTGCAAGCGCCTTGAGGCCCGGGTAGCCGAGCTCGAGAAGCAGATGCGTGAGGCCAAGAGCGGGCGGAACGCGGCCCAGTCCAAGCTTGAGCTCCTCTCGTCGCAGCATGATGCGCTCAAGGGCGTGCTTGCATGCAAGAGTGGTGAGCTTGATCAGGCGTCGCAGGCGGCAGAGCGGTTTGCGGCTCGCGCTGCGGTGCTGGAGGCCGAGAACAGCGAGCTTGGCGCCGAGCTGACTGCCACCACCCAGAAGATGCGCAAGGCGCTAGCCGCATCCGAGACCGAAGCTCACACCCAGCTCTTGCATGTCCGGATGGAGCTGCAGATTGCACGGCGAGAGCTCGCCGAGGCTCATTCAACGATTGCCTCGCTGCAATCTGAGAATGAGGCTGCGGCGACCGCGAGCAGCCGCATCCAGAGCGAGCTCTCCGAGATGGCAGCCGAGAACGAGACGCTTCTTGCCGAGCGAGACAAGGCGCACACCACAATTGCTGCCCTGCAAACGCAGGCGCAAGTGGCAGCGGATGCCAACGATGCCATCCAGACCGAGCTCTCAGACGTCATCAGCGAGAACGAGACACTCATTGCAGAGCGCGACGAGCTCGCGTCGACAGTCGAGCGGCTTCTTTGCCTCAAGGGCGATCTCGAGGGCACTCAGGTTGCGCTCAACGCGTACGAGGCCGAGGTGGCCGACGCCCGCCAGCGAATGTCCGACGCCGAAGCCGAAATCGAGGATGCGTGCGAGGCTCTCGAGGCCGAGCAGCTGGCCCACAACGCCACACTCACCGAACTTGAGCAGGCCAAGCGTCAGCTCGAAAGCGCCCAGCTTGAGCTTCAGGAGTGTTTCGACTCGCTCAATGCCAAACAGACTGCGGTCGCCAAGGCAAAGCTCTCAATGCAGGCAATGGAGGCCGACATCAACGACGCGCGCTTCCAGATCACCGCTATCACCGAGGAGAAGAAGGTGTTGGAAGCAGAGCTGGATGGCGCAATGGCCCACAACGAGGAAATGGAGGCTGTGGTTGAGGACGCGCTTGCCGAGGCAGACGCTGCCAAGGCTGACAACGCGCAGTTGAAGGAGGCTGTAGCCAAGAAGGACGCCGAGATTGTTCAGGCCAAGGACACTATCGTCCTCATGGAAGAAGCTGTGGCACACAAGGACGCTCATATTGGCCAAGTCGAGACAGACGCTGCTGCTACTGCAGCAGAGCTGGCTGACCTTCGCACAACCTACCAGGAGATCGAGACCGCGATGAACGCGACGACCCGCAAGCTGCTTCAGCGCAACATGGCGTGCGACGAGCTGCGCGAGGAGCTGGCAGCTCTACAGCGCAGGTTCGACAAGAAAAACGAGGAGCACACCGTGCTTCACGAGTCGTATGCGCTGATGGAGGACATTGTGGCCAAGCTCAAGACCGAGGACGAGTTCCAGCGGACCCGGATCGCAGAGCTGGAGACCGAGGTCCAGAAGCGGCACACGGCGTTGGCCGAAGTCTCGGCATCGCTGGCCCAGGCTGGCGACGTCATCGAGTCCGACCAGGCCGAGCTCAAGGCGCTCCATGCCGAGTTTGATCATCTGCAAGGCGAGCACGCGCGTGTCGTGCAGGCTCTCGAAAAGAGCCGCGCCGCCAACAGCGAGCTGCAGGACGAGCTCAAAGCGCGGGCCCGGCGCCTCGCAGACGTCGAGGCCAAGCACGCCTCGCTGCGCGAGCTTCTCAGCTCGCCGTAAGGTCTTTCGGTAAACTGTATTCTCTTTCACATGTTTGCAAGCTGCGCTCGGAGCGCGTCGAGGTCGAGATCCGCGGCGTCGACACGCGGCGCGAGGGCGTCGTTGGTTGGCGGCGCATCCGGATTGTACGCAGGCCGCACGCCAGGAACGAGCTCAGCATCGCCGCCCGCAGTGGGCTGGGAACGCTCCTCCTCGCCCTCATCGCACTCAATAACAATGCCCCACGCGTTCTCGGTCGATTGCGGCGCAACAGCCGGTGGAGGAGGAGGCGGCGCGCCGAGCTGGGTGTCGTCCTCGGGGTGCGCCGCGATGTGCGCCGCCCAGTCGGCCTGCCGCGCGCGGCACGCGCTGTTATCGCACCCTGGGTTCGGCCGCAGCACCATCGACGGGAAAAAGTCCGAGAGGGCATTGTATCCGAGGTAGTACGTCGGCTGGCCAAAGCCCAGCAGGAACTTGAGCACGTTCTGGACAAGGAGGCCGGCGACAATGCCCATGGTGGTGGGCAGTGAGGCCGCGCACACCCCCTCGCGCTTCAGTTCGCGCTCATCACCTTTGCGCGCCACAATCAGAGGCGGCGCACAGGCAAAACACGCGCTCCGACCGGGTATCATGAGCTGGATGTGCCCCGAGACGGCGTTCTCCGACACGCCCGACTCCATCCAGTCTTGCCCCAGCTCATTGCACGCCTGGTTGATGGCCATCCGCGCCTCAAAGTTATCGACGCACGAGAGCACAAGGTCGACAGCCTGGCCCGCGAGTCCACCGCTCTGCAGCGCGTCTAGAAAGTCGTCAAACTTGTCCGGCGCGGTGATGTTGTAGTGGTGAGCGTCGATGGCTACGTCCGGGTTGATGACCGCGAGCGTCGCCGCCGCTGCAGAAGTCTTGGTCATTCCGGCCTGATCAGGCCGGAAGAAAAGCCTGTTCATGTTGGCCAGCTCGACCGTGTCGTAGTCAAACAGCAAGAGCTTGCCGATGCCGCACCGGGTCAGCATCTCGGCTGCTACCGAGCCGACGCCGCCGACGCCAACCACCGCCACCGTCAGCGTCCGGATCCGCTCGTAGTCGGTGACCACGCCCATCCGCTGCAGCGCCATGAGCCGCGAATACGGGTTCCAGTCCACCACCTCGGCCGACATGGAGGTCTGCGCCCTCGCCCTGGCGAGGACCTCAGCCCCAGTTCCTGCCCGGCTCGCTCCAGCAGCAAGCGTGGAAGGAGCCGCTGTCGCCCGAGCGAGCTCCTCGCGCAGCGAGACAACCACAGCCTGTAGCTCCTCGTACGTGGGCGCAGTCGCAGTCGCAGGCAAAGACGCCATGGCGAAACGAGCTGAGAGAGGGCTGTGGCTTGTGAAGGTCTTCAATGGTAGCTGAGCGTGTCAATGTCAGCGACTGTCAGTGACCAGGCAGACGGCCAGGCGCAGGCCAGCCGTCAAGGCGGCCACTGGCAGGATCGGACCATGTCTGGATGGGCGCGGCAGCGCGGAGAGTGGCGAGCGCGGCACCGGCAGAGGCGCACAAGTCGGCAATGGACTGGCCAGATGAGACATCCGGCAGCGCGGACGCGGTGCTGCATCGCCAGGCACGGAACCAGTCGACAACCGTGGCGACGTACGCGTATTCGGAGAGAGCGTGCGGCTGAGGACCCGGCGGCTGGTTGAGCGGCGTGGTACCGGTGCGGATGCTGCCGGTGCTGGTCACTGCGTCGACATAGAACGCGTTGGGAAAGGCGTAGCCCGGGCTGTTGTGCGCGATCTCGAGCGTGAGCTGCGAATAGTAGTTGGCAAGCTGAGTGAGGTCCAACAGCGTCTCGGGGCACCACTCGGTGACGTTGGGGAGGTTGAACCCGCTCGCGCACTTGGCCCGGACCTCGGCATGGCCGAACGGGATGTATCGCAACTTGGCGGCGGCCTCGATTTGAAAGTCGGGTGAAGAGACGGCGAGGCGGACGAGCGAAAAGATGTTGGTGGCAGCGTCGATCTGGCGCTGTTCGGCATAGCCCCGGTAGGCATCGAGCTGTTCGCGGTAGCCGATGGTCTCGTTAAGAAAGTCACCGTTGTGCAGGTTGGCAATGTGACGGCAAGCATTGAGCGGTGCAGGGTCGCTCCCAGTAAACTCTTTCCAGTCCGAGGTGTAGACAAGGACCCGCTGGCCAGCATCGCGGCAGGTGTCGACTGATGTAGCGTTGGGTGGCATGTCCGAGGCGTTGATGAGGAGCGGGCCGATGACCGACTTGATGGACGCCCAAAACGCCTGCTTCTCGGCGACCGACACGCCCGGATACTGATTGGTCCCTGTCTCGCAGGTGTCGCCATGCCGCGAGAACCAGACCACAACGATCTCATCGACACCCTCGGGAGAGTTAAGCCAATCGATAATGGTTTTGAGGTAGGTGAGGGCCTTGGCCTTTGTTTCCACAAAGTGTAGGCCGTACCAGTCATACGGCTCGCCGAGGTGCGGGCCTTTGGTGTAGGTGATACGAAAGTCAAAGAACCGAGTCCCGGCCTGCAGCAGCTCGGTCACATACAGCGCTTGCGATGTCGCCTGATCGCGGATAAAGCTTCCAATGAGCTCTTGCGGTGCGAGATCATGCAGGATCTTGGCGAGCCTCGGCGAGATGTCGTTGGCGTTATCGGCGATGCGATCCGAGAGGTCGGCGGTGAGCGTGTCGTGGGTCCCCGGAAAGACCAGGTCCAGAACCCGCGCATTCCCCACCAGCGGGCCGAGGTCGCGCATCCAGCTCGCCAGAGCAAGCGGTGCAGGCGGTGGTGGCGGCGGTGGAAAGGCTGCGGTTGGGCGCGAGAGCGGGAGGCGGGTACATGCCGAGCACGCCAACGCGCAAGCAAGGACCAAGGAGAGCACGAGGGGGACACGCTCGTTCGCATGTGGTGACGGCTACGGAGGACGTGTAGGACAAGACTGTGTGGGTGGCCGTAGGGGTGGGGGCGAGCGGTGGAGTGACACCACAGTCACAACCTGCCGCTGCACCTGTGACTCACTCGGGCTGCACGCGTTTTCGGGGCGACGCGCAGTCGAGCACGGCGTTTACTCACTCAGGGCTCACCCAAAGATGGCGGGGCCGGCTCCTCGCGGCAGGTACAGCACGTTTTTGGCTTGAAGATGTTGCCGCAGTCGCCGATGGGTCCAGCAATGTTGAGGAGGGCGATGAGGAGGCCAAAGGCGGAGACGAGCGAGAAGAGGACGACCATGAGGATAAAGAGGCCAAAAACAACAAAGAAGAGCAGCTGGGAGAAGGTCATGAAGAAAGCAGATCCCATAGTGGTGAGCGAAGCGGAAAAGACCGAGATGCCGAGGTCGGCAAGGGCCTCGCGGACGCGCTCCTTGCGGCTTGACGCGTGCGACTCGTTGTAGTGGACAGCAAGATGGAGCGAGTAGTCGACCGAGAGCCCGACAATGAGGACGAGGCAGATGGCTTCGATGATGCCGAGCGACCAGCCAAGCCAAACCATGATGGCTACAATGGCAGAGACGACCCATGTGATGGCAAAGATGGTGATGGAGGCGAGCCAGATGTTTTGGGTGGCGAGGATGATGACGACGTAAGAGACTGCGAGCGAGACGGCAAAGCCGACAAAAACGGCCGAGACCAGCTCAAACTCGGTGGCCATGCGGACCCACTTTCCTGTGGTCTGGACACCGTGGGAGACGCCCGGGGGTGCGCCGGCGTTGACGCGAACCATAAACGCCTCCCAGCTGTCGTAGATCGGCTCGACGGCCTTGGCGGTCGCCTCGGGCGACATGGTGGTGTTGACCAGGATCATGAACAGGCGCAGGTCGCCCGAGACGGAATCAAAGCCGACGGTGTCCTTGCGGCCAAACCGCCACCCGTCAAAGCCCGCGTTGTCACCGCTCTTAAACTCGGACTCTTTGGAAAGGGTGTAGTTGCGGAGCGCGCCAAGGAACTCGGCCTTGTCGGCGATGGGGAAGGCCTCACCGCGGTCACGGCGAAAGTCGCGCAGGCCCTCCATTGGGCAGAAGACCTCGCGGCGGAGGACTGACGGCTCGGCACGGGCCTGGGTGCAGACAGAGAGGATGTGGTTTTGGGCAGCAACCGAGGTGCCGTCGAAGGCCTCGTCCCAGCGTACAACGCCCTGGTCGCCTGGACGGTTGGGATCGGTGCCGGCCCGGTCGATGCCTGCCACGCCCCAGGCAAGAGCAATCTTGACAACCTCAGCCTGGCGCTTAAAGCCCGACTGCAAAATGGTGAACATGCGCTGGAGCGGATGGTCGTCGGCGAGGAACTTGGCCGGCTCCTTGGCCGGTGCCAGCTGAGTACCAACCACGATGAAGACTATCATGAGAATGAGGAAGACGGCGAGGATGCCGTAGCGGAGGCGGTAGGCCCACTCGGTGTAGGGTCCGCCAAAGAACTTCTCCGTGGCACGCGCGTGCTCGAGGTGCTTGGGCGTTAGGCACTTGCCCCAGCAGAACGGCACCAGCTCTGGCTCGGACGCTGATGCATCCGCAAGCGCTGCAGCAGCAGCCGTCGACGTGGATCGGTGCGCGGAGGTCGAGGTGCTTGGGCTCGTCAAGCTTGCGGCCGGCTGAGCTGGCACAGGCTTTGACTTGGACGATGCCGAGCTGCTGTAGCAACTCGAGTACGAGCCGGAACCCGAGTCCAGCGCCAACGGCGCGGCTTGCTCCAAATCTTCCTGCTGCTCGTCGGCAACGGAAACGTAGGATCCGGAGCCCGAGCCTGACGACGACGAAGAAGAAGAGGCCGAGGACGAAGAGGAGGACGACGCCGAAGACGACGGGGAGGATGAAGCCGACGCTGAGTGCGAGGCCTGCGGCATAGGCCCAAGGGTGATGTCTGCGTTGCGAACATGGGCTGCATTGGGATCAGAGTCGACGGCAGTGTCAGCATCGTCGTCGTCGCCCTTGGTCAGCTTGCACGTCCAGCAATGTATGCATACCGTCGGCCACGAGCGCGGCTCAATGTACTGTGTCCAGACGACTACAACACAGGGGAACCAAGTGATGCAAAGGATGAAGTTGAGGAGAATGAGGAGGCCGACAAAGAGGCCAAAGACACGAATGGGGGCAATGCGCGAGATGGCGTTGGCGAAAAGGCAACCGAGGTGGTGACCGAGGTGATGAGCATGGCGCGTGCGGAGCGGCGGTATGTCCAAGCCATGCGGGTGGCGAGCGAGGCATTGACGCCGGGGATGAAGGCCGACTGCTTCCATGCGTCGAGGAAGATGAAAACGTCGTCGGCGCCGACGCCGAGGACGACGTAGATGCCAAGGAAGAGGAGGAAGGGGAAGAACTCCTCGCCGAGAATGACACGGTAGACAAAGTAAGCCATGGGGAAAGAGATGACAATGTGGAGCATGCCAAGGCCGGCGAGGAAGAGCGAGCGCGAGTGGAACCACATGTAGATGAGAACAAAGACAATCGCCATGACGACAAAGATGGCATCAGTGGCCAGGATCTTGTCAAACTGCTTAGAAAGCAGAAGCGTGTTGGTGTAGTACACTTCTAAGTTGGGCGAGCCGAGCGAGTCGAGGAATGGCTCAAGCGCGTCGATAAACTTGGAGTAGGCCTTGGCCTGGGCGTCGACGTTGTCATCAGCGTTTCGGAAGCCGGCGAGCGGGTAGCCAAACGAGATGACCGACTTTGTGTGCGGCGAGGCGATGCGTTGAGCGGCAGGATCAAAGTAAGGAGGCACAAACTCATCGAGCTGGCCGGGGAACCGCGCGTCGACGGTGGTGAGCGTGGTCGAGACATTGAGCAGCGGGCGGACGTTGGATCCGTTCCCGTTGCAGATCGAGAACGACGGCGCAAGCTGCGGAAGGCAAGTATCGTTTGCAAACGACTGGCCAAGCGGCGGCGACGGCAGGAGCTCCGGGTAAAAGTACGAAGTGATCGAGTACGGCCGGGCGCATGGGCGGTGAGCGGGAGCCTCGGGCCCGGTGGCGAGCGAGTAGCAAAAGTCGTCAAAGGTGCCGAACCCGAGCACAGCGTCTTCAAACATGCGAATGGTCTCGATTTCGTCGTAGATGGAAGCAGCGCCGGTGGCTTCAAAGACAAGGACGAGCGGATCGTGGACCTGAGAGCGGGGCGCCTGGGCCGAGTCCTCAGCTTTTTGCTCTCCAAAGTCGGTGCCGGCAATGGCCTCTACCACGCCGTCCTGGAACTCGGCGACGCGGGTGTCACGAACACTGCACGAGGGAGGGAGGGGGTGGTTGTGAGTCGTGAGGAAGGGACTGCACCGGGGGGGGGGGGAGAGGGAGGGAGGAGGAGGGAGGCGGGCCGTACCGGAAGGTGTCTCCTGCAGTGACGATGTTGATGGGATGGACTGCCATGGTGACAAAACTGACGAGAAGGCAGAAGGCCATGACGGCAGCCATGAGCTTCTTGGGATGGGCAACGATGAGCTCGGCCAAGTAGAAGGTGGGGTAGGGTTCGGCCGGGTCGTACTCGGGCGCCCTGCCCAGGCAGCCATCCAAGTTGAGGCGTGGCATGGAGGTGGGCGACGTGCCTGTCGGAGTCTGCGCCGGGACGAGAGAGCTCTGTGGAAGTTTCGATCAGTGTTGCGCGTGCCGTGCCGCGTTGCGCGGCGCTGACGGCAGGTAGGCGATGGATGGGGGAGGGGTAGTTGTATGTACTAGCGACGCGAGGCGTGGCGGGTGGCGCGATGGGATGAACGTGGGCGGTGCTCTGCGGCACGTTTTGCGGCGCGGTCCTTGTCCTTCTTGCGCTTGAGGCCGAGGGCGCTGCGTCGGCAGAAGAGGGCAACCTTGCCTGGGCGATCGCAAGAAAAGTAGCGGCGGCCCTGGACACGGCCGTCGTGCTTGCCCTTGCCCTTGAGGAGCTCAACGCCAACCCACTCGCCCTCGCCAAACTCTGTTTCGCCGATGAAACGAATGGCGACGGGTGCCTTGCGGAAAACGGTGTGGTCGCCAACCTCGAGGAGCTCGGGCTCGACATCGCGGATACCGTACTCGCTAAAGTCCGTGTCGTCACCGGTAGCAAGGTTGGTGCCGGAGGGCATGGCGAGCGAGGCACGAATGTCATCGTTGTCATCATCGGACGAGTAGTCATCAGCGACATCACGCTCGCCAGCCAGATCCTCCATGTTCTCCAGCAGGGCCTCCTGTAGGGCGCGCTGGTTGGCAGCGGCGCGGCGCGACTCTGCTCCACCGGAACCGCCGCCCCACCACTTCATACAGCATCCGCAGCAGAGCGCAAAGATGGCGACCAAGAGAACGAGGACGGCGACAGTTGTCGTGGTCCGCCCGGCGAACGTCGAGGCGTTGGGAAGGCATCGGGTGTTGGGGTGCGGGCAGGTCCACCCGGGCTCGGCAGTGCAGTTGGCGGCGCACCCATCATCGGGTGTTGTGTTTCCATCGTCGCAAGTCTCCCCTGCTTCGATGGCTCCGTTGCCGCACGTTGCAGCAACGACGGGGACTGTGGTAGGGAGGGTGGCCGGAGTAAGAAGAGGACGAGGGGACGAGGGGACGAGGGGACGAGGGTGTCGGGAGAGCGTACGAAGGAAGGCGAGAGCAAAGGCGAGAGCGACAAAGGAAAGCAGGTGTATGCTTCGTGGTGGTGGTCTTGTCATGTGTGACGATGTGTGTAGAGGGTGGCGAGAGGGCGAGAGGGGTGTGGCGTGTGAAGGTGGCCGGAAGGGCAGCCTGGCGGGTAAGAAACGGTGTGGGTGATGCAGAGCAAAGAGAGGCGATTGAGGTGATGTTGGGAAAGATGACGTTGTGGGCGCGGGTGGGGTCATGAAGCTGCACTCCTGCGATTGCAGGACAATCGGACGGTCTGGAAAAAGGTGACCGAGACCCTGGTGAATGTGGACGATGCCTCGTCGGCGAGGTCGGCTTTGGCAGTTGCCATTGAGGAGCTTAGCTCGAAGGAGAACGTTCGCTTGTGGTGCCTTGGGCGGGAGAAGACCGTCTTGGCAACTGACTCTCCTCCGCTCTCGCCCGATGGATCACCGGCTCGGGCGGCGGTGGGGTCGTCGTCAGCAGAGTCGTCGCCAGCTGGCTCATCATCGACCTAGCCGCCGCCAGGGGCTCGGATGACCCAGAATCACCCCTCCCCCCCTCCCCCTCTGTTCCCGCCGCACCCCCTCCTTGAGGGCCGGGTCAGCAGCGACTACAGCTGTGGCAAGCTAATGTAAAACTCAACACATCCGGCTGCCCAGCGATCTAGTCGCACCCGAAACTGCGCGCGCCTCCAACGACCTCGGTCGTCCGAGTACAGTCAGCGACGTCTATCGGCCGCCCCTCCCCCTTCATCGACTCAGGAGCACACACGCACACATTATCTCACACCTGCAACGGGGGACGGGGGAGGTGTCCATTCAGCCGTCGGTCCGCCGACGGCAACCAGTGTCGTCACATGTTGTCGGCATTATCATCCACATTGCCAGTCTCTCCCTGGTGGGCCGCGGGATGCTCGGTGGTTCTGAGCTGCAACCAGGACATAGGATGGCCTCTTGGAGGGTGCGATGAGACGGAGTGTCGGTCGTCGACGCCTCAGTGATGGATTCCAAGTGACCATAGTATGCTGCAGTCGATGTTGAACACCCAACAAGTTGTACGGTTGCATCACTTGCGGATGTGTTCTGAGGCGGTCGTCTTCTCGCTGCTATGAGATCAGTGGTTTTCGCACTGTTTGGCCGGCGCGCAATCCCACAGCAGATGGCACCCTGCAGTCACCTGTATGGTGTCTTTCTGCTATACTCCCTGCAACAAAACTCCAGCACGTGATCTGGAACACAGGAGCTCGCAACGGCTCTGCTGTGTCTCGTCCATATTGTCAATGCCATACCGCAACGCCCAACTCTCCCCCCCCCTCCCCCCGCGACCCCTCCCCACGCGATCCGACCCAACTGTCCCAAGGCAGGAGGGAGACGCTCTCCCTTGCTGGATAACTAGCCCCTGCACCCCTGCAGGGTGGCGGATGACCCCTACTCGGCCCGGCTCGCGCTCACGTCGGCCCGATCCATGTCCTGACATTTACCCAAGGTCAGGCCCCAAGCCCAAGCGCATCATGCGTGCGACGAGGCTCACGGGGAAGCTTGCGGCTAGTCGGGCCTGAAGGGTTCCCGACCTGCAGGAAGCCCATTCGATTTGGCTGGTCCGTGGACACTCAAAGTCTACAACAACCTAAAAGGATTCTCACACACTCGAAAGAAGCGAGGTCTCAGCACGTCACTCGGTTACACGCACGCAAGGCCAAGACGATGGCGGACGAGAAGTGGGAGACGCAGCTGTGCCGGGTGGTGGCGTTCGGGGACTCGATCACGCAAGAGGCGTTCGAGAACGGCGGGTGGGGCGCGCGGCTGGTTGCCCAGCTCACGCGGCGCGGCGACGTTGTCAACCGCGGCTTCTCGGGCTACAACACCGAGTGGGCGGTGCGGACGCTAGACAAAGTGTTCCCCGTCAAGCACGCGCCACAGGCGGCGTCGGCGTGGGGCCTGTACTCGTCGGCGGTGGTGACGGTCTTCTTTGGAGCCAATGACGCATCGACACCCGGGAGCCGGCAGGCGGTGCCTGTCGACGCATTTGTGGCCAACCTGCGGAAGATCTGCCTGCGGGTGGCGGCGTGGGCCGATGGGTCGGCCATTCCGCTGACGCTGGTTGTCATCGGCTGCCCGCCGGTTCATCGCGAGCAGCGGCTGGCGTTCCAGGTGGAAAAGTACGGCAAGAAGGCGACGGGCGTGCCGGAGCGGTCGCTTGAGATGGCGCAAGAGTACGCTGCAGCTGCGATGGCAGTCGCCAATGAGCTGGCTCTCGAGTGGGCCGCGCCTGTTGCACCACACCGTACGGTCCATGCGCTCAACCTCTGCGAACTCATGCTCTCGTCGTCGCCGGACAACTGGTCGCACTTTCTCCGCGATGGCCTTCATCTCTCGCGGCAGGGCAACGAGTTTGTGTACACGGCGCTCTCGGCGCTCCTCCCGCACGTGGTGGGCGACCATCCGCTCTTCTTCCCGCATCACTCGCGAATCGATGCTGGCGATGTTGACGCCTCGTTTGATGTCGACGCCAACCAGCCGTCGCGCGATGTCGCGGCTGCGGCATCAGCGTCGCGGCTGGCGCCTGCCGGTGCTGGAACCTCGACCGACGTTTCCGCCTCGCCGCGAGTCATTTCACACACATAATGGCAATCAAGTGCGTATGGAGAGAGGCTGCGGCGATGGCCGTGCGACTCGAGCCGGCTGGCGCGACGGTCATGGCGACGTCACATGCCTGGGTGGGCGTTTGGCTTGGATGCAGGTATCCAGGCAACCACTTCTCTGGCACTGAGTAAAGGAGTAAGAAGCAAGGACAATGAAGTACGCACGACATGTGTGTGTGTGTGTGTGTGTGTGTGTGTGTGTGTGTGTGTGTGTGTGTGTGAAGGTTTGCTGAGGAGTGGGAAGGAGAGAGCCGGAGTAGTTGGGTCGGAGACAAGGACAGCCAAGCCAACCCCTCACCTCCCCCCCCCCCTCCCCCCTCCACGCACAGTACTATCAACTGCGACCAGGCTTTGGCGTACTGCACGGCCAAGTGGGATGAGAGCATCCTGCCTGCGCTGTCGGACTACATCCGCATCCCCAACCAGTCGCCCGACTACGACCCCGAGTGGGCGACCAACGGGTACATGGACCAGGCGGTGGAGTTGATGGTTGATTGGGTGAAGCAGCAGGATGTGGCCGGCATTGCGCTGGAGGTAGTGAAGGAGGAGGGTCGGACGCCGCTCATCTTTGCCACCATCGACGCGTCGCCGGGCGTGGCGTCGGGCGAGACGGTCCTCCTGTACGCACACCTCGACAAGCAGCCGCCGATGACCGACGACTGGTCGGATGGCCTTGGCCCGCATACGCCGGTTGTCCGCGACGGGCGTCTCTTTGGTCGCGGCGGTGCTGACGATGGCTATGGCATCTTTGCCTCGGTCACCGCCATCAAGGCGCTGCAGGAGCAGGGCATTCCGCACTCGCGGTGCGTGGTTCTTGTCGAGGCTTCGGAGGAGTCTTCGTCGGTCGACCTCCCATACTACGTCGACCAGCTTTCGGAGCGCATCGGGGCCGTCGACTTTGTGGTCTGCCTCGACTCGGGGGCGTCCGACCTAGAGCACCTGTGGTCAACCACCTCGCTCCGCGGCGCCATCAACGTCAACCTCACCGTCGGCATCCTCAACGACGGTGTGCACTCGGGTGCGGCGTCGGGCATTGTCCCGGACTCGTTCCGCATCGCTCGCAAGCTCGTTGACCGCGTGGAGAACGCCGTCACCGGTGAGGTTCTCGGCGCGGCGTTCCATGCCGACATTCCGGCGGCTCGGCTGGAGCAGGCTGCGGCCGCCGGCGCTGCGCTCGGCGACTCGGTCCTGCGCTGTTTCCCGTGGGTCTCCGGCGCCGGCCCGATGACCACAGATCCAACTGAGGCCATCCTGGCTAAGACGTGGAAGCCGACGCTGACGGTGACCGGCGCCGACGGTCTCCCGCCGTCAGCTGTTGCCGGCAACGTTCTCCGCGCGTCGACGACCCTCAAGCTCTCGTTCCGCCTCCCGCCCACCGTTGACTCGGCCGCTGCCGCGCAGTACATTCGCGACGAGCTCACCCGCGATCCGCCGTATGGTGCGGTCGTCACTGTCGACGGCGATCACGCCGGCTCGGGCTGGAACGCCCCGCCGGAGCCGGCCTGGCAGCTCGAGGCCATGCACGGCGCCTCGCGCGCCTTCTACGGCAACGACGCCATGTTCCTCGGCGAGGGCTGGTCCATTCCCTTTATGGGCATGCTCGGCGAGCGCTACCCGAGCGCAGGCTTTATGGTTGCTGGTGTGCTGGACGGCTCGGCAAACGCGCACGGTCCGGACGAGTCTTTTGATATTGGCTTTGCCAAGAAGCTCACCGCCTCGGTCTCGTACATCCTTGCCTCGCACGCTGCGCGCTGAGATGGGAGACTTGGCTTTGTATTGACATAAGCAATAGAGCAGCATCGAACACGTTTGGTGGTAGTAGCCTTGGGTGATGGTGGGGTGGTGGAGTGGTGGTGGAGAGCGGATCCGTTATATGAGTCACGGTGATAGATTCATGATCAAGGATAAAAACTTGACCTCCAACGCCTGGTCATGGCGGTTCTGCCTTTCCAAACGCAAACTACTCAGTAACTATTTACTTATATATAAATATATAAATAAAAACATATCAAATTATCACACTATAATTGAATTTCAAAACTTCAATTGTATTTACATTGTCATATATATATTTGTATTCCTCCCACCCAAGATGTAATAATTAATGGTTTTCTTGGGTCTGTTGCCTCATCACGGCAGACACACCTCCAGCTATCTGTCACATCGTCACTGCTATCCCCTCGGAGATCCCCTCGTGTATCCCTCGTATTCACCAGCTCACCATCTACACACCGCGTCACCCCTCACACGTCACCTTGCAACTATTTTAAACACAACCGTTACCTCATCTACTCTCTCCGCATGCCATACAGCTCATAAACGAGGCTCAAGTGCGGCTGCTCGTTCCACCGAGCTTTGATGGAAATTTTTTGCTGTCCCATCCCCACCGAGTGAGTCATGCCTACGTATCCTCCGCTCTCGGCGACCTCATCACGCCACGTCCTCGTCCCTGCAGCGCGCTTTTCCCACGCACACTCGACTTTACCACACAGTACAATGTCTTCTTCTGATTCTCTCACGGTCACTATTGTTGGCGGCGGCAACATGGGCACCGCCGTCCTCCGCTCGCTTGCGAGCACTAAGGCCAACATCCGCCTCGCCACCCGCTCGCAGGCGACGCTCGACGCATATGCGGCGTCTCACAACGCCGAGCCGTTCCAGGCGCCCGACGCGACGCACCGGGCGTGCGTCGGTGCCGACATTGTCGTCCTCGCCCTCAAGCCCGCGGCCATCCTCGCTACAGCCGCGTTCCTTGCCAAGGACGCCGCTGACGGCACGCCGCGGCTCGCCGACGGTACCGTCGTCGTCTCGCTCGCCGCTGGCCTCAGCCTCGCCGCTCTCCACGGTGCGCTCCCGCCGAACGTCGTCGTCATCCGTGGCATGCCGTCGACGCCGATGGCCATCGGCTCGGGCACGCTCTCACTCGCCGCCGCCGATCCGGCCCACAAGGCGTCGGCCGACGCCCTTGTCGCCCTCACCACCCTCTTTGAGCCGGCCGCCGACGCCGTCGTCACCGTCCCTGAAGACGCCATGCATGCTGTCACTGCCCTCGCCGGCTCCGGCCCGGCATACATCTTTGCCATGGCTGAGGCCTTTCTTGATGCCGGCTCCATCCTCGGCCTGGAGCCACAGCTTGCCCGTGATCTCGTCCGCGGCACCATTGTCGGTGCCGCCTCATACCTCGCCTCCCACGACGACTTTCCGGCCACACGCCTCCGCACCGAGGTCACCTCGCCCAACGGCACCACCGCCGCTGCTCTCTCCGTCCTGGACGAGCGCAACTGGCGCGCCATCCTCGTCGACGCCATCCGGGCCGGAGCCGCCCGCTCCGTCGAGATGGGCAAGGCCCTCGACGACATGGCTGCTGCTGCCGCAGCCGAGCCTTCCACCGATGCTTAAACTCTGCCTGCTCTCCACGTTGCCCTCGACCACCGGCGACACTGGCGATCGATCGCGGTGTTGATCAAGATCAGCACTTGGCGCCAAACACACAGCCCCCCTCCCCCCCTCCTCCCACCTGCCCATGGAGTACTTTGCGGCCTCTTTGGAGCCAGACAGACCTCTGTCTGAGACAGGGGCACCGCCACGTCGCCGTCGACGCCGTCGACGCCGCCCACCGCCGCATACTTCCGCGCCACTTCCGGTCTCGCCGCCGCCCGCGCTGGCGCCAACACGTCCGGACGCCGACGCCGACACCGACTTTGTCGCCGCCAACAAGGCCGCCGTCGCCGCTACTTCGGAGCTCAACGCCATCAAGCGCTCGCTGCGGGCGGCCGTGCTTGATCCGCCCAAGCCTGATCCTTTCGTCTCGCCGGTCCGTACCCCGCGCCTGCGCTCCGCCGCACCTGAGCCTGTGCCTACGGCCGCTTCAACCCCGACCTCGCTCCTCCGCTCGGCCTTTGACTCTTGGCGCGCCGCCGTCGCCGACGCCCGCTCGCACTGGAAGCGCGAGTTTGTCGCCGGCCTGCACTACTCGTATGCGCTGCAACGTCGCAGCCTTGCCGCCTGGCGCTCGCTACTCCAGGAGCGGGCCACCCGCGAAGCCGCTCTCGCTTCCTTCCGCGTCCTCGCCTCTGATCGCTTGGCCAGAGCCGCCTTTGCAGCCTGGCGCGTCAGTGCAGCCCGTGTCTATGCTCGCCGCGCTGCTGCAATCGCCGCCGACGCCCACCGTGGCGCCATGATTGTTCGCTCCGCCTTTGCCTCCTGGCGCACCGCTGCCGCCGTCCGAGCCTTCCGACTCCGCACCCTCGGTAGCCGAGTCTTTCGCACCTTTCGTCGCCGCCACATCGAGGCCGCCATTGCAGCAGCCAAGCGCAAGCGCGCAGACCTGTATCGGACTGCCGCACTGGAGCGCCGCGCCGTGGTCGCCTGGCAGAGTTATGTCGCCCGCCGCCGCAAGTACTATGCCGCCAGTGGTCGCGCCTTTGTCTTCCTCTGCGCCCGCCTCAAGTCCAAAGCCTTTGACTGCTGGCTGACCCGCCTTGCCGTGCTCCGCCACAACCGCCTTGTTGCAGGCATGGCCGCCTTCAAGTCTCTCCGCGCGGATGGACGTGCCCTGGAGGCCAAAGCTGACGGCTTTGCCGCGAGGCGGCCAGCTCGGTCCGCAGCGTTGATGCTTCGCGCCTGGGCTGCCGCTGCCAAAGCTTCTGCCTCTGCTCGTGACGCACCGCGCATGGCACTGGCTGCTGCTCATCGCGACGCCGCACTCAGCCTGCATGCGTTCTGCGCCTGGCGGCGCGAGCACTGCCGCATCTCTGCGCTCGTGGCCACTGCTGCAGAGGCAGTGTCCATCAGGGAGCAGGGCCGGATGGCGCTGGCCTGGGCCATGTGGCGTGATCGGCTACGTGCACGCCAGACTCATGCTGCTCTCCTGACCAAGGCCGACGCCACGTACGCTGCCAATCTTGGCGCCACCGTCCTCGCTCTTTGGCGTCACCATCTTGCCACAAGGATTGCCATCCGGGACGCAGCTGCGCGCGCCTCCGCCCACGCCAATGCCAGTCTTGCCCGCAAGACGCTGCGGAGCTGGGCGACCACCGCCTCGCGTGCTGCCGCTGAGACTGCTGCTTTTGTACTCGCTGCTGCCTTCCATCGGGCCCAGCTGGCGAGCAAGGTCTTTGCTGCCCTCCGCGCCAACGTGAAGGCTGCGGCTGTCGAGCTCAACGCTTGGCGAACTGCTGCTCGGGCTGACGACCGCCGCCTTCTCACTGCCGGCTTTGCTGCGCTCCGCGCTCATGTTTGCGCTGTCAAGCGTGATCGCGCTGCCGCTGGGACTGCCGCCTTGTTCTGGGTTCGCAAAACCAAGACCAAAGTATTGACAGCACTCGCTCGCCATGCTGGCGACGCGCGTTCCGATCGCGCCGCCGCCGCCACCGCCGCTCTCTTCTGGGTTGCTCGCCGCAAGGCCGTGAGCTTGGCGGCGTGGCGTGCGTTTACCCAGGCCTCGCTCTCACGCTCGGCCGCTCTTGCCGATCGGGTCGCTTACTTTGAGGCGGCCGTGCTTGGCCCGCGCGTCAAGCGTCAGCTCATGGCTCGCTGGCGTGTTCAAGCTGAGCGGGCAGTGGTGGCCCGGCGCGCCCACAACGTGGCAAACGCCTTTTTCGTCGGCGTGCTCTGCGGTCCACGCTCCAGAAGTGGCGCATTGCTGCTGCGCGTGCCGACAAGCTCCGCACCGCTGGAGCTGCCGTTGCGCGGGCCAGCCATGTCCGTGCTGGCAAGGCTGCGCTCATAGTGTGGCGTCAGCGGACATCCGCTGCTGTTGCTGATCGCGAGGCCAACGTTCTCGCGCTCTCGTTCTGGGCAAGCAGGCTCGAAGCACGGGCGTGGCGCGGCTGGCAGGCCTTTGTCGAGCGTATGCGCCTCCGCAATGCAGCACGCACCCGCGCCCTCAAGATGCACCATGCCTTTCAGCTCCGTCAGGGCCTGGCCCTGTTGTTTGGGGGCGCCAACGCGTTGCGTCTCGAGCGCAATGCCCGGACGGCAGCGCGGCTTCCGCCAATTGTGCATGACGACGCGCTTCCGCCGCCGCGACCACCGCCGCGAGTTCCAGACCTGGAGCTGATGGGTCCGCTCGGCCCGCGCCCACTGCCGCGGCCGCTTCGCCCGCTCCCGCGCTCAAGCTCAAACGTGCCGCCGTCGCCGCCGCGGCTACACAAGGCCAAGCTCGCTTTTACCCCGACCGCGCGCTCGCGCGTTGTTGATGAAAACACCGCTGCAGCGACTCACTCGGCTGTCCGCGACGTTCTCGCTACCGAGGCTCAGCTAATGGACGCTTCTGCCAAGGTCGACTCTCTCACCGCCGAGCTGACAGAGTGGCAAGCTATGCTCGACGACGCCGCCGCCAACGCCCAGCTTCCCGGGGCCTCGGCGTCGTCGGAGGTCATGCTTGGCGTGCTGCGCACGACCGTGGCTAGGCTCAAAGGCCAGCTTGCCCACGCCCGCACTAACGCCGATGCTGCGCAGGCGGAGCGGGCGCGGGCCCGCTCCGCCGTATCGGCGCTCACCGGCGCATCAACCACTGCCACTGCCTGATCCGTCAGCCGCTTCTGGCTGCAGCGCCAGACGCCGAACGCCGACCATGGCCAAAAACAAGATGCCGCAGGGGAGCGCAGAGAGAACCGCCTCGACCTTGGTCTCACTCCAGTCCTCGCCGTCGACGAGAACCGACGAGAGGTAAAAGGCCAGCGCACCAAAGAGCAGCCGCAGCGATGACGCTGTCGAGAGAACCCGCCCGCGGATGGCGGGAATTGCGAGCTCCTGTAGCGTAGTCCATGCCTGGACCCACATGAACGAGATGCCAACGCCAACCAGACACATCGCTCCCATGTAGGCCGCCACGTGGAGGTCGAGGGCAACGACGAAGAAGCCGATGCCGGCCAGACCGATGCCCGCCTGCATAAACGCCAGCCGGCCATCAAGCGGCAGCACTTGGGCGTAGACCGAGGCCTGGATGCGACGCATGGCAAACGGACCCAGAACAATGCCGATCGAGACAGCCACAAACGATAGGCCAAGGCCGAGCCCCGAGTTGGACTTGCCCATCGAGTACTCGCGTTGAACGAGCCGTGTCATGACGAGGTCGTTTGCAGCGTCGGCAAACTTGAAGCCCGCCATGATCACCGCCAGAACTCCAAGCAGTGGCCGCTTGATGAACACAAACGAGAGGCCCGCAGCATAAGCTTTTGCCCATCGCACCACCGCTGACCCGCTCGTGTCGGTGTCAACTGCCCACTCGCTGTCGCCGTCCCCGGCAGCGTCATCAGCCGACGCGCTGCCAGAGTCCACAACGAGCGTGTAGCCGCTCCCGCCGGCAGCCAACTGCATCACCATCACCATGCACCCGGCAGAGAAAGCAAACGAGGACGCGTCAAAGATGTATGCTGGCGCCGTGCCGAGCAAGCCGGTGACGAGACCCGAGCCCGCCGAGCCGAGCGCAAAGGTGAGCGAGTTGATCATCGAGTCGAGCGCGTTGGCGAGCTCGAGATCCTCGCCGGGTGCCACCATCTCGGCTACAAGCGCTGTCTTGGACGGACGAAAGAGCGCGGAGAGGATGCCGATGAGCACCACGTTGACGTACACGATCCACAATGTCTCGGACGAAGTGACCAAAAGGTAGCCGCACACCAGCACCGTCGACGCCACATCGCATCCCAGCAGCAGTTTGATCTTGGGCACCGAGTCGACGACCACGCCCGCCACCGGCGAGAAAAGTGCCGAGGCTAGAAGCCGAATGATAAAGTAGAGCGAGACCATGAATGCCGACGATGTGTAACGCTGCAGAACGACAAGCGTAGCCACCTCGTTGAACCAAGTGCCGAGCCCGGTGACAAAGCCACCGACCAGCAGCCACCGGAACGCCGCGTTCCGCCGCAGCAACGAGACATAAGCCCCGCATCCGCTGTCGAACGACGCTGTCTCGCCATCACCACCACCGTTCTCACCAGCGAGCCCGTCGCCGCCTGCGTCATCGCCATCGCCATCGCCCGCCTCGTGCCAGCACCCGGCTGTCGCCGCCCACACATCGTCGTCGTCGTCCAGCCGCGCCGACCGCCGCGCCCGCGTCGAACTGGCCGTGATGCCATGCTCCGACTCGCCGGTCAGCAGCGCCCGCTCCTCGGCTTTGCTCGGCATCCCGGACGGAATGACCACCTTTGGCCGCGCCCGACTACCCCTTGCCGGCGGCGGCACGCGCCGCGCCTCGCCGCCGCTCCGAGCCATCGTCTCACTGCCGACGGCACTTTCGATTCCAATCTTGAGCTCGGGCTTGGGCTCGTGCTGAGGGAAGAGGCGCCGGTCAGAGTGGGGTGGCCTTGTCGCCCCAGGCACCGCGCCTGCGCCCCTTGCACCTGCACGCTCGCCCGCGGACATGGGTGCCCGGGACACGGGTGCCCGGGACACGGCCTCGCACGATCCTGCCAATGCAATCATCTCTATCCGCACGCCACCGCCTCCCCCTCCCATCCCGCATGGCATCCGTTTTGTCCCCTCCTGGAACTCGGTCCGACCGACATCATCGCCCACGTGATCGCCATCGACTCGGGCTCCTTTGCGGCCCTTTCCGGCTTTGCTGCCGAGCCAGGCTCGCCACCCCCTCCCCCCCCCCCCCCCCCGTCCTTACACACACATGCTCACTCACCTAGCACCCAACCCCCATCCCCATCCCCACCCCCACCCCCATCCGCCCCCACTTTCCACGGCCATGGGCAAGCCCTCCCTGTCCCCCTCCCCGGCCACCTCACCACCTCGGCAACCCGCCCGCACCCGCACACTCCGTCGCCCCGCCCTCCCACCCCGCCCCGCCCACTCACCGCCGAGCCAGCGTTCCCGGATGCAGAGCCCATGCCGGTCTTCTACCCGCGACCCGAGGACATGCGCGACGTTATGGGCTACGTCGCGTCCATCGCGCCCGCTGCCGCTGCCGCAGGAGTGGCCAAGATCGTCCCGCCGCCCGGCTGGGCCCCACCGTTTGCTCTGGACTCGGCCGCCCTCTCCTTCCGCCCGCGCATCCAGACGCTCAACACCATGAACGGCGCCGTCCGTGAGGCCCTCAACTACGCAGACGGCCTGCTGCAGTACCACTTGCAGCAGGGCGCAGGCATCACCCGTCTGCCCACCGTCCTCGGCGTTCCCATCGACGTCCATGCTCTCCGCAACGCCGTTGCCGCCGCCGGCGGCGCCGACGCCGTCGACGCCCTCCCGACCGGATGGTACGATATTGCCTGCACCATCGGCATCGAAGGCCGCCAGCCGTCATACTACCGACCCGTCCTCCGCAAAGCCTAGCCCTCATCGAGGACTACGAGGCCTACCGCGCCGCCGCCCGTATCGCCACAACAAGCTTCACCGCCGCGCCCGCCGCCACCCACTCAGAGGTGCCGGCCTGCGGCTTTTGCGAATCACCACACGCAGATTCGGACGCCCTCATGGCATGTGACGCGTGCGGCCTCGTACTGCACTTTTACTGCGTCCAGCCGGCCCTTCCCTGCCTGCCCGACACCGAGTACTGGCTCTGTCCGGCATGCCTCGCCGGCGCAGGCCCCAAGTACGGCTTTGAGCAGGCTGATCGAAACTACACTCTTCCCGAGTTTGAGGCCGCCGCCGCCAAGTTCAAGATCCGTCATCTGCCCGACCTCGCGGACACTGTTGAGCGCTCTGTGGCCACGGCCTGCTCACCGACAGCGTGGCGCCCGCCGCCGCGCCCGTCGACACCGCCGTCTGCTGACGATCTTGCCATCGAAAACTACGTCGAGCAAAAGTACTGGGACGCCGTTCATGACCCGATCCACCCCATCGACACCATGTACGGCGCCGACCTACCGGCCATGGTCCACGGATCGGGCTTCCCAGTCACTGCCTCTAAGAGCGCGTCGTTCAACCTCAACCGTGTCGCCCTCTCGCCGCAGTCGATGTTCTCGTTCATCGACCGCTACATTTCCGGGTGCATGTCGCCTTGGCTCTACGTCGGCATGCTCTACTCTACCTTTTGCTGGCACAACGAGGACCACTACACGTACTCGCTCTCGTACCTGCACTGGGGGGAGACCAAGACCTGGTACGGCGTCCCGTCGTCGCATGCAGACGCGTTTGAGGCCTGCATGCGCGCCTCCATGCCCGAGCTGTTTGAGGACTCCCCCGACTTGCTCTCCCACATTGTCACCATGCTCTCGCCGCAGACACTGCTCGATGCCGGTGTCAAGGTCGTTGTCGGCCACCAGCGACCCGGCGAGTTCATGGTCACCTTTCCGCGCGCCTACCACGGCGGCTTCTCGCACGGCTTCAACTTTGGCGAGGCCGCAAACTTTGCTCTCCCCGACTGGATTCCCTACGGTGCCCTCTGCCTCACCCGCTACGCTTCGCTGGCCAAGCTCCCGGTCTTCTCGCATGAGCGCCTCCTCTGCCGCATCGCTCTCTTCTCGTCCCGTATCGACGTGCTCGCCGGAGTCGCCCCGCACTTGCGTGCTCTCGTCGAGGCCGAACTGGACCGGCGTGCCGCCGCTGCTGCTGCTTACGACTTTAACGACGTGCTCGATCTGGCTGCCACTGTGGCACCCGAGACCTACGTTGACCACCTCGCCCATCTCCTCTCCTCCCGAAGCTTGAGCAAGTTGTGCAAAAACCGCCAGCTGGCGAGCAAGCGGCTCGTCAAATCCCAGCTGTCCACAATGGACTCGCGCATGGCGCCGGCCATCTCGCGTATGGTCGGTGCCTCACCGGCTGATCCGAGCCGGAAGCAAGACTTTCGCCCACCGCTCTGTGCCGTCTGTCACTCGTTCCTCTACCTCTCGTTTGCCCGCTGCACCTGTGGTGTTGTTTCGGTCTGTTGGGACCACGCTCCCGATCTCGCTGCAGGCACACTGTGCTCGTGCCACACCCCGCAACTCGTCTTCGCCTTTATGCATTCGGAGGGCGTGCTACTTGATCTCGTTGACGGCGTCGAGGCCAAGGTCACGGCTGCCTCGACCGCCCGCGAGCATCTTCTTGTGCTGCTCGCCCGCGCCCGCAACGGCTCGGGCTTGCTCTCGGTCCCGTCGCTGCTTGGCACTGTCAAGGCTGCGTCGGCCTATGATGGCCTCCTCCTCAGCTCCGAAGTCAACGAGGTGTCCCGGCTCTGTAGCCTTGTCCACAGGCTCGAGACGCTCGGGTCGCGACTACCATCGTCGCGCGACAGCCGAGGCTTGGCTGCCGTGGTCGGCGACATCCCACTGGCCGCCAGCGACATTGCAAACGCGCTGACTGCCTTTGAGGCGGTGTTTGATCCTGCAACGCTGTCGCATCCGGTCGACGCACTGCGCAATGCTCTTGCTGCCTCGGACACCCTCGCCGAGCAAGCCGCCACGCTCGGGGCCAATCCGTCGCTCGACTTTGCACGGGAGCTTATTGACCGGGCCTGCCGCCTCGGTGTGGCATCACGACCGCTCCTGGAGCTCGAAAACAGCGTTTGCGAGCTCACGTGGCTTGACAGCGTGAGAAACCAACCCGTGGCTCAGCTCGAGTGGCCCGAGTTGGTGACTGCGCGCGATGGCTGCGTCCAGTCATTCCCGCTCTTTTCCGCCCTTACCACCACCGCTCTCATCGAGAACGCGCCCTCTTTCAGTGGCTCGCACTCGGACGAGGTCAACAAGGCCGAGGCCAGCCTCGAGGCAGCACTTGCCCACGGTGAGACCGCATCAGAACGAGTGTCGGCCATGCTCGGCACGCCGCTCGCCTTTGGCTCGCTCTCTGCGCTCCACGACTGGATCTACGGGAGCGGCGTCCTACTTCCTGGCGATGCACTTCTTGAGCCGACGCTCCTCCTCCTCCGCAAGACGCTTCTGCGGCCGGGCAAGTGGCAGCGCGCCGCCGAGGTGCTACTCTCCGGCGAGTCGAACACACCCGAGCCGTGCGAGCGCGCCGTCGAGCTCCTCGCCCGCGCCGCCAAGTCGCCAGTTGCAGTCGGCGAACAGGTGGAGGCACTCGACACCGCACTTGATGCCACTGCCGTCCTCGAAGGAAGTGTCTTTGCTGCCTTTGGCGACGAGTGGCGCGTCGACAAGACCAGCCGACAGGCTGTCTCCTGCCGCCTCCTCGCCCACCAAAAGCCCAACGCTCGCAGGGTGACGGACTTGGTCAACGCCGTCTCCGTCGCTTGCGAGGCTGCCAAGGAGGCTGTCGAAACTATCGAGGCCGGTGCCTCCATCGCTGACGTCTACTGCCTCTGTCGTGGACCAGAAGAAGGGCAGATGGTTCTGTGCGACGTGTGCGCCGAGTGGTTCCACGTCCAATGTGTCGGCTGGGAGCCGTCGCCATCGCCGGCAGCCGAGCTCGTGGCCGGCGACAAGCGAGCTCACAGCCAAACCGACGAGACCTCTCACGATACGTCCCTCTCGTTTGCTTGCCCGCTTTGTACCTGGGACAAGCGCATCTGGCGGCACCATTGGTCCGGGCGGCCGAGCCTCGAGCAGGTCCGTGCACTCGCAGCCTCACTGGATGCGGCGGCCGCCGCGCGAGGACAGGCACTCCGCCTCACATCACTCCACGCCCGACTGGTGCGGATTGTCGATTGCGTTGATGCCTGGGCCACACATGCGCGCGCCGCACTGGCCGCAGCTCCTCCACCAGACCTCGATGAGACCAAGCGGTTGTACCGTATCGGCCTCTCGATGGAGGTTGCAGATGAGGCAGTCGAGGCCGCGCTGGCACAGGCGATCGAGGTTGGCAACTCTGCCCTGCTCCCGCCAGCCACTCTCTACTGCACCTGCCGCGAGCCGTGGGACGAGTCGCGCGAAATGATCGGTTGCGACGGGTGCCAGGACTGGTTTCACTCTGAATGCGTCGCCGGCGGCATCGTCGCCGGCGAACGGTTCTTCTGTACGCTGGCGTGCGAGGCCACCGCCGCGGCGCCACCGGCCAAGAAGGCCAAACTTCTCGTGTAAAGTGCAGCTCTCACCAGCACCTGCAGCATCGTGAGCATGTTCTACCTCGGTCACCTGCCCGCGAACCCCAGTCAGAGCGCGAGCTCGAGTCGGTCCGGAGACCCGACGCCCTCGGTCGCGAGCTCTTGAAGCGACGCAGATGGTCAGTGTCGGACACGGCATCCGACTCGCGCGACGATGCTGACGGCGTCTCGGAACGGCTGTCACTCGAGCGAATTCGAACCATGCTACGGAGGGGGGTGAGGGGTGAGGTGGGGTGGTGGATAACTATGGGGCGCGCTGCCGTTCTGCGCGCGCCCTGCCGCCGAGCAGCGGGTACATGTGTGATTTCAATCTCTCGCTCAGCGGACAAGCGAGGCGTTGAGCGAGGCGTTGAGCGAGGCGTTGAGCGAGGCGTTGAGCGAGGCGTTGAGCGAGGCGTTGAGCGAGTCGTTGACCGAAACGCTATTCTCCTTGCTCGCGACGTCTGTAGCGGCCATGCCCTCGGCGTTGGTGTGGATCTTGATGGGTGAGCCGCCGTCGAGATCGTCAAGCGCCATGCCACCGGGCTTGGCCGAGAGATAAACGGTTGACGACGACGAGGTTCGCTGCGAGGTGGTTGCTTGCTTACTCTGCGAGGCGGCAATGGAGCGGCGCGACGAGCGCCGGAGCGAAGCCGATGAGAGCGAGGACCGGAGCTCGGCAGCCTTGAGGCGGTACTTCTCGACGGTAGCACGGAGACGAACATTGTCGGTTTTGAGTTTGCGGTTCTCGGCCACGACCTTGGCGAGATGGCGGATTTTTTGCTTGCGGTTAGAGTGGCCGCCAAGCTGAGCGTTGGCTTCAGCGAGCTCCTTGGCTTGGTTTTCCAGCACCTCGTTTTGGGCACGCAGCTCCTCGAGATCCATCTGTGACGCGCCGCCAAGCCGCGAGACCTGAATCCGCAGCTCTCTGTTCTCGACCTGCAGCGAGTCTGCAGCATCGAGCGCTGCCGTAAGTCGGGATTCAAGCCGCGACTTGTCACCCGCATAGCGCGAGCTGGCCGAGCTGAGCTTGACCTCCAGAGCAGCCACCTGGGTGGACTTTGTCTCGAGCTTGCCCCGCACCTCGGTGAGCTTGCAAACAAGATCGGCTTTGATCGCCGCCGACTCAGCGACAACCGCGTTGAGGTTTTCTTGCAGCGCGTCCGCCACTGCTGAAAGATCCTCCAGCTCCTCCTCGTCCTTGCGGCGCTGGGTGATGGCGGCGTTGCGGACGAGCGTGTTGAGGTTGGACCGCATCTTTGTGAGTGCGTCCTCCAAGCTTGTGGCCTGTTTGGCGGAAGCCGCAGCATCGGCTCGGGCAGCGGCAACGCTGGCCTGCGCTGCCAGGACAGTCTTCTCGGCAGCGTCTGCCGCCACGCCCAGCTCAAACTGCGAGACGTTGACGGCGTTGACCAAGACAGCAGCAAGCACCTCGACGGTCGCGCCGATTCCGACCTTTTGCGCATCCGCAAGGCTGGCGGTAGCCTCAGGCGTGAGAAGGTCGAGCTCGGCAAGTGCGTCAAGTGCCGAAGCTACAGCTGCGGCGGTGGCGGCCTTGGCGGCCGACACCGCCGCCACAACCTCATCCAGCTCGTTGCGGACAACAGCAAGCTCGGCCGCAGCGGTCTCAGACGCGCCCTCGGCAGCAGTCAGAGCGGCCTCGACAGCTGCAGTGTGATCAGCGAGCTGAGCTTCGCGGGCATGCGAGGTCTCGACCTCGGCCGTGAGCTCGGTGACGGCGACATCGAGTTCGGCCATGAGTGCGTTAGAGTCGGCGAGAGTTGCTTTTGCAGCGTCAAGCTTGTCTGCTGCGCCGGCCATGGCGCTTGCGTGCTGGCTCTCGAGATTGCCAAGTGCGGCGCGGGCGGCGTCGAGCTGGACGAGGACAGCAGCGGTTTCGTTGCCAAATGAGTCGCGAAGCGAGACAAGCTCATCTGATGCTGCGTCAGCTTCGGCGGTCTTGGCAGCGAGAGCCGCGAGTGTCTCGTTGAGCGAGGCGGCGAGGGCGGCGGCATCGGCTTCGACGAGGGCAACCTGTGCCTCGGTAGCCTCGGCGGCCGTGGCGAGCTCATCGATACGCGCGGTTGCGGCAGCAGCGGCAGAGGCAATAGTGGCGCGGTCGCTTCGGAGAAGCGCGACCTTCTTGGCGCCGAGCAAAAGGGCACCATCGAGCACAGCGCCGAGCTGGCGGGTCGACGCCTCGACTGCCTGCGAGTATGCGTCCATCGAAGGATGCCGCGACGGCGAGGACAGCGGGGCAAGCGAAGTGCTGGTAATGTCGTACATGGTGGCGGCCGAGGCGTGGAGCCGGTCGAGGTTGGCGCGGTGCGCTTTGCGGAGGGCCTCTGACTTTGGTGAGGCAAGCGGTTTGTACGGCGAGTTCTCAAAGACCTGTGCTGCATGGATCGAGACCTTGGAAGAGAGCCCGCTCAGCTTGGTGGTGAGTCGGTCAACGGTGGTGTGCATGTGAGCGAGGCGCTCGTTGGCAGCCGCCACCGACTCGGCGGCCTCGCGGCGGACGGCGGTCAACTCGGCAGCGTGGGCGGCGCGAAGGCGGGCGAGCTCGTCGGCGGCTGCTTTGGCATCGGCCTCGCGCTCGGAAGCATAGACGGCCGCCGCCTCGCGACGTGCGGCCGAGACGCGGGCGTCTGCTGCTGCAGAAAGGCGAGCAAGCTCCTCGGCGTGGTCGGCTTGGAGACTGGCTAGGGCTGAGGCTTCCGAGTGGCGGAGCGAGGCGGTGTGCGCGTCGACAGCGGCGGCATGGTGTGCGGCGGCGGTGGCAGGGTCCACGATGTTGGGCACGGCATCGCAGCGCTCACGAGCGGCGGTCGAGGCCACAGCAGCAGTGACAGCGGCTGCAAGGGTGTTCGCGGCGCGCGATTTGAGACTGAGGTGAGCAACCTCGGCGACGAGGGCGGCTTCGCGGACGGCGGCGTCGGCCGCAGCGGACGCGCCATTGGCTGCGGCTTCGCGTGCTGCATTGCCGGCAGCGCGCAGCTGCAGCTCCTCGATCTCCAACTGGTGAGCGGCGCGAGCCTCGCGGAGTGCAGCTGAGTACGAAGCAATGAGTGCGGCGGTGGCGGCACGGGTCTCGTTCTCGTGGGCGGCTAGAGCAGCGGCGTGCTCGGCGCGGAGATCGCGGAGCGCAGCAGCTGAGCAGGCGGCAAGCCCTGCAGTGACTTTTGCATCGGCACAGTGGTTGGCCAGCTTTGCGGCGGTGGCGGCTAGCTTTGCGGCGGCGGCGTCGCAGGCGGCTGAGTAGTCTGCGTCGAGCGCATCGAGGCGGGCCTGACACGCAGCGTGAGCGCCGACGGTGGCGGCGAGCTGGGCGCGAAGGCTGATGGCGGCATCGCCTGCTGCAGCAACATCAGCGCGGGCGGTGTCCAGCTGTGCGCGGGCAGCGGCAAGTTCAGCACGTGCGCGATCGGCGTCGTCGGCAAGGCTCGCCGACTCGCGGTGGTGGGCGACGAGGGCGAGGAGCTTCTGGTCCTTTGCGGCAATGCGGGCCTCGAGATCGAGAAGGACCTTGCGGACGAGGCCCTTTGAGGTCATCTTGGCGGTGACAAGGTCTTGCTTGCGCTTGGACGCAACCTTGGGCGGTGTCTCGGGGCCGACCAGCTCGGTCCGCTTGGCGCGCAGCCAGCGCGGAATGGGCTGGGCGCCGTCGCGCGAGTTTGAAATTTTGGCGCTGGCAGCCGAGCCCGCCGAGCCGACAGAGCTGGCTGAGGTCGACGACGAGTCGAGGTCAGCATCGTGGATGCGGCGCTCGGTCCGGACCACCAGCGGGTTGCCCAGCTTGCGGTCCGGCAGCTTGGGGTCGTAGCATCCGGGGCCGAGCTCGGTCTTCTCCGGCGTGGTGAACCTGCGTGAGCGGGCAAACATGGCGAACCGAACGAGTCGAGTGGCGGGCAGCGGCCGGGTCCGGCGGGTGGCGGCCGCGGCGCGGTGTGGCATACCTGGGAGTAGTGACGTCTGAAGAGCTGCCGATCCGATTGATGGTATCAGGATGAAAGATGACAGTGCTTCGTATGGCATGTATTGCTGGCGGGCTGAGTTCCGCAGCTCGATTGGCACGCACGGGAGACGGCGCTACACAAGGCTACACAACGTTGCGCTCTACAATGGGATCGTCGGTGAGAAGCCGGGAGTAGTCAAACGGCGAGAGATCGAGTGTCTGGTAGCTGCCGTGGATGATGAGCTCCGAGAGGCCGCGGCCGACTGCCGGCGACTGCTGCAAACCGTGGCCAGAGAAGCCTGCGGCATGAATCAAGTTGGAGACGTCCGGATCGTAGCCGAGGATAGCGTTGTGGTCAAAGGGGTTCATGTTGTAGACGCCGGCCCAGGCGTGGACCACCTTGATAGCCTCAAAGACTTCGGCTCGGTTGGCCAGCGCAGGCCAGATGATGTCGTCAAAGAGCGCGTAGTCGACGTCAAAGGCGAGGTCGTCGGTGACATCTACCACCGGATCGCGGTCAGCTGGCGGCGACACGCCGCAAATGAACGTCTTTGTGCCCTCAGGCCGGGCCCAGACCCCAGTCCGGTCGATGAGCATGGGGCAGTCGGCGGCAGTGTTGGTCTCAGTCTCAAAGACAAACACGCAACGGGTGTGCGGGCGGGTCGGGAGCGATGCGCCGCACATTTGAGCAACACGATGCGCCCAGCCACCGGCAGCATTGACAACGGTGCCTACCTGAAGTGCTGCGCCCGATACCGTGGTAAGCTCGGCAACGCCGCCGTCGGCGCCTCGGCGAGCTTTGACAACCTCATCGGCGACAAACGAGACGCCAAGCGAGCGCGCCTTGTTCCTGTATGCCATCAGAAGCGAGTAGGCGTCGAACCAGCCCTCGCCTGGTCCGCCCAGCGATGCAGCTGCTACGTCGTGCGCCCGCATCCACGGCCACGCAGCGGCCACGCCTGCGGGATCCAGCAGCGTCGGCTTCGCACCGGCGGCAATCTGGATTGCGTGATTCTCTTCCAGCACGCTCCGACCACTCTCGCCGGCGAGGAACAAGTATCCGCGTTCGACAAAGCCAATGTTTGGCGGATCGCAGCCGTCAACCGCCAGCGTCGTCGCCGCGCGGCGCAGAAAGTCCGAGCCGAAGAGCGAGATGGCCACGTTGAGGCTGGTCGAGTATTGATGGCGGATCGAGGCCGCGGAGAGTGACGATGACGCGCGGCTGTAGCATGGATCCTGCTCAAAGACAGCGACGGTCAGCGAGGGATCAGCAGCTGCAAGGTGGTACGCAGTCGATGCGCCGGACACTCCGCCACCCACAATGGCCACATCGAACGCAGCTGGCGCGCTGGCAGGCAACACGCACATGCCACGGGCAGTCGGGATGCAGGAAAGGCTGCGGTTGCGGACAAGGATCCCAGCGTTGCGTCTTGTCCAGTTCCACATGGCCTGGCAAGTGAGGGGATGAGGGGAAGAGGGTGGGTGGTGCAGTGGGGCGGTAAGCCGGGGGCTGGCCGAGGAGAGACAGAGTGGAGTTGAGGGAGCTGTTGTGGGGAGCTGTGGGCGAGAACGATTCTCTTTTTTTTCTCGCATCCCACTCGACCGACAGGTGCTCAGCGGCCGTAGGGATGATGTGGATGGCCACCGCCGCGGCCGTGTTGCGGGGCGTGGTGCGGCTGCGACGGGCGATGGTGCGGCGGCGGGGCTGGGGCCACCTTTGCAGACTTTGAGCCAGACTTGATGCAGATCTTGTAAAAGGCGCAGCCGAGAACGAGGAAAATGAGGACGAGGCAGATCCAGAACCAGTTCTCGGCAGCAAAGTTAGAGGCAGAGTTGAAAGCATCGGATGCCTTGCTGAGAAGCGAGTTAGATGAGCCGCGGAAAGTGACCGGGTAGTAGTACGAGCCCTGGCCGTCCGCGTTGTAGGTGTTGACCGGGACGTCGACCTCCTCCGAGTACTCGGGATGGGCGGCGACGACGCACGTGAGCGTGGCGGCATCGACGAGGGTGACGTCGGTACACTTGTGGAGGCCGAGGTAGACGTCCATGCCAGCGAAGAAACCCTCACCGGTGACGGTCACGACGTCACCCTCGCCGACCGACTTGGGCTCGACGTTTGTCGGGGTGGGAAAGGCAATCGAGGTCGACGGAGTGCCGGCGCAGAAGAAGGAGACATCGGGGCAGTCGAGTGAGCCCTCATAGCCCGGAGCGGTGAGCTTGCCGGACGAGGGGCAGACGACCCAGGTGAGGCCGATTTGGACGCGAAGTGGACCGGTGGCATTGAAGCAAAGAGTGCGGTGGCAGTTTTGGCGAAGCGGGCCAAAGTCGTCGCCGACGGTGAGCGACGAGTCAAAGCAGCGCGACTCGTCATGAAAGTTCTCGCCGTAGTTGAACGAGTTGGAGGTTGCGGTTGATGACTGGGAGCAGAGGCCGTTGGAGTAGGGGCGGGTGATGGGGCAGAAGTCTGCGAGGTCGGAGAAGCCGCCGAGCGACGGCATGCCTGGAAAGTGCTGGTAGGCGGGTGCGAGGGTGGCCGGCGAGTAGTCATCGATCTGGCAGTAGCCCTTGGCCTTGCGGTCGTAGGTGCATTGGTTGTTCGACTTTGTGTCGAGGCCGCAGTTGTAGCCAAAGGCGCCCGAGTCCTTCCAAAGGCCGCAGTCATCATTGACAAACGAGCAACCCATGTTGCGGCCCCAGTCGAGGCGATCAGCCTTGGAGTAGTCGGGCAGGTACCAGCCCGAGTCCTCGAGGATGGCGAGAGTAAAGACCGAGAGGACCGGCTTGATGGACGACGAGCCGGTCATAAACTCGTCGAGGAAGAGCCGCTTCTCCCAGTGGGAGCCTGCAGTACCTGCGCCGCCGGCGTCTTCGACAGGGATGCGGGTGATGGAGGGGCAGTTAAAGTAGTCCTGAGCGGTGGCCACAACCTTGGGTGTCTTGAGGTAGGTGATGCCATCGTCGGTCTCGGTGATGGGGCCCGGGAGCGCGTTTGTCGAATTGAGCCCATCCTTGAACGTACCGTACTTGGACGATTGGAAGCCGAGAGCGTGGGTGATTTCGTGGATGGCGACGCCCAGCTGCATGCTGTACATTTCCGAGGCGAGATCGACCTTGTTCGGGCCAAAGTTCATGTGGCCGGCGACTGGGCGGCCAAACTGGTCTTCCTTGCACGAGCCGGCGTAGGCAATGACGTTGCCGAGCGTCGGGCGCGCTGTGACAAACAGCACCATGTCAGCGGGTACGCCCGGACTGGTGTACGACGGCGGGATGGTGATGCCACCGTTGTACCCGCAGACTGTTGAGCCGGTGAGCTTGAGATTGCCGGCGCATGGCACAACAGAGAGTGCGCCCTCGAGCCAGGCCTTGGCCTGCGGAAGCAGCTTGTTCTGCAGGTGTTCGCCCTTGGCGGTGGTAAAGACCGACTCGGCGTCGCAAGCGAGCCAGCAATTGGTGTTGACCGTGTCCGAGCACACGTCCGACGTCGAGCTCGGGTCCCCGATCTTCACCGAGTCGCCCTCATTGAGGCACGTCCGATCAACGTCGTCGCTCGAGCCAAAGTAGGTAAAGTCGAGGACAAGGCGGATGGGTCCAATAGGCCCGGTTCCCTCCGAGCCGCTCCGGGCCGAGATCCTCGCCTGTTCCGCCGGCCCATGGTCATAGTCCTGAGGGGCGAGCCGGGCATGCGCCGCCATTTGCGGCAGCTCGGCATGGAGCATGTGAAGCTTGTCATGAATGCACTCGTGATGTGCGGGTGTGGCTTTTGGCCTCCCGTCTGTGGCCTCGCCTCGTTCTGTCGGCGTTCCACGCACAACAACAAACGCCACGGCGAGAGCCACCAACGCCACCACCCACTGCGGGGCGTTCCCAACCTGGCCATGCTCGTTGTGGTCCACAGCCTCTACAGAGAGAGAGTACGCCCACACTCACAACAGTGTCCAGCTACTCTTTGCTGCGTACTCCTCCGCTACTTGCGCAAGAGGGTGGGGAGGAGTGGAACTCACTCACCAATGCTTCTCTGGAGAAGACGGTGCTCCGTGTGCGGGGGGGAGGTCGGGGAGGGCTGGCTGGCTGTGAATCGCCTCGGCAATTGCTTCCGCCTCACTTCCACTTCAGTGAGGCTTTTTTTTTTTGGAAGCCATGTTGGACCGAAGAAAATAATGCGGGGGAAGGGGTGTGGGGTAGGGGGGCTTGGGGGGAGGGGGGGTTGGGGGTTGGGGTTTGGGGGGGGGGGGGGGTGTCGGGGTGGACAGAGGTGGACAGGGAAGGGAGGGTGAGTATGGGCTGGCCTTGCGATGACAGCCAAATGGCTTGATGACGTTTTGCACTGCTGCTGCATCAACAGGCATCAACCGGCATCAACAGGCATCAACGGTGCATCAACCAGGGCCCCGCTTGAGATCGCCTGGTATGGTGGCTGGCCGTGGCTGGCGGCGGTGGGAGTATCAAATGCGTGTGGCGTGACGGGAATCGCCGGCGGTCATCATGCCGGCTCATCATGGCCTCGTCACAAGCCTGGCACCTGTGGCAGTGGCAGGCTGGGCTGGGCAAGGTCGTATCACAACACTACACCACCACGCCACCGCACCAACAGTGCCATGCTGAGAGCCTTTGTGCAAGTCGTGGCCCGGGCGGTAGTCGCTGTTCTCGAGGCGCTGATCTGGGTCGTGGCGAGGAGCAGGGCGGCGGAGAACATGTTTCTTGCAGGCAACTTTGGCCCCGTGGACGAGACGGCCCAGCCGCTGGCGCTTGACGTGACGACCGGCAACATGCCTGCAGCGCTGGTGGGCACGGTCTTTGCTCGCAACGGCCCCAATCCAGCAGTCCAGCCGCGCGCCGGCTACCACTGGTTCGACGGCGACGGTATGGTGCACTCGGTCAAGATCGAGGCGGCTGACACGGTTACGTACGCCTGCCACCAGCTCCGCACGCCGCGGGCGGTGGCTGAGATGACTGCCGGCAAGCCGCTGGCGACCAAGATTGGCGACATGCAGGGCGCGATGGGCCTTGTCGCTCTGCTGCTGGCCAAGGTTCGTGGCGTGGCGGGTGTTACCACCGCCCACGGCTCACTCGGCACAGGCCTCCGCGCAGCTACCAACAACACGGCGCTTGTCTACCACGCCGCCCGCTTCCTCGCACTCGTTGAGAACGGGCTCCCATTCTCGCTCGGGTTAGCCGACAACGCTGTCACTTCGCAAGACCACTTTGACTTTGATGGCGCGCTAGACCACGAGATGACGGCGCATCCCAAGATCGACGCGGCCACTGGCGAGATGTTCTTCTTCGGCTACGCGCTCGGCGGCCCGCCGTACGCCTACTATGCCTCGGTCACCGCTCAAGGCGTCAAGCGACCATCGGTCGCCATCGACCTCCCGCGGCCGGTCATGATCCACGACATGGCGGTGACGCCCAGCTTTGGGCTCATCCTCGACTTGCCGCTCGTCTTCCGCCCGGCCGACATGGTGACCAAGGGAGGCATACCATTTGTGTTTGATCGTGCGTGCGGCGCGCGCATTGGGCTTATGCCACGGACTGCAGAGCCCGGCTCTGTCCCGCGCTGGTTCGATGTCGAGCCGTGCTTTGTCTTTCACACCGCCGCGGCTTGGGAAGTGGACGGCGGCAGAGTTGTGGTCCTCGTGGCACTCCGCTATCCGAACTTTGACCTCAACGTCCTTGGTGATGCCGGCGACCCGGACCGGCTGTCAGCGCTCTCAGCCTACCTTTACGAGTGGCGGCTTGATGTGAGGACGGGCGCGGTCACGGAGCGTCCGCTACTGCCGAACGTTCCGGCCGAGTTCCCGATCGCCGCGCCGCGGACAGTCGGCGCGAGCTCGCCGCCCGAGTACGTGTACCTAGCGCGGCGATCGGCCGAGAGTGGGCTCGAGTTTGACGCCATTGTCAAGTATCATCTTGCCTCGGAGCGCATCGTTGGCGTCATCGAGTTTGGCGCCGGCAAGTGCGGCGGCGAGGCGGTGTTTGTGCCGCGGTCGGCGTCGGGCAGTGGTGCTCCCGAGGACGATGGCTTCCTTCTCACCTTTGTCTACGACGAGGTGAGCGAGACCTCGACGTTTGCTGTGTACTCGGCAGCAGACATGACCACAATTCCAATGGCATCGGTCGAACTCGGCGTCCGGGTTCCATACGGCTTCCACGGCCTCCATCTCGGACTCGGCGCCGTGAGCGCGCTTGCCAACGGCAACAGTTGATGGCGCAAAACGAAGGTGTGTTTACATCAGGATCGCGTGCGACTCACGACGACTCCTCGTCGGACTCGTCGTACGAGAGGCCGGTGCGGGCATCGGTGGCCTCGTCGGTGTCGGTCGAGTCGGACCAGAACAGAGTGCCCTTCTTCTTGCCCTTGCCCTTGCTCTTCTTGGCGGCAGCCGGCTTGGCAGTCTCGACCTCGGCACCGAGGGAAAGGAGCAGGCGGGTGATGTATTGCAGGCGAATGCCAAAGACCACAACGGCAACGGTGAGGCCAGTCATCATGATGACCAGCAGGGCAAGGTTGACGCCAGAGAGCGCGGCGCCGGCGGTAGCCGACGAGTCGTCGTCGTCCGAGTCGGCAGCCATGGCGGCAGCCATGGAATTCGACGACATGGCGGCGGCAGCCGGGGCGCGGTAAGAGGAGACCGAGCGGCCGGCCAGCGGCTGCGTGGGGCGGTTGGACTTGCCGATGATGGCCTCGATGGCGTCGATCTGGGCCTGGCTCGCCTTGAGCGGCGACTGGAGGACCATCCACGAGACACCCTCGGAGCACGGCGGGGTGGTGAGCGAGCCAGGGTACGACCAGTACGAGAGGCCGGCCTTGGAAACCTCGGTGAGGTCGAGCGAGGCCATGGCCTTGTCGCCCTTGGCGGCAAGATCGTCAGCGTTGGCCACAACCGACTGCAGCAGCGGCGAGGTCATGGACGAGGTCTCAAAGAAAATGCCGAGCACGGCGAGGTTGTTGGAAGCATCGGCATGGACCACATGCATCTCCAGCGGGTAGTGCATGCCGTTGACAGTGTGCTCGGAAGGAGTGTGGAAGTGGAGCTGAAGGACCTTGCGGGTGGCGCCGAGCGCCGTTGACTCGATGCGGAACATGGTCGAGGCGTTGTAGGAGACCTGGATGGTGTGGCCCTTGTTCTCGACCTCAAGCCCAGAAGCACTTCCGTAGATAGGATGAATGGCGGCAGCAGTAGCAACTGTCGCCGTCGGCATAAGGTCGATTGGCGACTGGGCGCCCATGGTCTGGTTGCAGAGCGGCGCATTGCAGACAGTGCCCCACTCCTCCGGAGCGTCGTAAGAGTACTCGCACGAGGCGGCACTGCCCATGCCCGCCAGGAGGAGCAGCATACCCAGAGCAGCAAATGTCTTCATCATCTGCTTCATCTTCACACTATGATTCGTTGGAGAGTGCAGTCTGTCTCTCCAACCGCTCTACGATCCCCCTTGGACCGCTATTCATGAAGCAGCGGAATAAAGCCCGGGATGAAGGGTTTTGTTCTACGTCACCAACGGCCAAAAATCACGTGGGAACGGGGGGGGGGGGCTGACAGAAGGGAGCTAGCTAGCCGATGGACCATTGCTGCCATTGGACGAGGCAGGGAGGGAGCTTGGGCGAGAGAGGGAGGGCCGTCTGTGATGTAGACTGGGGATTAACGGAAGGAGGCGATGGCCGGCGGATCGAGGCCGAGGAGGGCCCAGGTTACCGCGGGCTTGCCCTCGTAGTCCGAAGTGAGGAGCGGGTACCAGCCGAGCCAGAGGGCGGTGAGCGAGATGGCGACGCCCGAGGCAAGCGGGAGCGTGATGTTGTCATTGACGTTGATGGAGAAGAGCTCGGCGAGGGTAGCGGCCAGTGCACCTGCAAACGCCAGCAGCGCAGCCTGCCCGAACGTCAGCGCCGGGAGCATGGAGACGAGCAGGGCGATGGAGCAGGCGAAGCAGACGGCAAAGCAGCCGGTTGAGCCCTCGAGCGACTTGGAGCCAAGGAGCTTGGTCCTTCCGACGGCCTTGCCGACGAGTGCGGCAAAAAAGTCGCCCAGGACCAGACCGCACATGGCGATCATGGCCACCGTCGGCTTGAAGAACAGAGTGGCGAGGGTGTTGCCGGCAAAGTACCACCCGATGCCGGTAAAGTTATGGTACTCTTCCTTTCGCATGATCTTGTTCCATCCAAGGTCGACAAGCATGTAGTGGTTAAACGCTGGCCACGAGAGCCGCAGCACGTCGCCGATGAGGTACAGCGAGGTCACCGTGACCATGATGCAGCATCCGAGCGGCTTGTCCATCAGCGAGTTGCGGAGTCCGACGTAGTAAACCGTTGGCATGACAGCACCTGAAAAGTGGAAGACCTTGCGAAGCAGCTCCTTAAACACGCGCTGTGTCGGGAGGGGCGGGGGGGGAGGGTGATCGGGAGTGAGTGGGGGGGGTAGAGGGTGAAGCGGGTGGGGATGTAGAGATCACAGCTAGATGCAAGAACCACGCAGTGGGTGGCGATGGGAACAACTAGTGTGTGGATGAGAGAGAAAGAGAGAGAGAGAGAGAGCGTACCTTTGCGCGCTCCTTGGTGATGCCGATGGCCTTGAGCGTGTCGACCAGGGCCTTCTTCTTGACAGCGCCCATGTAGCCGATAGCAGCAAAGATGGCGACCATGACAACAGCAGCCATGATGACAGACTGCGAGTCATGGACCACAATAGCAATCTCTTGCACCGCTGCTACTCCTGCTGCTCCTGCTACTCCTGTGGCTTCAACCACAGCCTCTGCCATGACTCCGCCTTGACTCGCCCCGCTCATACCCATACTGCTGCTGCTGCTGCTGCTGCTGCTGCTGTGCTACTCCTACTCCTTCTCCAAAGAAGAGAACGGCACGGGGGGTAGGTAGGGGGGGTAGGTAGGAACTTGGTTTGGTATGGGTTTGCAACACTGAGTAGAAGGGCCTTCAGTCGAGTGTCTAACCCCTCGTCCTTGTACACTGCTCCTGGCCTACTCGGTCGTCCTGGGCCCAAAACGAGCAGTGGCTCTTGCCGCTGCAACGTCATCATCGATTCGCCGCAAAAGAACCACGACTCCAAGACTATCATCATCCAAACCAAAGATCAAGTGTGTTCGGGGGAGATAACTGGGGCGTCGATCGGGGCAGCAGGCTCATGCCAGGCAGCAAGGGGTTCGAGCTAGTCTTCAGCCTTGATCCGCTCGTTCTTCGGGTCGTAGAGCGGACGCGACGAGGCCTGCGCTGGATAGCGGATTCCGGCAATGTCGACTTCCCACTCAGCGTCGTTGATGTAGCGGAGATTAATGGGCTCGTCGGCCTCGATCATGGAGAGGCCAACTGCGCCGCCGAGCGTGTGTCCGTACGAAGCAGCGCGGATGTCACCCACGACTTTGCCGTTGCGGTAGACAACCTCGCCGTGGTACATCATCGGCTCTGGATCGTCGACGAGGATCTGGAGCAGCCTTCGCGGCGGCATGCCCTTGATGGCCTTCTGAGCGAGGAGCTCGTCGCGACCGATAAACCCATCCGACTTGTTGAGGTCGGCGGTAAAGCCGAGGCCCACCTCGAGCAGCGAGTCGGTGTTGTCCATGTCGTGCCCGTAGTCGCGGTAGCCCTTTTCCATCCGCAGCGACGAGAGCGCCTTGAGGCCGGCGTGTACGAGTCCGTGGCGGGCGCCGACCTCAACCAGCTGTTCGTAGACATGCATGGCGTGCTCAGCAGGGACATACAGCTCGTAGCCGAGTTCGCCGAGGTACGTGATCCGCGCCACGGTCGCTAGTGCAAAGCCGATCGGCATCTCGCGGACGGCGCGGAACGGAAAAGCAACGTTGGAAAAGTCGCAGCCGGTAAGGTCGGTCATGAGCGCGCGCGAGTCAGGGCCCTGCACATTGATCTGCGCCAGGCCACCGGTGACATCGGTGACAATGGCATGCGCCTCGGGCTCGAACATCTTGTGCATCCAACCCAGCACGTGGCGGTGCATCGTGTCGGTAGCCACAACCATGAAATCGTCGTCGGTTACCTTGGTCACAGTAAGATCGGCTTCGAGCTTGCCGCGGTCGTTGAGCCACTGGGTATAGGTGATCTCGCCAGGCGCGCCGTCGACGTTGGCGGTGGAGAGCCTGTTGAGCTGGGCGCCAGCATCGCGGCCTTGGACTCGGAACTTGGACATGAACGACATGTCCATGGCAACGACGCCGTTGCGGCAGGCGTGGTGTTCGGCAGCCCAGTTGGCGAACCAGTGATGCCGGCCCCAAGTGAGCGGCTCGGGGCTCAGCTCGCCAGTCCACTTGGACCCGTCCTGCGGCGCATACCAGTCAGCACCCTCCCAGCCGGACACGTCGCGGAAGCATGCGCCGCGATCCGCAAGCGCGGCATGAAGCGGCGAACGCTTGACACCACGCGCGGATGACGACGGCCGAGTCGGGTAGTGCGTCTTGTAAACCAGACCGAGCGACTCGACGACGCGTGCGGCGCGATACGCCGGTGTGGCCTGGTACGGGTGCAGCCGATCAACGTTGATGCCAGTCACGTCGTATGAAGAGTAGCCCTCTGTCATCCACTCGGCGACAAGATGACCAAGTCCGCCACCGGTGATGATGCCGATCGAGTTAAGGCCGGCCGCGACCCAGTAGCCATCAAGCTCGGGCGCGGGGCCGACAAGCGGCGCAAGGTCGGGCGTAAAGGACTCGGGCCCGCAGAAAAACTTCTTGACGCCAACGTTGAGTGAGGCCGGGACCCTCGCCATCGCCCTTTCCAAGTACGGTGTCATCCGCTCCCAGTCGGGCTCGATCTCGCCAAAGGTAAAGTCGCGCGGAATGCCGTCGACTGCCCACGCGGCAGCCTCACCCTCAAACAGGCCAATCATGAGGCCCTCGCCCTCGGGTCGAATGTAGCAGTAGTTCTCCGGGTCCTCGATGACCGGACACTTGCGGTCGAGCTCCGGCAGGTCGTCGGTGATGAGGTAATAGTGCTCGGCGGCCTGGTTGGGAATGTTGACACCAGCGGCTGCGCCAAACTGGCGGGCCCACATACCTGTGGCATTGACCACCTTGTCGCATGCGATGTGGGAGCCATCGGCGGTGACGACGCCGGTCACGCGGCGGCCGACGACAGCAACGTGGTCGACGGCCACACCCTCGTGGATGGTCGCCCCGGCCAGCCGGGCGCCCTTGGCCAGCGCCATGGTCACGTCGGTCGGATTGACTCGCCCGTCGGTGGGAACGTAGAAGCCGGCGTAGACGTCGTCGACAGCACAGAGAGGAAAGAGCTCGGCGACGTCTGCGGCCGAGATCTCCTGGACGTCGATGCCGCACTTGCGGTTGAAGGCCGCCACGCGGCGGTACTCTTCGACGCGATCGGGCGCAGTAGCAAGCTCGACAAAGCCGACCGGATCAAAGCCGGTGGCCAGGCCTGTCTCAGCCTCGAGCACGTCGGCGTACAGGTGCTTCGAGTACTTGCGGAGCTCGGTGGAGGTCTCCGAGAGCGAGCCAAAGGTAGCCATCAGCCCCGCAGCATGCCACGTCGTCCCTGCCGTCAGCGAGCCTTGCTCCAGAAGCACTACATCAACACCGCGCTTGGCCAGATGGTACGTGATCGAGGTCCCAATCACCCCGCCACCCACCACCACCACCTCGGCCTGACTCGGCACGCCTCCCGCGAGACCACCACTTGCCGCCACCGCCGCCATGGTAGCCCTGTGACAAGCTCTGTCCAACAACCCTCGCCCATGTCGCCACCTCAGTTTCTGCGCCATCCGTCCTGCCCGCAGCATGTCGTCTCGTTCTGGCAGGTGACGTGTGGCAAGTGTGGGCGATGTGCGCGTGGTCCGTGTCCAGGCGCTGACGTTTTGGCAAACGGCGGCGCCTGACTCGTGCCGCAACTCGACGGAGAGACTTGGAGGTGAGATCGGATTGGATCGTGGTATGGATGGCGTGGTGACGAAAGTGACAGGCAGAAGCGGAGCAGAAGAGGTCAATGGGGAACTGGTCATCGAGACTGCTTCAGGGAGCCTCGGCGTAGTCTTGGCACATGATCATCACGGGTCCAACTCGTTTCGCACGGGCTGGATGCCGTTGTCGCAATCGGTCTCTTCAGCGATTGTGACATCCAAACTAGACGTACATGCCCTGATACGACCAAACAGCTACATATGTGATCGACACACCTACACCCGCCTGCAATGGTCCAAACAGACTGAAACAGCATCAACGAGGCTGCGGCTCGTCCAGCCGACGCGAGGTGCACCTACCGTTTGTTGCGCGCCTGATGGTTGCGGTCAGGGGTCTGTGCCTAAACGATGCTGCGAGGTGTGGACGGACTAGTGGGGCGAGGGCGCATGCGCCCTGCTCACGCCGATCCTCCTAACCCTTCATGGGATGTGTGTCCATCCTGCCGTCGGTCCGCCGACGGCAACCAGTGTCGTCACATGTTGTCGGCATTATCATCCACATTGCCAGTCTCTCCCTGGTGGGCCGCGGGATGCTCGGTGGTCCTGAGCTGCAACCAGGACAGAGGATGGCCTCTTGGAGGGTGCGATGAGACGGAGTGTCGGTCGTCGACGCCTCAGTGATGGATTCCAAGTGACCAGAGTATGCTGCAGTCGATGTTGAACACCCAACAAGTTGTACGGTTGTATCACTTGCGGATGTGTTCTGAGGCGGTTGTCTTCTCGCTGCTGTGAGATCAGTGGTTTTCGCACTGCTTGGGACCGGCGCGCAATATCATATGGCTCCCTGCAGTCACCTGTATGGTGCCTTTCTGCTATACTCCCTGCAACAAAACTCCAGCACGTGATCTGGAACACAGGAGCTCGCAACGGCTCTGCTGTGTCTCGTCCATATTGTCAATGCCATACCGCAACGCCCAACTCTCCCCCCCCCTCCCCCCGCGACCCCTCCCCACGCGATCCGACCCAACTGTCCCAAGGCAGGAGGGAGACGCTCTCCCGTGCTGGATAACTAGCCCCTGCACCCCTGCAGGGTGGCGGATGACCCCTACTCGGCCTGGCTCGCGCTCACGCCGGCCCGATCCGTGTCCTGACTTTTACCCAAGGTCAGGCCCCAAGTCCAAGCGCATCATGCGTGCGGCCGGAAGGGTTCCCGACCTGAAGGAAGCCCATACGATTTGGCCGGTCCGTGGACACTCAAAGTCTATGATATGCACACGCATCGTCACCATCTTCCATTACACACATAGATTCATCGCATCCGTGCGTGACCTGCTATCGCTTCCGTCTCTGCCCGGAAGCGAAGTACTCTGCTTCACTCCACAAAGGCTTCTGATGGCAAACTGGGGGTACCACGGTAGTGGCGGTCTCCTGGGACTGGCAGAGAGAGCTGGAGTGAGAGCGGCACACTCTTCTGCAGACCAGCAGATAGAAAGACAGACAGACAGACAGAGAGAGAGAGAGAGGCGGTGACAGAGGATATTCAGACAACGGTCTCGTCATGTTCCGGTTTACGCGGATGGTGATGTCTGTCAGCAGCGGTATGTCGGCGACTGTGGGCGGTGCGGCGGGGTGGGCGGGCATGACGCGCTGGTTGCGGTCTGTGTCGAGCAGGTCGATTGACGGAGCTGCAGGAGCGCGTGGTACGGCGTCGAGCGGAGGCGGAAAGGGGGGAGAGGAAGTGTTGTTGTCCAAGAGCGATCCGCCTGAGGTTGATGGTGCTGTGCTGGGGTTGGCGATCCCGGACGCCCGGTTGACTGTGGAGATGCCCGAGGGGTGGAGACCGTGGCCGAACTCGACGGCGTGGTTGTGGCCATTCACGGCTTTCCGGGCAATAGCCAGGACTATCGGTACATGGGTCCGCTGTTGACGGAGAAGAATATGGCCATGATCCGGCTCATTGTGCCGGGCTTCAACGGGACGCCGCGCCTCTCGCCGCCGCCGGCATCGTCGGGCCTCAACATCAACGACGTTGTGGCGCAGCGGCTGCTCGACAACGTCGCCGGCCTCCCGGCATCATCGCTCGGCAGCGCCTCGCCGCAGGGTGCACGGCTGCTGGACGAGATGGCGAGTCACGACGTGCCTCTCATGCTGGTGGGACACTCGTTCGGCTCTGTCCTTGCGACGGCTGCGCTCAATCTCGTCACGCCGCCTGCCGGCCTGCGTGTGGGCGGCGTCCTTCTTGCGCCAGTTGGCTACCGCAAGCACCGCGGCCTGCGGGCGTCACCCGAGGCTGTGTTTTGGCTCGGCCGCCACCTGCCGTTTGTGCTCGACTACTGGCCGTTCCGGGACCAGATCTGGAAGGGGTTCAAAGCCTTTGGCTTCCACCGGACGACGGCGTACGAGTGTGTGACGGCCATGAAGTACGTGGCGCACCTCGACTTTGACCGCCACAAGGCCCTCGGCGCGGCTGTTCCCTGTCCGCTCGCAGTCTGCTACGCCACCGACGACAAGCTCATTGAGCCGGAGATCTTCCATGACATTGTCGCCAATCTCGAGCCCGAGGTTGTCCGCGAGCTGGACTCGGGTGGACACAACATCCAGAAAGACCGCGTCCACGATGTTGTTGACGCCCTTGTTGAGCTGCAGGCCAAATTGCCGGCGTTCCCGGCGTCTGGCAGCCGAAACTGAGGGCAAAAGTGAGCGGCAACCGAGGGCAGATACTGCGAGCTGGCGGCCACAAAAGGTGAGGGCAGTAAGGCCTTGACTCCGGCGGGTGGCGGGAGTAGAAACAGACTAACCTGCACCGTGCAAAATGGCCGCTGTGAACGGACTCGTGTCGGAGAAGACCAAGAGGGCGACTGATCTCATGGATGAACTCCGTGATCTTGCGCCGGAGAGCATGCGCAGTGAGCTGCCGCAGATTGGCGTTTTTGGTCAGCAGTCTGCCGGTAAGTCGTCGGTCCTTGCGGCGCTGTCGTCCATCGAGTTCCCATCGGGCTCATCGACGACCACGCGGTGTGTGACGCAGGTTGTCCTCCGGCCAGGGCCTGAGGAGCGCTGCACGGTCAAGCTGTTTGCGGTCGGCGACACGCCTGACGACAACGTTGCGGAGCTTGTCGAGTCGTTTGGCACGCAGACGACCAGTCTTGACACGGCAAAGGAGCGCATCACGGAAGCTACGGAGCAGATTGCCGAAGCCTATTCCGGGCGCAGCATGACGATGTATGCTGATGTCGAGATCCACATTCACGTGACCTCGCCGGGCTGCGTGACGCTTACCATGATCGACGTGCCTGGGCTGGTCTCGACCGGGATTTCCGACGCGGACCAGGCGGCCATTCGCAACATGTCGGAGCGATTCATGCAGCAGTCCCGGACGATCATTCTGGCTGTGGCGTCGGCGTCGGAGGATCCGGCCAACTGGGCTATTCTCGAGCTGGCCAAAAAGCACGATCCAAACCAGGCGCGGACGCTTGGGGTGATCAGCAAGGCCGACAAGGTCTCTTCTTCGGAGACTGGCGAACTGCGGTCCATTCTCTGCGGCAAGTCGGACAAGTACAATCTCATGCGCGGCTACACGCTCGTCAAGTGCCGGTCCGAAGCCGACGTCATGGGCGGCGTCACTCTTTCCGCGAGCCTCGACCAAGAGAGCCTGTTCTTCGCGACCACCGAACCATGGGCCTCACTCCAATCCACTATGAAGTCGGCTTTTGGGACGTCAAGGCTCAAGAAGCGGCTGGCGAACCTGCAGGAGGCGCATATCCGGAAGGTGTTGCCGGACGTGCGTGAGTCGTTTGAGGCCGAGCGGAGGAAGCTGGAGGCGGCCGTGGATGCTCTCGGCACCAAAATTGAGTCTGTCCAGGAGCAGATGCAGTGCATGCAAGAAATCTTTGACGACATCGCGGGCGACTTTGAGGCGGTCCAGCGCGGCAAGTTTGCCGACGCCAGGGTGGTCAAGCCGCTCATCCTTGGCAAGATCGCTGCCGACGAGACGGATGACGGCGCGGGCTCGTCCGACGTGTTGCATCTCGCTGATGACAGGCTAGCCGCACTGGAGATGCGGTTTGGGTGGCGACTGCGGGCATGGCTCGAGGCCGAGAACGCGACTTTCAAGACCAAAATGGCTGTGGCGGCCAGCGTGAAGAGCATCGATCGCGATCTGATGTTCTGCTCGGGAAAGGATGGAGAAGAAGATGCAGCACGCGAGGCTGCGGCCGCGGCGGCGTTGCGGGCGGAGCTTGTGGAGCGAATCAACTACTCGCGCGACGACTCGCTTGCTGGCCTTTTCGTGCCGTTTGAGATCTTCCGGTCGATCTTTGTGGAGCGGCTTGTGTCGTGGCGCTGCGTGGTGAACGAGCACGCTGAGCTGGTGTTTGCCGGCATCCGCAACCTGTTGCGCGAGGTGGTCAAGCAGACCATCGCCAAGCACAGCATCCTATTTGACCGCTTCCCGGCGCTTGGTGGGGTGGTCAAGGGCGTGGTCGAGACTGTGGTAACCAAGTACATCGATGAGGCCGTCCACGAGCTCGAAGAGCTCTTTGTTCAGGAGCGGTCGCCGCACACGCTCAACGACTTGCTCCTCCACCAGTTTATGGAGAAGAGCCTGGCGCCGTTTGAAAATGCGATCGAGAACTACCGCTGCGACGAAAATGGCAACCTTGTCATCGCGGAGGATGCCTTGCGGTTGCTTGTCCAGAACCACTGGTACCTGCGGGACCTGTCGCGGGAAGACTACGAGGCGATCACCATCCACAACGGCCTCGACGCATACCAGGGTGTTGCATCGCGGACAATCGTGGACACGACGGCCAAGATCGTGATCAAAAACCTGCTGGAGCGGCTGACGAGGGCGCTGCAGCGGCCCGAAGCCGATCTGATTAGCGCAGCCGAGTGGCAGCAGGTGTTCTACGAGTCAGCGTCGACGGTGATGCGGCGGCGGCAGCTGGAGCAGCGGCTCGAGCGGGTGCGGGACTGTCTGACCGCGCTCAACATGCCGGTGTGAGTAAGCAGAGTAACACGCACGAATTTTTCAAGAGGAGTGGCTACAGCGTGTGGTGCATCGGCTACCGGGCGGTCCACCCGCCGTCAATGGTCAGCGAGGTGCCGGTGACGGAGCGAGCAGCGCTGGAGGCGAGGTACATGATCATGGAGACGACTTCGTCGATGGAGACAAACTTCTTGGACGGTTGTGCGGCAAGGATGACGTCGCGGACGACTTCTTCTTCGGAGATGCCGCGGGCCTTGGCAGTGTCCGGGATCTGCTTCTCGACGAGCGGGGTGAGGACGTAGCCCGGGCAGACAGCGTTGACGGTGATGCCCTTGTCGGCGACCTCAAGAGCGACCGACTTGGTAAAGCCTAGCAGGCCGTGCTTGGTGGCGACATACGCTGACTTGTACGGCGAGGCGACAAGGGCATGCGCCGAGGCAACGTTGATAATACGGCCGTGCTCGGCGTCGATCATGTCCGGCAGGACAGCGCGGGTCATGTGGAACGGAGCCGAGAGGTTGACCGCCAGCACCTTGTTCCACATCTCATCGGAGAACTCGTGGACTGGAGCCACATGCTGGATGCCAGCGTTGTTGACGAGGACTGAGACGTTTCCCAACTCGGCCGTGATGGTGGCGACAGCCTCGACAGCAGCCTCGGACTCGCCGAGCCAAGCCGGGACAAAGACCACGTTCCCGCCGGCACCCGCCTCCTCGGCCGCAGCCTTGACGCTAGCGACGGCCTGCACATGGCTTCCGTCCCGAGCCTCGGGTGCGATCATGCCGACCGAGTAGCCTGCGGTGGCAAGTGCCTCCGCGGCACCGAGGCCAATGCCCGACGACGCGCCTGTGACCAGAGCGACCTTTCCGGCGCCCTCTGGGAGCGGGCTTGCTGCCGTGCTTGCCCACTGTCGGCCGACCTGCATCCGAACCGCCATCCGTGTTGCCCACATGCTCCCTTGATGAGTGACGGGTGAGTGCAGTGTGGCGCTTTCCGTCTTGCGCTCGCCGTAGCTGGCGTGCACCATGAGCGGTTTGGTGGCTGCCGGGACGATGTGAACGATTCAGAGTGCGATCCTGGCTCGGACATCAGCTCAAGGGAGCAACACAAAGGACTTTGCCGTTGTTTGATGCATTTTTGTTTGTGAGTGTGTGTGGCCTATGTCTGGCCCATCCCCGTCTGGCCCATCCCCGTCTGGCCCACCCCCGTCTGGCCCACCCCTGTCTGGCCCATTCCCGTCTGGCCCACCCCCGTCTGGCCCACCCCTGTCTGGCCCATCCCCGTCTGGCCCACATGCGGGCTTTCTGTCGTGTAATCGCATGTTCGTTCATTCATTCGTTCGTTCGTTCGTTCGTTCGTTCGTTCGTTCGTTCGTTCGTTCGTTCGTTCGTTCGGTCGTTCGTTCGTTTCGTTCGTTCGTTTCGTTCGTTCATTCGTTCATTCATTCGTTCGTTCGTTTCGTTCGTTCGTTCGTTCATTCATTCGTTCGTTCGTTTCGTTCGTTCGTTTGTTCGTTCGTTTCGTTCGTTCATTCGTTCGTTCGTTCGTTCGTTCGTTCGTTCGTTCTGTCATTCGTTCGGTCGTTTGTGTTTTTGTTTGTTCATTGGTGACTGATGATTATCGTTTGTTTGTTTGATTGTTTGATTGTTTGTTCGTTTGTTCGATGTGCTTCACCCTAATCGGCCGTTGCGGGAATTCGGTAGGAACAGGCGGAGAGGACCACTGGAGGAGGGGGGGGGGGGGGGGGGGGGGGAGGGGAGGGGGGAGGGGGGGGAGGAGGTGGTGACAGACACATACCGCTCACATTGCACCACTCGACTGCACCCAGGTCGGGCATTGCACTACCCGTAGTTTGAGACTTGGTAGACAGAGGCAGCATGGCAAAGGGCTCCAAGAAGAAGCAGCGGGTGAGGACCAAGACCAAGAAGACCAAGAAGACCAAGAAGACCAAGACCAAGAAGACCAGCAAGGCGGCAAAGGACGCCAGTGGCAGTGGCAGTGGCAGTGGCAGTGGCAGTGGCAGTGGCAAGGGCAAGGGCAAGGGCAAGGGCAAGGGCAAGGGCAAGGGCAAGGACGGCTGGAGCGGGAAGCGCAAGGTCAAGGTCCGGAAGAACAAGGGCAAGGGCAAGGGCAAGGGCAAGGACAACGTCGACGATGATGTTTCCTTTGGATCGGTCGATGGCAGTGATGACGGGTCAAAGGGCAAGCGCAAGGGAAAGAAGCTTGGCCACGATCACACCGCCAAGGTCCGCCTTGCGGAGCACCCGGTCGACTCGTCGTACACGTACTCGTACACTGACATTGATTCGGAAGAGATGCGACTGCGTGTGGCGCGGGAGAAGGGCTCGTCGAGCTCTTCGTCGAGCTCTTCGTCGTCGTCTTCGTACTCGACGTCGTCGTACTCGTACTCGACGTCGTCGTACGAGGTGCTGCTGCGGCCGCACAAGCGCAAGCGCTACCGCGTGCTTTACAACACGTACACGTACTCGGGCTACGACGAGCTGCCGGCGCCATCGATGGTTCCTGTGGTGATCGAAGAGCCCGAGCCCGAGATCCGCAAGGTCCACAAGAAGCACTACCGCCGGCGGCGGGTGCTTGTCAAGCGCCCGTCGCGGTCGAGGCGGTCAGCGGTCATGCTCGGCGGTTCGGTGGTGCCGGCGTATGATTACGACGACCCGCGCGTCGCCCAGATTCATGACATGGAGGCCAAGTATGCCGAGATGGATCACAAGCTCCACCACCTGCGCTCCAAGTCGCACCGCAAGTCGCGCAAGTACATTCACACTCTCGACGACGTCGACACCCGCATCATCAAGTCTAACGCCTATGCGCGTGCCGAGCGTGCCGATGGCACGGACGCGTCGGCCGGCTCTCCCGGCAACTCAGCCGACAGCGCCGCCGACGCCAAGAAGGGCAAGGGCAAGGGCAAGGGCAAGGGCAAGGGCAAGGGCAAGGGCAAGGCGAAGAAGGCCAAGGGCAAGGCCAAGAAGGTCAAGAAGGTCAAGAAGACCAAAAAGACCAAAAAGGCCAAGAAGACCAAGAAGGGCAAAAAGGTCAAGAAGACCACAACGACCGCGACCACGACCAAGACCAGGCGGCGGAAGAGCAAGAAGGCCGAGAGCGGAGACGGCGACGTGCCCGACAAGAGCTCGGTTAAGAGGAAGCGGAAGCGGACGAAGAAGAAGAAGTCGGCGTAGCAGCGTCGGCGTTACCCGCAGGAGCAGCGTCGATGTAAAAGTAGTGCCGGCCAACAGCGGCCTCTAGCTTGGACTCGAGAATGGCGACGTCGAGGACCGACTTGTGCGAGGGAGTGAGGCGGCGGAGGGCGGCAAAGCAGGCCCAGGCGTCCCAGAAGTGCTGGCGGTACCAGTACGTCACACCGAGGTCCTTGTACACCGCACCCAGCAGCGGGTGCTGCGCCAGGCCGGCCTTCATGTACTCGATAGCCAGGTCGTAGGCCGACCATTGAAGAGCGGCCATACCGGTCATGACGTCGACCATGCCGGCTGACGAGCCGTCGAGGCCGGCGAGGGCGGTGATGGCCAGCGAGTCGCTCTGCAGCGCCGGCGACGCCTTGAGCTGCGCGGCGCCGGTCACAATGTCGGTCTCAAAGATGGCAACCTTGGCGTCGGCCTCGAGGCTACGCTCGTCAGCGGAGATGCGCCGGCCAAAAGTGCGCTCGAGCTGGGCAAACGGCTCCGAGCCCGCCGACCGGGCCGAGGCAGCGAGCGCGTGCATCGACGCCGAGACGTCGGCGCCGAGCCCGAGCATGGCGCCGAGGTACTCGAGATACGCCTGCACAAACTCGGAGCCGTCGGCGTTGTCGGCAGGCTCGGCGACGGCGGCGGCGGCACGCGAGGAGGCGGCGGCGAGGACCGAGTCTGGTGCCGAGAGCGCTAGCAGACCGGTCCGATTGGCGAGCAGGTTGTGGAGGAGCGCATCGAGCTCGCCATCACGGGCGAGGACCCGCGTGGCGAGGACCGAATCGTCGTCGTCGGCCGAGTCGGCAAGCGGAGCAAAGGCCGAGCGCGGCTTGGCCACCAGCGCCGGCTCGCCGCCGAGTCGCACCCCCACGCACTGCAGCTTGGCGACCACCGGCGCGCCGCCGCGGCGGTAGTGGTACTCGAGCGAGTACGGGAGCGTCTCTTGAATCGACTCGAGGTGAAGGAAGACCTTGGGATGGAGCCGGGTGTGGTAGAGGAGAAACTTGAAGAGCGCGCCGCGCTGCGGCGGCGTGAGGATGTCCAGGACCGCCGACGCGTCGTCGAGCGGGAGAAACTGCGCCGCCGCCAGTCGCTGCCAGTCCTCAGGCGCGGCGCCGTCGTTGCCAACGTAGCCTGTCAGGTACTCGATGCCGTGGACTTGCGAGTGGAGCGGGAGGGCGAGCGGCGCAGCGCGGAGGACTGGCATGACCTCGCCGTCGGCTAGCTCGTCTTGGGCCTCGATGCCGTACGCCACTTCCATGTCAAAGCGCGAAGGCAAAAGGTGGGATCGGCCGGCCCACATCTTGGACTGAGTCACACCGAGGCGGAACTCGAGGTCGCGCAGCGCGTTGAGCGCGTGCAGCGACATCTCCATGGTGGCCGACGGCGTGGCAAGAGCCTCTGCCGTCCACACACCTGGCGGCAAGTGCTTCGGCGTATCCCACACCGAGACAAACACGTTTGTGTCGGCAAAGTCGTACACAATGTCGTTGGAGACCATCAGGAGCTTGTTCTCAGCGTCCTCGATCTGCTCGACCACACGCAGCACCTTGTCACCAAGAAAGACACGCAGCCAGGTCCGCTCGACTGCGGCGGACTCACCCGACTCCATCGGCGTCTCGACAAGGGCAAAGTCCAAGGTGACGAGGGCACCGCGCGTGGGCTCAGGCTCGGGAGTGGGAGTGGGAGCGGGAGCGGGCGTGGTAGCGGTGGAGGGCTCGGGGATGGGAGTGGCGGGGATAGGATCCGCCTGCGTCGCGGGCTCCGACGCCACCGATGCGTTCTTCTTGGCCGGCGAAGCGTAGGCAGGCTCGTGAGTGGCCGAGCCCAAGCCGGTCGACAGGCGGCCACCAGCCAGCGCCACCTGCAGTCGTCGTGCGGCGGTATGTATGGGGAGCGGGGGTAGAGAGAGGCCAGATCAGTCCATGTTGGCCCAGATGAGCGTACGCCAGCCGATGCCGAGCCAGATCAGTGCACGCCAGCCCATGCAGACCCACGCCAGTCCATGCCAATCCACGCCAGCCCATGCCAGCCCATGCCAGTGCCATCGATGTAGAGAGTGAGTGTCCCATGGCGCGTCACCCGAGTCACGAAGGGGGAAGGGAAGGCGAGCAGAGGGGGGGGAGGGAGCGGGAAGCGGAGAGAAGACGGCACAGATGCGGTACGTACAAAAGGAAGGAACGGCACCATTGCACGGAGCATTGCGAAGAGGTGCAGTAACAGCGAGACAGGTTGGCGACTTGGTTTTCATCCACCTCCTCCCCATGCAGTCCGGGGAGGGGGGTGGCCGCCGGCTGCGATCGATCGCCGACACTTTGATGTTGATCATGACCACGATCACGATCACGATCACAACCTCCACCCGCTTGCCCCCCCCCCCCCCCTTGGTCCCCAACCCCAACCTCGACACAAAAGCGGTACACTTGGCTCTTTTTCCGAGAATGGACGACACGCGGTCGCAATCCGGTACGGATAATTGGAGAGGCTGATGTGAGGTGGAGGGTGTGTGGGGTGGGGAGGAGAGGGATGCGGGGGTAGGGTGGGTGGGGGGGGGGGGGGCGGGGGGGGGGGCAGCCCCATTGACAGGCATAGCTGAAGAAGACACAAGCACAAGATGAGGGGAGAAAAGGGGAGGCATGGGTATGGTTTGAAGGAGCTTGTGGTATTAGTTAGACTGTTGATGACACTCTTCGTCTTTCTCTGCCGTTCGTTGCTCCTCTACCAGTCGTGGAAGGTGTCGCCGTGGAAAGAGCGACCCAAACGGGGAAAAGAGGATGGTTATTCCCCTTCCATTGGTTTCTCGCCCACCCAAAGAGTGCACGACATGGCGCCTCCGTTCCCCCCTCCCCCCCCCCCTCCACACACACGCACTCACAGGTGGTTGCATACTGTAGATGATGTCTCGTTCGAGCCGCTTCCGGCGACGTTTGCTCTGGATCCGGTGGTGCGGCTGCCGAATGGGGGCCCGAGCTGGGAACCGCGACAGGGCCTGTGGTGGCGCAGCGGGTGATGTATGATGCGGCGGGCAACAACTTTGTGATGACGTACGAGCACGAAGACCGGCTGTGCGTGGCGGTGGTGATGGCCGACTCGCTGGAGCAGGTCGGGTCTGTGGTGGCCAAGGACGGTGACGCATCGTCGAGCGCTGCAAGCGAGCCTGGCAGCGCGCCGGCGACCGTGCTGGGGTACACGCACGCCAAGCGGGCACGCGTACTTGTGGGCGTGGACGAGCGGTTTGCGGTGTGCCCGGTGGTTGACTCTGTCATCAACCTGCCTTCGCAGGTCGGCGATCCGGCGTTGTATGCGCCAGCGGGGACGGTGACGTTCTCGCTTGCGCACCGCGACGCGGCCAATATGCTGTTGGGCGTCACGCCTGTGGAGACCTCGACGCGGTTTGCCAATGACAGCCTCCGTGAGCAGGCTCTCGCCTTTCTCAACACGCCGTCGCCGGCGTCGCTCGGGGCTGCGTGGAAGATGCTTGTGTTCAACGGGTCGAGTGCGGATCTGAAGCGGCTGGTGGGCAACGACGTGGCGCATGCGGACGGCCTGGCCATGGCGACGGGCACATCGTCGAAGAACTCGTCGTACTACTCGGAGGCGTACCGTCTGACGACGCTCTCAAGCTTCCCGGACCACATGGCGCCGTGGATGGCGCAGGAGGGCTACTACGGATCGGGCCTCTCGGCGTTCTGCGCCTCGTGCGGCTACTCGGTTAACCTCTCGAGCCTCAACGTCGACGAGTGGCAGGTCGCGCTGCCGCACTCGTCGACGTGCCAGCTCGAGACGTGCAACATTCCGATTGACCGGTCGCTGGCGCACAAGCCGGCGTCGACTCAGCCGCGGACCGTGGCCACCGGCCCGGTCTCGCCGCAGGCCTTTTACGTCATTGACGCCGAGGGACAGATCTCGATGTACACCACTTCGGCTTCAGTTCTGCTTTCGCAGACCCGGGCCCGCCAGTGGCTCATGATTCAGCGGGCGGCTGACCGCGCGTCGGCGTCGTCGTCGTCGTCGGCGTCGTTGTCGACTTCCAAGTCAGCCTTTGGCTCATCGGGCAAGACGGCGAGCAAGAAAAGACGAGCTCGTCGGCGCAGCAGCAGCAGAAAGAGGAAGATATGCTTGCTGCTGCCATCGCTGCCTCGCTGCAGGAGCAGTCATCGCAGAGCAAGGTCTCGGAGTTTATGGGCGACACCGCCGGCATGTCCGAGGACGAGCTCCTCGCGCAGGTCATGGCTATGTCGCTGGCCGAAGCCGAAGCTTCCAGCGCGAAACCCGCTGTTACTGATGATGGCACCGCAACCGACGGTGCTGACGGCGCGGACGGCAGTGTCAGCGCCGAGGTCGAGACGCCGGCGGTCCCAATGTTCGAGGTTGGCCTTGCGGTCTGTGTTGCGGCGGATGCCGCGCTCATCCTCAAGCTGCCTGCCGGGATCGAGGTCGAAACCAAGGCCGATGCCGAGGCTCCAGCTGGAGCCGCGGGCGCGGGCAACGACGACACCGAGAACGCTCCTGCTGCGGCCGAGGCCGAGGCCGAGTCTGGGCTCGAATCGGATGCGACGCCGACGGCCGGCAGCATGATGTCGAGCCTGTTTGGCGGCAAGACGCCGACGTCTGACAAGGCTAGCGCTGGGTCGGCGGCGACGACGGCGTTTCCGGCCGTGGACAGCGAGTCTGGGCTCGATTCGGATGCAACGCCGACGGCCGGCAGTATGATGTCGAGCCTGTTTGGCGGCACGACGCCGAAATTTGGCAAGGCGACAGCTGGGATGGTGGCGTTTCCCTCCAAGGGCAGTGAGTCGGACCTCGATTGGGATACAACGCCGACGGCCGGCAGCATGATTTCGAGCCTGTTTGACAGCACGGCCCCGTCGGGCAAGGCGAAAGCTGAGACGAAGGGCGGCGAGGGCTTTGGCGAAGTCAACAAGATCTTTGACGGCATTGGCTTTGTGCTGGCTATGCGGTCGAACACCAACTCGGCCAACAACCACGCGCCGGTGGACGCGCTGCTGTACTTTTCGGGCAAACTCGATGCCGCCAACGAGGGTGTGGCGCGCGCCGACGAGATCATCGAGCTCGATGGCAAGGTCACGAGCGTAGCGGCATCGTCCAACTCGTCGCTGGTGCATGTGGCAATCGAGCGCAACGGAAGCATCTTCCTCCGCACTTACTTTATGACGCTCGAACGACTGGTTTTTGTGGGCGAGAGCGCGCTGGCGACCGGCGCTCCAGTTGTCCGGCTCGTACCGCTGCTGGTAGGCGGCGACAGCTCGATGCAGACCTTTGCCGCCGACGTCTTCCACGAGCTCAATAAGCCGTCCAACGACAAGAAGTACGGCTGCGAGATGCTTATTGCCCTCGACAACACTGGCGGCGTCTTGGCCTTTGAGGTCACCGGCGGTGTGGTGCGGTCCGACGAGTCCGAGAGTGGCCTAGTCGTGCCGCTGGCACCTGCCAACGCGCTCGGTGCAGCCATCCTCTGTGCAGCCAGCGGAACTGGCATTGCCGACGTCACCTACGTCCCGTCGGCACATGTCCTTGCCCTGCTGCGGACCGATGGCTCGATGCGATTCCTCTCGACCGAGACCAAGAGCGTCGTGGCAGCGTCTGCGTCTGCGTCTGCGTCTGCGTCTGAAGCTGCCACGCCGACACCGACGCCTACAGTCTCTGACACGTCGGCACTCACGGTCCAGGCGCTGGCAGGACTCGGCGCTGCGCTTGTTTCACGCCCGCTCAGTTTTGAAGGCGATGTGCATCCAGTGTTCACCGTGCGGGGGGCGGGCTTTCACACGACGAGCTGCCTTGTGGCGACGTCAACCGACGCCAAGCAGAACTCGCCCGTGGTGGCGCGGGCGCGACTGGAGAATCCAACCATTCTGCACTCGATCTCGCTGAAGCTCCAGTTCCGCAAGGGCATCCAGGCGTCCTCGCCGCATGCCGACCGGATGTACAAGTTGGTTATTTCCGAGGCACGCTCGGCGTACACTTCCGAGACCAGCTCCTCGCTCCGGGTCGAGATGGAAGTCAACCTCAAGGATCTGACGGCGCCGTCGGCCGCCGAGCGGGTCCTCACTGTTCCGATCATGCACGCCGGGCCGATCTCCTCGCTCCACGTGTCGTTCACCCCGATCATCACCGACGAAGAGCTGTCGGCCGAAGCTGCGGCTGCGGCTGCGGCTGCGGCTAAGGACGAAGCCAAGGACGAGGCCGAGGCCGAGGCAGCGACCGCGGCAGCAAGCGCTGACAAGTCCGAGACCGAAGGCGAGGCCGAGGAGACGGCTGCAGCTGCAGACGCAGACGCGGCGGATGCTGATGCTGATGGCAAGAGTGCGCCCCCGCCCCCGCCCCCGATGCCGACTTCGGGTGAGCTGCCCAAGACGAAGATCGCGCCATCCAAGGAGCTGGCGAACACTGTCACTGGTACTGCTCCCAAGGCCAAGGTTAAGCCAGACGCACCGTACGCGTTGCTCACGTTCTGGCTGGAGATCCGCGAGCGCGTGGACGCAGCGCCATGGGCTGTCGATGCGCTGCCGATAGTCTCCGAGTCGGCGGCGCTGCAAGCGCAGCTTGTGCAGGTTCTCAACATGGAGTCTGCTGTGCCGAGCCGGCTGGAGGCCGCGGCGCGGATTCTCAACAATGTGCTTCCGACAGTGGCCGGCCAGCTGAGCGAGGCGCAGATCGAACTCCTTGGCAGCATTGAGCTGGACAAGCTGCTTGTCAACGGCGTACTCTCTGCACCATCCGAGGTTGTGCCTTCGGCGGCGACGCTGCTACAGCTCGCGCTGGCCGCGCGGGCACAGGCGGCGGATGTGACCGACGACGAGCTGCGCGAGACGATCAACTCGCTGGTGGGCGAGGCAGTGGCGGCACTTACTGCGCGGAAGACGACACTCGACGGCGCCAAGGCTGTCATCCGCATCCTGCAGTCGAATTGGGACGCGTTTGGCCCTCTCGCGTTTTCGGCAGCGCAGAACGCACTCTGCGATCTGGGCCGTGAGTTGGCGGAAGCCGAGGCAGGTGATCCGGCCAGAGCCCAGCTCTCCGCGCTCCATCCCGAGTACAACCCCGGCGTGTTGCTGAACAAGCACGTGGCACCGCTGGTGGTGGTCGACTCTGCGCTGCACTCGACGGCAATGGCGAACACGGTGAGCAACGCGTTTGCGCCGATCTCGATCCTGCACAGTTCGACTAAGCAGCTTCACGCGGCCCAGCTGTGGGACACGTACGACATCACCGACTCGCTGACCTGCATTGGCTCAGCCAAGGGCGCGTCGTACTCGACAAAGACCATCCGCTTTGGTGACTACAACATCTCGTCCACCGTCCCGTTCTGGGTCGCGTTTGATCTTGGGACGCCCACGCGTCTTGACCTCATCACGCTGCCGAACACTTCGTATGTCATGGGTCTCTCCATCCTCGGTTGGAACGTCGACGGCGGGTCGACCGAGGCGCTCGACGCTGCCCACGCCAGCGCGGCTTCGGGTCACATCCCTGCCGGTGCGACCAAGCTCCTCGGGTCGTCGCAGCTCTCGGCCGACCACACCGAAGTCGTTGAGGGCCCTGTTGTTGTCCGCTTCCTCCACTTTAAGTGGATGGCGTCGTACCACGGCACCATGAGCATCTCGGGCGTGTACGGCGTGGCCAACGTGCCGGCACCAGGAGCGCCGCTTGAGGCGCAGCTGACTGCGCTCGCCGAGCGCGAAGCTGCAGCGGCTGAGGCTGCAGCCGCTGCTGTCGCCGCTCAGGAGCAGCTCCGCGAGGCCTTGTCCGTGGCTACGGCACTGACAGGCGAGGCTTGCGACAGTGACGCTGCGTTCAACACCCAGGCGCTGTACAAGTCGGCGCTGGCAGCGGTGGCCACCCGATTCTGCTCGCATCGACTGCTGCTCCAGATCCGCCGCGACGTCGCCGCCCGCGAAGACATCGCCATGTGCGGAAGCGCCGAGGCATGGACCGAGCCACCACCGGCGCTGGCCGAATCCCGCGGCCCGCTCGCCGACACGGATGCCTTTGAGTGTGTTCATGGCAAGCAGCTGCTCGCTGAGCTGTTCTTCCTCCTCATGCCTGCAAACGGAGTGCCGCTCAAGACCGTCGAGATCCGAACGGGCGACGATGGCAGTACTAAGAAGGTCCAGAAGCTAGCGGTGGCCTTTGAGCCCTCGCTCGACGATGCCGCCACCATCTTTGAACAGTTCTGCATGGCTGGGCCCGTACAGGTGACCAAGGCGGCGATGACGTACCTGCAGGCGGTGGTGGGTGCGTTCATGGGCGATGACTTTGCACCGCTTCCGGCGATGCTGCTCTCCAGGTTCTTCCGCCATTCGTCGGAGACCGACACCAGGACCCGGGCGACGGCGTTCCCGCTCGTCGCCGCGCTGGTCTCACCGTCGGCAGTGGCCACCCTCACGACAGTGATCATCAAGGAAATCCGCGAGCTGCTGGTGGTTTCTCCGCTGGACCTCGAGTTCCTCGGCTGGTCGCTGCTCTTCCTCACTGACATTGTCAAGCGGACGTCGAATGCAATCAAGCCTGCGGTAGCCGACGCGGTGGTCTCGGACAAGCTCCTCGGCCTGCTGTCTGAGCTCCTGGCGTCGCCGCCGGTGGCGGCCGACGGCTCGCTGGTGGTCATCATTGCCCAGCTTATTTCATCCACTGCCAGTCTGCTCCGGGCTTCGGATGTGGTCATGCTCTTTGGCGAGTCCTCGTTTGACGAGCTGGTCTCGTCGGTCTATTCAGCGAGCATGACGGCAGATGCGTGGGTAGCGTCAGCGGTGTCGGACATGATGCGGGCGCTGACCTCGTTCGAGGCCGGTTCTGGCTCGGGCGCGTCAAGCTCGTCGGGCTCGGCGGCTTGGGCCGACTCGGGCTCGCTCCCGTGGTCCAAGGGTCTCTTTGCCGCCAGCGCGAGCGGGTCCACGCCGGCGCCAGTCCACACCGGCGTCGGCATCACGCTCGCACCGGGCAACGCCTACATGGGCGTGGAGAAGATCCTCGTCAAGACGCCGTCATCGTCGCCGGCGTCAAGCAGCTCGTCAAGCTCGGCCGGGGGAGCCAGCTCGAGCGATGCTACGGTTTCCGACATGGTGGCCAAAGTTGTCGCCAACCTTGCGCCATCGACGTCGCCGATCAACCTCAACGGCGTGGCTTCGATCAACTACGCCGAGCTCAAGGCTCTGACCGCTGCCGATGCCGAGAAAAAGGCGTCGGTGGCGGACAGCGACATGGGCGACGGGTCTGGCGAGGCCACCGACAAGGGTGACGACGACGGCGAGGCCGCCAAGACTGCAGCCATTGCTGCCGCGGAGGCCAAGGCAACCGAAGCTGAGGAGAAGCTTCGGGTCCGTGAGCTTGTGGTGACGCGGGTGGCCAAGCTCTTGGCCAAGCCTGACGAGCTGTCTGCGTCTGCAACGAGCGAACTGCTGTCGATCATGTCGACCGCAGTCGACGCGACGGTCAAGGGCAAGGCCCGGGATGGCGCATACCCATCGCTCTCGCCGGAGAACGTGGGCGCGCTGGCTGCGTTCCTGCAGACCCAACCGCCTCCGGCGGTCTACGAGTTCAACCTTGTGCTCAACATGCTTGCCACTTGCTCAGGCGATGTGCTTGTGGGCGTGGCGCGCGAGGTTCTGCCTGTGGCGCTCGCGCACCCGGGCGCGCTCGCGGTGATGAACTCGATCAACGCGATTGTGTCTGCGCTCAAAACCTCAGCCGAGGCGCTGCAGGCGCTCGTGGACCTGGTGCTGGCGCTCTGGCCTACGGTTCTGGAGGCGCCGGGCACGATGTTGGTGTTTTCGTCGATGGTGTCGACGCTGCAGGCCAGCATCAGCGACGGCGAGAGTGAGGACAAGGCTTTGACGGGTGTGCAAGTGAGCACGGCCTCGGTTGCGGCGCTCGGCGACGCAGTCCTTGATCTCATCTGCCTGGCCATGTCGGGCTACAAGATTTCTGACGAGGCGGGCGGCATCAAGGCGACGTCGGCAGTCCAGACGCACGCGGCGGAGCTCGCCGGCGCGCTGCTGGGCATCCTCGCTGCACTCGTCGCACATCCCGCGCCCGAGACGAGCTCAGGCGTGCTACTCGCTGCAGTTGACCCGGTGGCCCTTGGCATTGTGGTCTCGTTTGTCGAGCTGCGGTCGGCGCGGACGCTTGCCAACAAGGCACGCGACTTGATGGCGTTCCTGGGCGAGAACGCAGAGGCGGCACAGGTTGCCGTCGCCGGGTGCTTGCAGGTGCTGTCGAGCGAGAAGGGCGCGCGAGCGATGCATCTGACCCAGTCGACACGGACAAACGCGGCACCGGTGGCCGAGAACGTGCTGGCGGTGATGATGAGTCTGATCAAGTCGAAGGAAGCTGCCAACGCATTTGCGGAGCTCGGCGGCCTCGACACGCTTGTCTCGCTGGTGCCGGGCGATGCCAGCAACAAGAGCGCAAGTGCGGCCGGTGCCAAGACCAGTATCAGTGCGAGCCAGGGAGATGCGTCTGCGGCGGTGACTGGTGCAGCGCTGCCGACCTCGTCAGAGTTTGGGCTTGCGGTCAAGCAGGTTAGCTCGGGCAACTCGTCAAGTCCCAGCACGGGCGGCGACTCAACTGTCCGTGTTGTCTCGGGCGAGTGCTCTGTGATCTCGCAGTCGACCGGGTATGCAGCATACCTGGTGGGAACGTCGTCGGGCACCTGGTCCGTTCCGTTTGGTGCAGGCGAGAGCGAGCACTACGTGACGGTCAAGCTGCCGTCGGCGATGCTTGTGCGAAGCGTGAACGTTAATGTGCAGCCAAATGGCTCTTCGGCGTTCTTTGCGATTCTGGAGCTCTCGATGCATGAGAGCAAGCGGTTTGAGCCTGTGGGCGTAGAGGTGTACAACATGGGCGCGACGCCACCGACATTCAACCTTCCACCGTCGCACCGGGCCAAGTACCTCAAGCTGCGGGTCATGATGCACCCAGGTGCTGCGGCCGGCATGTCGCTGCAGATCACGTCGTTGGCGATCCGGGCGCAGAACTTTGCGGCTGCGGATGCGGCCGATGTCGACGGGGCGGCTGGGAGCGGCAAAGCGCGCGTGGCCAAGCTGTCGATGGCAGGCGTGATGCGGTACATGGCACACGTGTGTGCTATGTCAGACTCGCTGTTTGCGCGTCTTGTCTCGCGCGATCAAGCGACGTCGCTGATGCAAAAGCTGCTCGAGGTGTGTGCGACGCCTGCCGGCGCACGATCGTCGGCGCTCCCGGTCCTGCTTGGCCTGGCACGGCACTCGCTCGATCTTGGGCTCCACTTTCTGGAGAAGACGCTTTCGGGGAGCGAGCTGACTGAGACGCATGCCGAGATGGTGAGCATGGTGTGCTGGTCCAAGGACGAGAGCTCCAAGGTTGCCTACGCGTACAAGTGGCTGGCGAGCAAGCTTGCCAACGCGAGCGAGGCCAGGTTTTCTCTCGCGCCGTTTGTGGGCGGACTGGCGGATGCGCTGCGGGTCTCGGGCTATGTGCCCGAGGATGTCAACGCCGGCGCGGTTGTTGCGCTCACCGAGTGGGCGACGTCGGCCGGAACCTCGCGCGAGGATGCGGTGTGTGCGGCCAAGATGGTTGATGCCTACGCGGGCATTCTGGGGACTGATGTCACCATGGCGGCAGTGGAGAGCGTGGCGCGCCTCGGCGAGCTGCCAGACGAGGCTGTGGCCGCTGCGGCTGCCGAGGCGAGCAGCGCCAGCGCAGCGCTCGACCCGCGGTTCCATATTCTGGAAGCTCTTGTTGGCGCCGAGGAGCGCAGCGCGTGGATGATCGCGAACGGGGTGGTGACCCGGATCCGCGACGCGCTGAAGAGCGCGCTGGCCGGCTCGCACTGGGCCGAGGCCGGGCGCATGGCGGCGGTTCTCTCCGGCCTGGCCATGACAAGTGCTGGGCGGGCGGCGCTGGTGGCGCCGGCTGGCGAGCTGTACACTGTTGTGGTCGACGGCGTGGTGGCTGGGATCAAGGCAAGCGATGACGTCGGCAACAAGGGCAAGGGCAAGGAGGAGGCAGCGGTGCCGGTGCCACTGTCCTCGGCCGAGGCTCTTGGCGGCCTCCTCAAGACGATAAGCACGAACGACGGAGTTGAGCAGCAAGTGCTGGCTCGCACGGTGGTGAGCGCGCTCGAGGGCATGGGCGCGGGTAAGCCGTCGGCGGTGCTGGTGGCACTCCTGGGCGCCGCAGTGCTCGAAGACGAACGGTTTGTGGTTACGGCGTCGCCGGAACCGCTCGAGCTTGCGTTCCGGACATCGCAGCGCAGCCTGGAGCCAACCGAGTACTTTGCAGGCTCCAAGGTGATCAACGGGCGGCACGCCAAGATGCTCAACGGATGGATCAAGGACCGCGGGGTGCCGGGGCTTAAGCTGCCTGCAGCGTGGCGGAAGCGGTGGGACTCGTCGAGCGGTGGGGCCACCGAGTTCTTTGATGCCATTGTGGGCGCCGGGCCGTTTGTGTTTGTCATCTCGACGCCGACCGAGGTGTTTGGAGGCTTTTGCTCGGTCAACGTGGAGGCGCACAACTTGCAGAACCAGTACTTTGGCGACGAGAACTGCTTCCTCTTCAACTGCACCAACTCGTCAGTTTTCCTCCCGACCAACGCGTACAACAACCAGTTCCTGTACTCTTGTTCGACAGGCTCGGCGTACTTTGCCTTTGGCGGCGGACACGATCTCTCGTACTCGTTCGCGTCAACGTCGTCGAACTACGCCAACATGTACACGTACCAATGCGCCGAGGCGCCAGGCTCCAAGGTCACAAGCCAGTACAACTTTACGGTGGTCACGGCCGAGGTCTGGATGCTCGGCGGCCCCGGCAGCGAGCCGGGAGCCGACGGCGCAAGCTCGGCAGCGACCAAGGGCATGATGGCGCGGCTGAAGGAGAAGGTGGCGAGCGTGCCGTCGGGCGTGGTTGCAGCGCATGTCAACCCGGTCTTTTCGGCTGGCGGACAGACGCTCCTGACTGCGCTGCAGGGCAAAGAGGTGCCTGCGTCGTGTGGCTTTGCGCGGATTGACGGACCGACGACGGCGGTGCTGCGCAAGAAGACTCGCGTGGGCCACCTTGTGGTTCCGGACAGCGGCCCGGGCGTTGCTGAGTTGCGTTACGTCGAGCGGACAAGCGAGTGCCGGGTGGTGAGCCGGAGCGAGATCGACGTGCGCGAGTCGCCGTTTGTGCGGCTGCCGCAGGCCGTCAACGCGTTTGCAAGCGCCGGCGGGCTCGGGCAGCTACTGCAGATGGTAGCGGCGAGCTACAACGGGGTTGAGCCGTCGCGGGCGTCAGGCAAGCTGACATCGTCTGCGCTTACCGAGCTCCAGCTGCTGCTGGACGTGCCTGGGTACGCTGGGGCGTTCCTGGCGTCGCCGGCGTGCATGCACCTTGTTTTCAAGTCAATGGGCGTGGCCATACCGCGGTACCTGGCGGGTGTGGAGGCTGCGGCCAAGAAGGTGGCCGAGGCCAAGGCGAGCTCGGGGACGAGCGCGGCAGATGGGCCATCACCAACGGACAAGGCCAAGGACATGTTCCTGGACGTGCTCAGCTCGCTGCTCACGATCTCGAGCGACGTGGAGATGCGGCAGAGCCTCATCTCGAACGGGGTGCTTGGGGCGGTGCTGGCACGAATCTCGGAGCTGACCTCGACCGAGCCGCGGCGGCTGACGGCGGAGCAGCAGGCGGCCAAAGACAAGGCCGACGCGGAGCGCAAGGCCAAGCTTGAGCGCGAGCGCGAGAAGAACGCAGACAAGCAAGAGTACTGGGCCAAGGGCACCGGGTACGGAACAGGCTCGACGGCCGAGACCGCATGGGATCAGTCCAAGTACGCCGAGGAGATGGCCGAGCGCGAGCGGCGGGTCGGTCTGCTCCTCGACACGGTCACCGGGTGCGTTCTTGCCAAGAGCGTGCCAGACTCGCTGTTCACGCTGCTGGAGGGCTCGTGCCTCGTGCCGTTTGTGGGCTCGTACCTCCGCAACGACTCGCTGCTAGACATGGCCAAACACAAGTCGATCTACCTCGCGCTGATGCGGCTGGTCGAGGCGCTCTGCTCGCACGACGTGACGCTAGCGCTGTTTGACGACCTCGAGGGCGAGGCGACGAGTGTGTTTGCGCTGCTGAAGAAGCTGCACTCGTGCGCGTCGATGTTCCTCAAGACGGTCAACAAGATCGAGGGCAACAGCGAGAAGGGTAAGCGCAATGGCAAGGAGCCGGCTGCAGAAGAGGCGGCTGACGCCGATCCCAAGGCGGAGCCGGCTGCTGCAGACGACGGCGCCGAGACCGAGTCGGACGACGAGGCCGAGTCTGAGGATGGGGAAGCAGCTGGTGCGGGCCGAGGCATCGGGTTGGGCGACGAGACTGCGGCGTCGCAAGACGCTGGCAAGGCTGTTGCAGCAGCAATCATGTCGACGTTCAAGGTGTGCTCTGCGCGGATGAAGGAGTTTACCAAGGCGAAGAAGGGTGGCGGTGACGGAGCAGCAGTGGCAGCGAGCTCGGGCAAGGGCAAGGAGGCAGCCGAGGGCGAGGGCGAGGATGATGCGCGCAAGATCGAGCTCTACATGCAGTTTATGGAGGACCAGCAGTTTGACGAGATGGATATGCAGGATAGCGGCGGGTACAGCAAGCACCACTATGCGAGCAGCATCAGCTCATCGGGCGGCGACGTGAAGAGCAAGATGATGCGGCTGGCGCAGGAGGCGTCTGGCATCTCGGGCTCACTCCCGCTCTCGTTCGACTCGTCGGTCTTTGTGCGGATCGACGAGGAGCGGATGGATGTGTGGAAGGCGATGATCATTGGCCCTGAGGGCACGCCTTACGAGAACGGATGCTTTGAGTTCCACATCTTCTTCCCGGACGCCTACCCGAAGTCACCGCCGCTGGTCAACATGGAGACGAACGCCAACGGGACGCAGCGGTTCAACCCCAACCTGTATGCCAATGGCAAGGTCTGTCTCTCGCTGCTCGGCACGTGGGACGGTGACGCGTCCGAGATGTGGAACGAGGCTACGTCGACGTTCCTCCAGGTTCTCGTCTCGATCCAGTCGCTCATCATGGTGCCCGAGCCGTACTTCAACGAGCCCGGCTACGAGTCGTCGCGCGGCACGCCGTCGGGCGACGCCGAGAACCTCAGCTACACCCTCAACATCTACACCTACACACTGCAGACGGCCATCCTCGGGCAGCTGCGCAACCCGCCCAAAGGCTTTGAGGACGTTATCCGCGCCCATCTCTACATGAAGCGCAAGGAGATCCTTGCCATGGCGGCGCGCTGGAAGTCGTGCGCCGCTGGCGCGCAGAACTCGAACTACCTTTCCAAGATCGAAAAGTTCGAGACCGAAATCCGCGCCGAGTTTGAAGCCATGACTCCGCCCGAGCTCCTCTCCGAAGAGCTCGAGATGGAGGACAACGAGCTGGAGCAGGTCTTTGCCCTCTAGCATGTGTAAACGTCAAGGATGCCAAGCGCCCGCGCGTTCCCCCAATTAATTGTTGCCGCGACTGCCACGAGTCGTTAGCACTCGCAGCCGGCTATGCGAAGCGAAGCGGCTAACATCTTACTTTGCTAAGAGCTCTGATGGCGTCGACACAGTCGATGCGCGACGACGACGACGCGCGCCATCTAGGCGACCAATCCTTTCTTTGATTTCGTTTGTACGCGAGCCGTTGAACGGCGCTCACGTACACGCGGATCACCGTGCCAATTGGCACGGTGTGCTGGCAAAAGATGGCCAACACAGTAAATGCGAGGAAATCTCAAGCCGTCGAGCCAGCGGAGCGACCGCTCGGGCGGCAACCAAGAGTGTGTGCCCTCCCCACTGCTGGTTTTTCCATTCGGCCGCCCTCTCCTGTCGGACTTCCTTCTCCTTGGCCTCCCCCTCCCCCCGCGCGCCCACACCCATCTCACCCCATCCCCCCGCGCGCCCACACCCAGCATGACCGACACAACGGGAGGCGGATGGACATGCAGCGCATGTACGTTTGTCAATGGCAATGCGCACTTTCTCGTCTGCGAGGTCTGCCTCACTCGCCGGTCCGACTCGTCGGCACCCCTGTGGCATTTTGACGGCGACGGCGGCTTCCAGCCATACCATGCCGAGGCCCAGGCAGAGCTGGCGACCGCCGATGGACCTGTCGTCGTCCTGCGCTCATTACATGGAAAGTACTCGGTTGACATGGCTAATCATACTCAGACAAACCTCGCATCGGGTTACGTTCGGGCTGTGCGATGCGTGGCGCCTGACGGTTCGGTCGTGCCCGGGCCGTGGGCGAGTGCTGGACGCGGTGTCGGCGGGGCAACGATGGCTACTTCGCTGGTTGGCGGTGGCTTTGGTGTTGGCGGCGGATTTGTCTCTCCGCCGGTGGTGCCGCCGGCATCGGTAGCGTACGTGGCTGGCGCATCGGTCTCCAAGACCAATCCGAAGGGCGAGCGCGAGCACAAGACGTGCTCGCGGTCGTCCAAGAAGGCAAAGGGACTCGCAGACGAGTCGTCAAGCTCGGGTAGCGGCTCATCATCGTCAGCGTCATCAGCGAGTGCTGCGGCCGCGCCAGAGCCGGAAGTGGTGCCGGACAACGATGTGCTGCGGATGTTCCGCACCGCCGCGCGAGAGGCGATGGCTACACAAGGCTCGGCGTCCGAAACGAGCGCGAATGGTCGCAGCACCATGATGGAGATGGTCCGACGGCTGTTTGAGACGATCGAGGCCGAGCCGGTGGCGGCGGTAGACGAGGCCGAGACTGGCATGTGCTCGATCTGCTGCTCGGATTTTGGAGATGCGGTGGCGCCGCTGCGTACGAGCGCGTGCGGGCACTGTGTGCTCTGCAGCGATTGCTTCCGGGCGTACGTGGTCCATCGTGTCGACGACGGTGACGTCATGCCGTGGATCCCATGCCCGGGAGGGGCGTGCCAGGAGCTTCTTGCGCCGGACGATTTTGAGGCTTCCGGGCTGAGTGGCGGCGAGCTTGCGCGGCTTGCGGTGGCGGTGCTGAGCAAGCGTTGCGCGGGCTCGCCGGCGTGGATCGCGTGTGACGGCGAGGGCTGCTGCTACGGATTTGTGCAGAGCGCCGAGCGCGAGGCGGCGGCCGAGGAGGTGTGGGCGAGCGCCGGGCCCGAGTCTACGGCGCGGGCCGGGGCGCCGGCCGAGGCTGGCGAGCACTACCCGGGAGAGCCGCGGGTGTGCAGCGTGTGCAGCCACTCGCAGTGGGTCAAGCGGCCGCGGCCAGCCGAGGACGACTCGATTGCGCAGCTTGTGGCGGAGGGCAAGATGCGTGAGTGCCCCAAGTGCGCCATGCTGATCATGAAAGACTTTGGGATTTGCAACGTCATCCAGTGCTCGTCGTGCTCGGTGTGGTGGAACTGGCAGACGCGCGAGACGGGCGCAACATCGGCCGAGCTCAAGGCGCGTGCGCGGCGGACCGGCACGCTTTGGATGCCCGGCGAGCTCGACTACCAGCGGCGGCTGGAGCGGACCGACAAGAAGGCGTTCATTGCGCTATTGGAGAGCAACGGGATCAAGTACGACCCCAACTACCGGCGGGGCGGGTGGTAAACTACAAGGCCTTTATGACTCTGGGGTACGGGGCGCTGCAGCGACGACGGCCTGAGTAACCTGCTGGGCTGTGTGGGCGAGGGCATAGACAGCTGACTGGGCGACGTCGCAAGCGCCGGCAATCGATGTCCTGCTCCGCTCGGCACGAGCCACAATGTTGGTAAGGGCCTCGGCGGCGTGGTGCAGCGGCTCGGCAAAGGTGCCGAGATGCTCGATGCCATGACCAGAGCAGGCGGCGAGCGCGCTGGTGACGGTCTCGACGGCGGCGACCATCCGGTTTGCCTGTGTGCCGAGAGCGTCGAGGGCAGCCACCAGCTGAGGTGTCGATGCCAGCCGCGATTCGCTATCGTCGTCGAGCGGGATGGCCTCGACTAGCGCCCGCAGTGCAGCGAGTCCCTTGCGCAGCGCGAGGCGGACCGGATGAGCCAGCGGCGTGTCCCCCACTCCGGGCGCAGCCGCCGTCTCGGCAAGGCCTGACACGAAAGTGATGGTCGAGAGGACAAGCGAGGAGAAGCTGCGGAGCGAGAAGATGGGTGGGACCTGTGGCGGAGCGAGGCTGAGCGGGGTCTCTGGATCATCATCATCATCATCATCGTCGTCGTCATGATTGTCGTCGTCATTGTCGCCGTTGTCGTTGGCGCGAGGCGAGCCAGCGTCGGCAATGTCTTTGGCTGTCTCGAGCATGTTGCCCAGCGCCGAGTACAGCTCCGCCTCGAGGACCAGATGCTGGAACTGCGACGAGGTTGTAGATTCGATGTCGTCGGTGTCAGCGGCAGCGTCATTGTCAGCAGCGTAAGAGAGAGCGGAGAGGGCGGTGGCATCGGTGTCGCCAACATCGTTGTCGGCGACAAGCGGAGGTGGCTTTGGATGATCGGCGAGGCGGAGGGCGGTCTCGAGCTCTGTGATGTAGGCGTCACGGACGTTGACGGCGTTAACGAGGGCGTCGATCTGGGCCATGGCACGATCAAGCGTCTCACGCAGCGCCTTGTTGTCGGCTTCGACCACAGCGGCACGCTTCCGAGCCTCAGCCACCGCCACCCCTGCCACCTGTGACTCGAGCGAGGACTCAGCGCGAGAGGCGAGGTGCGGATGATCACCAGAGTGATGCTGATGATTATGCTGATGCTGATGTGATGCTGATGATTCCCACGATGGTGATCTTCGCTACGCTGACGCGAGTCCGAGACTGGCAGAGCATGAGAAGGCGATAGGCGGTGGATGCGCTTGTGACGGAGCAAGGGATCGGCTGTGGGCGGGGGATGGCGGCGCTTCCGAGGATTGGCTTGTCCGGTCATGGTAGCCCTGGCGAGAGCGGCGAGGGTATCGTCAAAGGCGGCGACAAAGGCAGCACGGAGGCGGCTGGTGGCCATGTCAAAAAGCAGGGGGGGGGGAGTCGGCGAGGGTATGGGTATGGGTGTGGGTGCGGGTGCGGGTGTGGGTGTGGCGTGTGGCGTGTAGCGTGACAATGGCGCCTGGCTGATTTGTGGCAGACGGGAGGTTGGGGGGGGGGGGGGAGGCTGGGGGCGGGATGCTTCGTGAACACTGTGACGCGAGGACACGAGGGGTATGTGGGTTTAAGGCACACGGTGCCGAGGGCGCGGCGTGGGACGACGCGCGAGATCAAAGATGCGCTTAGAAGTTGATGTCCCAGGTCTTGACGGCCGAGTCCGAGCCAGCCGTGGCGATGACCGAGTCGTTGACCCAGACGACGCCGGTGGCGCCGCCGTTGTGAGCGAGCGGGATGCGGATGCGGGCCGAGGGCGCCGAGACGGACCAGATGCGGATGTCGCAGTCGAGCGAGGCCGAGGCAAGGTGGTCACCCGAGGGCGACCAGGCGATGTCGTTGACGCGGGCGGTGTGGTGGCACCACTTGCCTGCGCCGATGGTGGGCTCAAAGCTCGAGGTGTCCCACACGATGATGTTGCGGCCGGTGTCGCACGAAGCGAGGTACGAGCCATCGGGCGAGAAGCGGACGGAGGAGACCGGGGCGCGGTGGGTGCCCTTGAGGGCCTGGGCCTCGACGAGGTTGTCGCCGTCGAGGGTGTAGATGAAGACGCCATCCGAGGCACCGACGGCGACATGAGCTTCGTCAGCGGAGATATGGACCGACGACGGCTCGTTGTCGAGGGCGAGAGTGGAGACGACGTTGCCGTCGCGGACGACAGCGAGCCCCCGCGGTGGGAAGCGACGACGAGGCCGGGGTTGGCGGCCGAGATGGCGACGTCCGTCGGGGTCGAGTCGAGCTTGATGGCGTCGCCCATGGTCTTGTCGGTCATCGAGGTGATGCAGAGCGTGTCGTCCATGCCGACCGAGACGAGGGTGTCGCCCTGGACGGCGATGCCCGAGACCTGCGAGCCGTGGCCGTTGCCGGCAAACATGACCTGCGACCACGAGTCAAAGTCCCATGCGACGACGCGGCCGTCGTACGAGCCCGAGACGATCGATGAGGTCGCCGGGTCAAAGGAGATGGCGGTAGTGAACTTGTTGTGGCCCTGGATGCGCTTGGCCGGCGCATCGGGCGCGTCGCGATCGAGGTAGTTGATGGTGCCGTCGAGCGAGACCGAGAGCAGCGTCTCGCCGGCCCAAAGGCAGGCGACCTGCATGTCCTCGCGGGTCGAGCCGAGGGTAAAGGTCTGGACGCACTCAAAGGTCTCGCCGGACATGTCCCAAATCTTGCACGTCTTGTCGGCTGACGAGGTGAGGAGGAACTTGGAGTCCGGGCTCCACGAGCACGAGTAGATCGAGCCCTTGTGAGGGTCGGCGTTGGAGAGCTCGCCGATCTTGTCGCCGGTCTTGCCGTCAAAGACGGAGCCAGTCATGTCCGACGCCACCGCCACGTACCGCGCGCCGTCAGGCGAGAAGCGGACGCAGTTGACAAACCGCGTGTGGTCTTGGCAGCCATGCGCAAACTTGAACGGCGGGCCGGTGTGGAAGCCGACGGAAAAGTCCTCCGAGGCCGTCGCCACCCGGAACGGGCGGTTGGCCTTGAACGAGCACGAGAGAATGGCCTTCGAGTGCCCGGTGATCGAGCCAACAGATGAGCCGGTCTTGGCCAGGATCGCCGCACCGAACCGCTCGCGCCCGTCGCCGACCACCACGATCCGCTCCGAGTCGCCCGACCAAGCAATGTCGTGGATCTTGCCCGAGAGCACCGGGAACTCATTCGCCAGAATGTGCTCGGCGTTGACTGTGTCCCAGATCCGGAGCTTGCCCGACTCGTCACCAGAGGCAATGTAAAAGCCCGACGGCGAGTATGACGCCGCCGTCGCGTTGGCCACGTGCTCCTGGTACAGGTCCGCGTCGAGCGGGTTTTCGATGTTGCGGATGACCACAGACTTGCCGCACGTGTAGAGCATCTTCTCGTTCTTGGGGTCCGCGTACAGCGAGACAGACTCACCACGCGTGGTGGCGGGCACGGGGGCGTACGTGTGACCTGCACGGCGGTACGAGGCGACAATGTGAGTGACGTGCCGATCAATGATCCTTCCCCCTTGCCCCATAGCCTCACCCACGCTGCTCGACACCGATCCCCCCTGCCTCTCCCCGCCCCTACCCACTCCATCTTCCTCTGCCCATAGCCCCAGCTTGTATGCTCTCAGTCTCACTGCCGCTTCTGCAAGATGTAGCACCGTGCATGGCCTTGCCACAGGCAACGGCCCGAGCGCGCCTTCCAGCGAATTCTGGCGAAAGAAAGCGAACAGGTCACACCACGGCGGATACGACCGACAGAGGCTCGGGCATAGGAGGCGAGAGAGAGAGAGAAAGAGAGAGAGAAAGAGAGAGGGAGGAGAGACGAGGCGCTTTAAATTGTACGTACGCAGAGTGGCGGAACCGTTGTTGGCAGCCATTTTGTCTTGTTTCTGGAAAGGGAGGGTTGAGTGGTGGTGGGTGTGGGCGTTGGGGGCGGAGCGGAGGTTGGTCTGGACTTACTGGCAACGCGAAGGAGGTCCGCCTTGGCTCCACCAACGATGAAATTGCCATCAAACAATCATAGCCGCCACCTTGCCTCCATCAACGATTATTTCTCGATAAGTTTATCATTGCCCCCTCTCGCCCCAACAATTATATTTCCATCAAAACAATCATAGCCGCCACCCACGCGGCTCTTTCGTTGTTCCTCTTTCGCACCATTGTCCCCTCTCGCCCCAACCCCTCCCCCCACCCTCCCTCCGTCCGCCCTCACCCCCTCCCCCTCCTCCTCCTTCCCACCCAAACCACTCACCCCCTGTCTCACGTCGTCAGCCAACTCTGACCCCCGTATGCACACAGGGAACACGCCACTGTCTGTGGCACTCGTCCTGGGCCTCCTTGCCCTGGCCTTTGCTCTCGAAGTGACGGCGACGGCCACACCCGCCACGACAGCCACACCCGCCACGGCCACCAAGCCCACCACGGCGTCAGACGATGGGGTGCCGCTTGTGTTTGAACCGCGGCCGCAAGGAAAAGACGCTCGGTGTGTCCATGACCATGCTACTCAGCGTGGTCATTATGACGGACATGTTGTCTCTCGTGTCCATCATCAGCAACTTGCTCTTGGTGAGTCTGGTGGTCTGAATGATGAGGACGGTCGTCATCATGCTGCTGCTGCTACCGCTGCTGCCGCTGATGGAAATGATGCCGTTCTCTCGGCTCGAAGTGCTCATGTCGCTGCTCGTGCTACTGCCTCGCCCATTAGAGTCCTCTTTGATACCTCGCTCTTTGACAACGATTTGGCTACCCGCGTGTGCAATGCAGACGGCGCCGCGTTTGCCATTGGTGATGGGTCAGGCGGCGAAGCGTGCTCGGCGACAAAGCTCGTCAACTGCAATGGCGTGTGCTCAGCTGCAATGCTCTGGCCCGCAGCCAAGGCTAGCTTTATGACCGACCAGGTGCTCCCGGCCGTCGCCGATCGCCTCTCGGCCGCGCTCTCGGTCATTTCGCCTGCGGCGATTGTGTTTGCGGCGCAGGGCGGGACCGACTGTGGTGCATCCGACTATGGTCCGGCCACCATTCCGCAGTCGTACATCGACACGCCGACGACCTCGGCCGACGTGGTCATCTTTGTCACCCGCCGGCCGATGCTGGGCGGCGCGCAGGCGGTCGGCGTCGAGTGCTTGCAGAACCAGCTCGGCCGCCCGCTGGCGGGCCACCTCAATGTGGCGCCGCAGTACATTGACCCGAACGACCTGCAGGGTGCCGTCGATGTTGTCCTCCACGAAGCGCTGCACATTCTCGGATTCTCGTTCTCCAAGTTTTCGGCGTACCTCAACGAGTTTGGCGAGCTCTACGCCGACGAGTCGCCTGCGCGGCCGGTGGTGGCGTCGACGACAACCTCATTTGGCAATACTATCCGCCGGCTCAACACGCCGCGCGTCACAGCTGTTGCCCGCCAGCACTACGACTGCGCGCGGGCCGTCGGCCTCGAGCTCGAGGACGGCGGCGGTGTCGGCATCTTCAAGTCACACTGGGAGAAGCGCCTGCTGATGAACGAGATCATGACCGGCCGCTACGAGTCGCTCCCGCCGCCGGCCCTCTCAGTCTTCACCCTTGCTGCGCTCGAAGACTCGGGCTGGTACGTCGCCGACTACTCGACTGCCACCCCGCTGCGCTACGGCTTCCGCCAGGGCTGTGAGTTTTTCGATGGCCAGTGCTCGACTTGGACCGGCGACGGCTACTACTGCAACACGTCGACACCCGTCGGCTGCAACTTTGACCGCTCGGCAAAGTCCGAGTGCATCGTCACCGAGTGGGCCATCATCCCCTCGGCCTTCCAGTACTTCAACAACCCGACGACCGGCGGCTACTCGGAGCTGGCAGACTTTTGCCCCATCTACACCCCGACGTCGGACGGTGCCTGCGCCGAGCTGGCTAACGCCGCCGTCGCCTCGCCAGGCGCCGAGCAGTTTGGTGCCTCGTCCAAGTGCTTCCTCTCCACCGTCCGCAACATGTCGCTCAGCTACACTGGGAACCTCGAGCCGCGGTGCTACCTTTCCACCTGCGCCGGCGACGAGACGTCGGGCTACACCCTCTCCATCTCGGTTGGCGGCTCGGCGCCGATCACCTGCCCGGCCCGCGGCGGCATGATTGAGTTTCCGGGCTTCCAGGGCGCCGTCCAGTGTCCGCCCGCCGCAGAAGTCTGTCGCACCCCGTTTGTCAACCGTCCGCCGGTTCCTACCGGGTCTGCCGCCATTACCGGCCCCTCGCTGGTTGTTATTGCCCTTGCTGGCATCCTGGCGGTCCTTGGCGCCGCGCTGGCTTGATGGCCCTCTTTCCTCCTCCTCTTCTTTCGATTGCACAAACAAAACCACACACACACAGACTGCAGTGATTGGCCACAGCATGCTACGCGCGCCTCTAGGTTTAGTTGATGTTGATGATGATGATGTGTGGGTGGTAGGTGTAGGCGGGCGAGCGGCGGCGGGTGCAAGCGGGATGACGACTACGACTTCTTGAAGAGGTCGGCGTAGGTCGGCTTGCCACCCGCCGACGGGGCGGGGGCCTCGGTGGAGGCGGACGCGCTCGAGTCAGCCGCGGGCGCGGACGCCGTCGCCGGCGCCGACTCCTTCTTGACAGGAGACGACGGCGCGGCCGCGGACGAGGTGGGGGCGGCAGCAGGTGCAGAGGTCTCGGCAGCCTTGGGCGCCGACACCTTGGCCGGAGCAGCCTCCTTGGCGCCGCCAACGTTGCGCCGCTGGCCCATTGCTGTCGCGCGGTCCATGCCACGCGAGCTTCCACCAGAGGAAGAGTCGTGGCGCCGGCGCTGCCGGTTCTTCTTGCGGCGTTTGATCCTGTGTGGAAGGTGACGGTGAGTAGTGGGGAGAGGGGGGAGGAGGGAGAGGCAGGGGAAGTCGCAAGTCGAGCTGCGGGCCAAAGCCCAGCGCGCGTCGTCTCAACCCTCATATGAGCTGGGTTAGAGCAAATCGAAATCGTCATAGTGGTTCGGACAATAATCGATGACTTAATCACAGAGAGAGACGGGCGCGCAAGCGCAAAAGAAAAAAAAAGGGGGGGGGGGGGGTCAAGGCAAGAACGTACTCGGGGACAGGCTTCTCCACCTCGAGGGTGGTGTTGGGCTCGGAGAGCACAACTGGGGCGTCCGAGTCTGCCAGCTCAGTCGGCTGGTAGACGACAACGTCGGCAAACGAACGGATGACCTTGACCAGGTCGTCGCGCGGGTACTTGACAAACTCGGCCGAGTAGCCGGCGGGCTTGGGCGCAGCGCCCTTGGCATTGGGCAGCGGCGGGAAGGACTGGAGGCCGAGCTCAAAGTCCGGGGCCTTCCGCTGCGAGGGGCTGGCGGATTTTGCGCCCCCGCGGCCGCCGCGGGCACCCTTGCCCCGGCCGCGGCCCTCGCCCGAGCCGCGGCTCCGGCGCGAGTCGTCGCCGTTGCGGCGGCCACGCTTGCCGCCTGCGTCGCGGCCGGAACCGTCGTACTCCTTGAGGACGGCACCGCCCTTGCCACCCTTGCCGCCCGAGCCTCCACGGCCCCCGCCGCGACGGCCGGCGTACGTCTGATCAGTTCCAGAGTGAGCGTACGGGGCGGCGTTGGCGTAGTAGTGCTGCTGGCCGGCCATGTACATGGCCTGCGACGGCATGAACCCACCCTGCGGCGGGGCACCCTCCCAGCCCTGCGGCGGGGGGTAGCCATACACGCCGCCCTGGCCTGCCACGGGCACATACTGCGGACCGCCGTAGCCCATGTAGGCGTAAGGGTTGCCACCAGGCGGAGCGCCGGCCACAAACGGCGCCCCTGCGGGCGCCTCGCCGGCAGGCTTGGCCGCGCCAGGCGACGCGCCCTGCAGCAGCGACTCGGTCTTGATCCGGCACCGGATCGGCTTGCCGTCGTACTTTTGCGACCGCAGCCACATAAAGGTCGAAAAAGTGATGTCCTCGTCCGCAAACTTGACATACCAGTGGTTCTGTGCCTCAGCCTGCACGCTCACAACCTTGCCGGCCGCAGGGTCGTCGAAAATGGCCTTGACCTGGGCCTCGGTCACGTCCTCAGGAAGCTCGCGGATGATGATCGTGTTGCGCTTGAGCTCAAAGACCGGCTTGACCTTGGTCTCGTCCTCGGACAGCACCACCGCGTCCGAAGCACGCATGGCCTGCAGCAGCGTTGCACGGTCCGTCGTCAGAGACTTGACCTTCTTAAACGCCGCAATAATGTCCACGTCCACAAACATTTCGCTCGACATGTGCGAGACGAGGTACTTGTCCGACGCAAGGTTCTCCCGCGAAAAGTAGAAATCAATCTGCTTCTGCAGCTTGGTCATCACCTCATCTGCAGAGAGTCCGGCAGAGCCCGATGCCTCGTTGTCCGACATGGATGTTCAAGTGCTGGTCTTCCTTCACAAGGTATGCAAAGAGGAAATATGCGAGACCAAAGTGGGTGGCCGTGTGTGTGTGTGAGAGAGTGTGCGGGTTAGCAAACACAAACAAACTCTCGATCCGCCAGTAGTCCAATCCCCAGCTCGACTTGCTCTCTCAGCCAAAAGTCTGCACCAGCAAGGTCGCAAACGTTGCCTCTGCCTGTTGTTGCCGTGTCAGACGTCATTGGTATTCACCATGGTTCGTCCCCATCCACAACCATCCCGTTCCGCACAAGTCGTCCAAAGGAGCATCAAGCGATTTTTGGCGGTAGCCAAAGCTGTGAGTTTGCGACGCCTTTCCTCACACCTACCAACCGCATGGCAGACACTTGCCCAACAAGCTTAACACTTGCAGAAAGGTCAGAAGGTGGGGCACATGCTCATGTTGATTGTAGTCGACATGGTAGTATTCCTCGTCGGCTACAGCTCAAGACAAACACTCGGCTGGCTTCGGGTCAACCAAATATGGGTTGATGACCGTGGGATGGACGACCTTTCAAAATTATTCAACCCGTCCGTCACCACACACAACACACCATACCAGCCAAGCCACCTCTTACAAGCACACCATAATGCCCTTGCAAGACTGCTTCACATGGCTATTGCATCTACTTCCCCCCCCCAAAAAACCACCAACTCGGTTGGTTGAGCATGGCTCCTCCTGCCCCCCCTTCCCCCTCCTCCCCCCCCCCCTTCCTCCCCTCTACCCTTCACGCAAACGGCAAAACACACAAAAACCAAACATACCGACTTTGTGGCTGTCGTCGAGTGTTGCTCGTTCCCACGCAATCCGGTCAATTCTTGCCGCAATCATATTCATCAACACACACAATTGAATTGGGGAATGCTGCGTCAAAACTGATTTGTATTGGGGGTGGTGGGCTGGCTGGCGTGGTGGGCGGGCTACCAGGCAGACGTAGATAGAGAGAGAGAGAAGGAGAGAGAGCGTGTGTGTGTAGGAAGTAGTCATAGTCGTAGTCGTAGTCGTAGTAGTCGTAGTAGTGGTGGTGGTAGTGGTGGTGGTGGTGGTGGTGGTGGTGGCTTATCGTAATCATGATGCTAATCGCTGCCCATGTTGGCTCTGTCTCAGACTCTGACTCTGACTCTGACCGGGGCCTTTCTCTCTGCCTCTGGCTGAATCATCTGTATCAAGTGAATGAGCCAAAACAATCGTGTCCAGACCACAGACCATATCACCACCACCATGCCCTGCCTACCCATAGCCTTTCCCTCCCCTTTCTCACATACATACCCCCCCCCCCTCCCTGCATGGAACACAATGCCAAACTCAAACCCATCATACCTCATCATCGTCAGCACCGCTCATCTCATGGCAATGGTGGGGCAATGGTGGCTATGGCGAAAGTCACAGGTCAGCAAAGAGAGACAGAGAACGAAGTCAGAGTCGGCGGACGTGACGAGACAGGAGCACTCCTCTCTCTCTCACAGGCACACACACACACTCTCTCTCTCTTTCTTAAGGGTATACAGAGCCATTATGGAGGCTGAAGATGTTGCTGAAAGCAATAGTCACCATGGTGATGGTGGTGGTGATGGGTGGATGATGGGTGATGATGGCAAGCGTGACGAGGTGGCTCCGGGTCTGGCTGTCACACGTTCTCAAGGGATTAAGGAACAAGTCAAAGCGGCGGCTGTGGAGAACTCGCCGGGTGCTGCTGTCAACTCGGGCAATGCTCTGAGAAGAGAGTCACTTAACGTTGCTGCTGTCTCTTTGGAAAAGTCGGCTGCTGCCGCTGTCCGATCGGGCAAGTCGCTCCATCGCAAGTCGCTCAAGGTCGAGTCGGTCGAGCTCTGTGAGTCGGCCGGCGAGGCTGTCCTTGCGGGGCCGGCTGCTGCTGCTGCTGCTGCGGTGGCTGCTGAAGCTGAAGCTGAAGCTGCTGCTGCCAAAGCTGGTGTGGGTGAGGCTGCCGGCACTTCGGATGGCGCCGCGGCCACGGTCGATCCACGGACAACCAAGGTGGCCCAGCTCGAGGCCGTCGAAGCTGCTCGTCTCGCCACCGTGGCGGCAGTTGTGGCGAGTCTCGCCGACAGGGAGCCGAGCGACCGCAAGAAGCTCGACGCCAAGTGCGCGGCGCGGTCCGAGATCGAGGCCATGCAGCACGCTGCCATTGTCTCCGCTGTTCTCAACAACGAGTCCGGATGGCAGGCGGGCGTGCCGCCGCCGACTGCTGGCGGGTACACCTACTACGATGCCGGCGACCGCCGATTTGCGGTCCTTGCCGACGGCTCATCGGTCACGCTCTGCCTCGGCGAGCACCGCGAGCTCGTCCTGCTCCGGCCGGCGTCCAAGCCGTACCTGGGCCTGACCCGAACGCCGCCGCCGAGCCACTGGATCACTGCCAACGCGGTTGCGATGCGCAAGCTCTCAGCGCCACAAGAGACTGTCACCCGCTCAGGCGTCGTGGCCAAGCTCTCGGCGACTAAGGGCAAGTTTACCAGCTCGCCGCGGTGGCAAAAGCGGTTCCTCACCCTCGACGGCATCCAGCTCTCGTACTACAAGAACGAGCGCGACGCAGGCTCGTCGACGGCTGCCCGCGGTACCATCGAGCTCATTACGGGCACCAAGATCATTGCGTGTGAGCCGTCCATGCCGCTGTTGGCAGACGCGTTCAAGCTGAAGTCGCGAAAGCCCACCGCCGACGTTGACGGCACCGTCGACCGCAACCATGTCTTTGCCATCCACTTGCCATTGGTCATCGGCCGCCAGCTTGCCGCCGTCCGTGACGTCCTCGAGGGCTCGGTCGTCGACATCCAAGCCCGCCTCGACGAGGCCTACGAGGCCACTCGTGCCCGCACCTACTACTTTCAGTGCGAATCGGCCAAAGACTGCGAAGCCTGGGTCGCCGCTGTCAAGGCCAACATGGCGCACGGCCTGGCGTCGGGCCTCCTCCGCGCCTCCCAGCTCGACTCTGCTCACCTCCTTCTCTCCCAGGGCCTCGGCGCCTCGTCCCTCGTCGATCTTGACGTCGGCGCTCTACTCGACGACCTCCTCGCCGGCCGTCGCCGCTCTCGTCGCCGCATGTCGTCCCAACCGAGCACATCTGCGGCAGCAACCTGATGTGTATCCCTCCGCAAGTACACAAACACGACACACCAACCATTGCACCAGCTTCCTGCAGCTACAGTGTAGCGCCTCTGCAGCAAGAAAAAGATCCAGTTAAGCCGCCGTCGACATGCCGCCATCGACATGGAATGGTTGGCACGTGCCCGTGATCCACGTTGACACCATTCGCCACCCCCCCCCCCCTCCCTCTCCCTCCCGACCACCCAACCCAGGCACCACACGACTCACCTCACCTCACTAGTAGGCAATAGCACCATCCGAGCTGGGACGTTGTCTGCCTGGACTCGGCTTGCTTGAACTCTACGTCGACGGCGGAGGACTCTCGTGCCGAGCGACTCGTTTTCTGTTCAATAAGAAGAGACACACACCATGAATTGGCAACAGCAGAACCAGATGCGGATGCAGCAGGATCGGATGCGGCAAGATCAGATGCGGCGGCAGCAGGATCAGATGCGTCAAAACCAGATGCGGATGCAGGAGCAGATGCGGAGGCAGCAGCAGGAGCAAATGCGGCGGCAACAGGAGCAGATGCGGAGGCAGCAGCAGGAGCAGATGCGGCGACAGCAAGAGCAGATGCGGCGGCAACAGGAGCAGATGCGGCAAGATCAGATGCGGCGACAACAGGAGCAGCTGCGGCAAGATCAGATGCGGCGGCAGCGCGAGCAGATGGACCGCGATCGGAGGATGCGCGAGGACTCGGCCCGTCGCCAGCGCGAGGCCAACGCCCGCCGCGTTGCCGTCACCCAGCAGGTCACCGCCATGCAGCACGCAACAATGGCAGCGGCAGCGAGCGGCAGTGGCGGGACCCCGAGTGCACCGCCGGCGCCGGAGCCCGGCGATGCCGACTTTGTCGATGTCGACGACATTGATTGGGACAACTGGAAGCCGCCGGTCGGCCCGGGCGGGTACACCTTTTTCGCCGACGGGCCGGTCAAGTTTGCCACCTTGCCGGACGGCTCGTCAATCTCGAAGCAGGGCGGCCAGCTGATCATCATGACCGAGGCCGGCGGCTTTGCCGACATTCCCGGGCCCAAGAAGTGGACGTCGGCCGCCGAGTCGGCCGCCCGACGCGCTCAGCTCCCGGCCGAGCCGGTCAACCGTGCCGGCAACGTCGTCAAGCTCTCAAAGGCCCGGATGGCGATTACAGGCTCGGCGCGGTGGCAAAAGCGGTTCCTTGTCATGATCGGCTCGGTCTTCTCGTACTACAAGACCGAGGCTGAGGCCAGCGACGCCGCACTCGCCCGCGGCGTCTTCACCTTTGGCGCCGGCTCGACGGTGTCCGCGGTCGAATCCACGACGCCACGGCAAAAGGACGCGTTCGAACTCAAGGCCCAAAACCCGTCAGTGTTCAAGATGATGGTCTCGCCCATGTCGGTTGTCTCGCCCACGCTTGGCGTCGTCGGCCGCGACAACGTCTTTGCCATCCACATTCCGGCGCGCCACGGCGAGATGGCCAATGATATGGTTGACATCGTGTCCACATCGTCAGTCTTCTCGATGGCCTCCAAGATCAACGCTGCTCGAGAGGCTACGCGCGCGCGCACCTACTACTTTCAGTGTACGACGGCCGCCGAGCGCGATGCCTGGATCGCTGCCATCCAGACCAACCTTGCCATTGCAGTCGCCAACGGCGAAATGCGCGAGAAGCAGGTAAGTGAGTTCCACAAGACCTTCTCGCGCCTCCTCACCGACAACGAGCTTGCCGGCCTGGACATCGGCATGCTCTTTGACGAGTTTTACCTCACGCCAGCGCAGCGCGCCGCCGCTGCTGCTGCGCCGCCGCCACAGCCGTCGGCCCCGCCGGCTGACGCGTCTGCGCCGCCGCCGTCTGCGCCGCCGCCGTCTGCGCCGCCGCCGTCTGCGCCGCCCGCAGGCGGGGGCGGGGCGGCCAAGGTCTACATGCCGGCGCAAGCCCAGCCCGCGCTCTTCACACCTGCTGCACCTCCTGGTGGAGCCGGCGTTCCAGGCGTCGCCGTCGACATCGGTGCGTTTGCGAACGTCTCGTCGGCGTCACTCCTCGAGGCGCCGCCGCCGTACACTCCGTAGCGCGCCACACGCGCCTCATTTCAACTACGAGCGCATCACATATCAAAGGCAAGACCACCCGGCGCATGGGCATAGCCGGCATGGTTGCCGCTGGCGTCATTGTCGTCGTCGTCCGACTCTTGCTCAAACGCGTTGTCGGTCATATCGTAAGCAGGCGCGCGAGTCGGCTCGGCAGCCGATACCGGCGGACGAGAACGGACCGAGTCTTGCATGCCCGCCAGCGCTTGGTAGAGAATGGGCAAGTTTGCCGCCTCTGGATGAGCAAGAGGGAGCCTCAGCTGAGATCGGAGGACTTGCGGAGCGATGCGATCATGAGGAAGAGCCGATTCCGGAGCAAAGACCGAGAGAGTATGATGGTAACCATTGTACGCCAGATACTCTGCAATGAGCTCATTGAGAATGAGATTGGCTTGAGAGACAGGCACTGCTCCAGCTCCTCCCGCACCGCCGTCGCCACCCTCCCCGCCCACGAGGGCTTCATACACCTGCGCCCTCATCCCCGCACGCGCCTCCTCCAGAGCCCCGGAAGCCTCCAGCGAGCTCCGCAGCGCATCCTTGAGTGCCTCTAGAGACATAATGGGAGAGGTGTAGCCTTTGCTTTGCTCTCCGTACTCCTCGCCGGTCTGCCTTTTCACCACCCTGCCTCGCCGCCTTGTCGCTCTCTCCCTCGCCTGCCGACTCGTTGTCGCTATGAGGCGTTTTGGCGCGAAAGTTGGATGAATGGTTGGCGCGGGAAATTGCGTCGCCAGCAAAAACGTTTACGGCGCGGCGGCCCCCCGAGTCCGCCTCATGCTCGAGATGATGTAGTCACAGCAGGGCATTTCAGGAGGTGCTGGTGCTCGGGGAGGCGTGTGCCTTGCGCCACGCGGCGAGCGTCTTCTCAAAGCGGACAACGAAGCGGTCGATGTCCGTGGAGGTCATGCCAATGGCGGCGGCGACGTTGACGTACGGCTCGGACGAGGCCGACGAGTGCGACCCGTAGTGGGCAAACGTGACCGGGCCGATGGTCTTGGTCTTGGACGGGACAACGACGCGGGCGCCCGAAACCGAGCGCACAAACAGCATCGAGCCGAGCATGGTGACGGCATCGTCGTCGCCGCCGCACTCGGAGCTCAGCGCGTCAAGCGAGAGCGCCATCGAGATGTCGTTGCCGCGCACGTCGAGGAGGCGGAGCCCAGTCCGCTCAGCGACCTGGGCCAACTCGGCCTGTGCGTAGCCAAAGACGTCGGCCCGCGAGGCCAGCAGCTCGGTCCATCCCTCCTCGCCCATGGCCAGCAGGGTGATGAAGAGGTCGACGATGGGTGCCGCCGACGCGCGCCCCGGGTAGAGCAGCGAGACGGCGTCAACAAAGGCCTTGTTAGCCGATGCCACCACGGCGCCGCCGACCGGCACCATAAAGTTCTTGTCAGTGCTTTGGACAAAGGCATCTAGCCGGCCGACCCGTGCAGCCTCGTTGAGCAGACCCATGCAACGCCGCGACTGCACACCGTACGCGTTGTTGACCACATGCCCGATGCCGTACTCGGACGCCAACTCCGCCAGCGCCACCACCTTGTCGGGCGTTCGCGGCGCAAAGCAAGAGGTGGTCGAGAGAATGCACAGCACGTTGTCGGCGCCGACCGACTCGATCGCTGCCCGCACGCCGTCGACGTCGGTGACCAGCGCGTCGCTTCCGCGTGGGCACTTGCGCGGCTCCACCACCAGCGGCGTGAGCCCCGCAGTGAGGATGGCCTTGAACGCCGTCTTTTGGTCGATCCGCGGCCAGATGACGTACCGCCGCGCGTGTCTGCTCTCACTTGCCCCACCATCGTCAGCACTCGAGCCGTGCTCCTCGCGGTTGGCCTCCTCGTCCTGCGCACAGAGCGCAAGGAGACAGAGAACGAGCGCCATACCCGTGGCGGTCGGCACAATGATGGCTTTCTTTGCGACCCGCATGCCTGCCAGCCGAAGCGCGTGCAGAACAAGAGCGTTGGCCAGCTTGTACATCAGCGATGATCCGGCAGCCTTGGGCTGGACAGCAGCTAGCTCGCCCGATCGGCCGACGCCATGGCCGAGTCCAAAGTGTCTCCGAGCTACCAGCGGCGAGAACACGCGAGCCTCCCGCTCACCAACACCAGCACGATCAGCAAAGTTGTTCGAGTCCATCGTCGCCAGCTCATCGAGAAAGGCACTGATGCTCGCCTCGTTCCAGCCCTGTCTCGGCAGCTGTCGCTGCGACAGGAGACTCCGCACCGCACGGGCCCGTCCGCCCAGTGACACACCTCCTTGTCGCACATACTCTTCAGGAAGAAACTCTTGTGCGAGTTTCAGGTTGCCTTCATCCATGCTCCCTCGATGATGTCTGGAGAGATGTCGTCGAGGTCGAAGTCAAGGCTCACCTCGCCGACTCACTTCTGGCTCGCCGTACGGGGCTGACGACAACAACCCGTCCCGGTACCACATATTGCGAGATGGAAGGATGTTGCGCCATGGATGAGGCACATCACATTTCGTTACAATGACGACAATGTAGTGTTCATGATCAGCATAGATGCTCGCTCGGCTTGCTGGACATGACCAGGGTGGATCGACTTGGTTTGCGTGCGAGGCAATGTGGCCGCAGCAAGGACGATCACACTGGCGATGGGCTAGTCTATTTGTAGCCGTCACACACACACACACACACACACACACACACACACAAACACACACACACATACACACACACCCACACATAGTAAAGGGTGATCCCCATTCTAGCTCTCCTCCTCCCCCCCCTCCCCCCCCCCCCCTGCCCCGCGGTGGCCACTTTTGCCTCGATCGAGGACAGGTCGGCGCAAACCGCTGATCACGCAAGCTGTCCCTGCCGCTGATTCACGACCTTTTTCGTCACGTGGCGGCTCCGGATCTCGTCCCTGAGTATCACCCACAGCGCGAGATGCAGCCAAGTAGCTAGTAGGACGTGTACAACCGGATTCTGTAAACAGCCACCTTCCCACTTTTTGACCTTTGCCCGTCCTGATCAGTTCGTCATGGCTCCCCGTAACCGCCCCACACTGTCGGGCGACTCGGGTGATTCGTTGGCTTCAAGTCTGATGGCGGGCGCACTCACACACTCGCCCTCGGTGACAGCCGACGCTGTCCTGTGGCACTCCACCCCACCATGCTCAGTCTCCCCACCAAGGGACAAGGGCAAGGTCACGTTGGAAGACGAGAGAATGGTCATGAGCAGGGACACGGAGTAGGTGAGGAGAGGGAGGAAGGCGGGCGCGACAATGTACATGGTCACCCCCCGCCGGGCACCCCACCCCCTGCCGTCGGCCCAGGTGACCGAGGTGCCATGGATTGGCGAGGTGGTTGTGGTGGGCGAGGACGGGCAAGTAGTCTCTGCTGCGACTGAAGCCATGATGGCAGAAGGCTCTCCTTCAAGAGATGAAGCAGGAGTCTCCGACTCGAACCTGACGCCGACGGTGACCATCCCATGGCCCCGTCTGTTGGACAAGCAGCATCACCACCTGCGCCGGCATCGTCGCCGGCCGTGGTGGATGCTCAGCTGGCGGCACGACAATTGATGTTTGCAGCGTTTCTTGAGGCTGAGGACGATACTCTGCGTGCACTGAGTGCGCTGAGAAACGGAACGTCTCGGCATCCGGGCGTGGTCCCGGGCCAGACCCGGCTCCGCAAGCTGGCGCAAGTCGACTCGCTCCGCATCGACATCCACGCCCTCGCTCGCTGCTTTGGCCGCATCAAGGGCGTTTTGGTGGCGTCAAAGATGTTTGTCGACGACTTTGGCGCCACCGCCTCGTCGTTTGTCCTCGCGCCCATCCTCCTCCACTACATGCCCAAGATGTCCGCGGTGATGACTCGCATGCTCGATGCCTGGCAGCGGGCCATGGCGTGGACCCGAGTGGAGGACTTTGTCTTGTTTTGGACCTTCTTTGCGCTTGGCGCCGGCGCCCAGGAGACGACGTTGATGTCGCAGGTCTCGCTCCACGAGCCGGCGACGCCGTCGCGGCCGCCCCGCTTTGCCCGCCACTCGGTCGACTCTGCGCCGGCGTCGCATCCTTCGGCCATCGACACGCGGACAGGAATGGCCGACGACGACGACCTGGCGCTGGGTGATGTTGTTGTCATGTCGCCGTCGCTCCACTCGGTCGAGGCCTACTTGCTCCTTCCACTAGTCCGACTCGTCAACGCGCACCGGCAAATTTGCCGCATCGCGGCGCTCACCACCACCTCGCACCCCGACGCGCGGGTCCTCGGCCTCAATGCCACCATTCTGGCCAGCCTCGCCGGGCGCGCGCTCTCGCTCATTGAGCGCCACCAGTTCTTTGCCGCCGTTGCAGCGCGGTTGCAGGACCGCCGCCGTCGTGGTGCGGCGGTCATCGATGACGTAACCCTCGATGGCGACAAGATCAAGGGCTTTCTCTCGTGGCAGCACCTGGTTCTGTATGACTCGTTCCTCGAGGTCATCCGGGCAACCTCCCACTCGGCGTCGACGCTCGACATCGACCTTGTGGCCACCGACTCGGCCAAGCTCGCCGACCTCTCGCGGGTCTCCATCCACCCCCGGGCTCGACTTGTCCTCTACTCGATGGGCATGGTGCGCGGCATTGAGCTGGTCTTCCCCTCGGACGCTGCCCGCGACGCTTGGATTTCGTCGCTCGAGCGGGCGGTAGCCGGGGTGCCCGGCCGGTTCTCGCGGCTCACCTTTAACGTCGTCCCCGACTCGGACGACGATTCGGACGATGGCATTGCCATTGTCGCTGCCCGCTCCACCAGCTCACTCTCGGCCTCGCCCGACGATCTCGCTGGCAGCCCGCCTGATCGCGGCGGTAGCGGCGTCGGCCCGATGGTTGCACGCGCGACCGAGGCCCAGGCCGCGCTCCCTGCGCTGGTCTTTGCATCGTCGTTACCGGAAATTGGGGTCTCTCCCGCCTCCCCGGCGCCTGGTAACTCGTCGGCCTCACTCACCTCGTCGCTTGCGGCTACTGTCCGGCAGCTCTCGCCAATCCGGCACATGCCACGGACAACGTCGATCGACTCGTTGCCGGAACGGTTTGCGCAGCTCTCGCTCGAGTCGCCGTCGCAGCCATCGCGGTCGGCGTCGCGCCCTGCGCGGCCGGTGTCTGTTCCCTCGTCGCCGGCAACCAACGCCCCACCGTCGCCGGTCCGCCCTATTCGCCGGCGCTCGCCTAACCCGGCCGGCGCCAAGCCGCCGTCGCCGACCTCGCCGATCTCGCCCAAGAGTCCGCCGCGCAAGACCAAGCCCGCTCCCGGCTGGTCGCCATCTATCGAGCTGCGGCGGGCGCTGGTGACAGGCGCGACCCCACCAAGGTCACGTTCGGCGTCGCCGATGCGCGAGTCGCAGATGCCGCCTCGACCAGAAACGACCGTCACACCGACCACGCCCGACGCACCGGCTACGGTGTCATCACCGCAGACCAAGCTTCCGACGCCGCCGCCACACGAGACTGGATCCGTGGACGTGCGAGGCCGCAGCAGCTCGCCGCCGTCGGCTTCGTCGCCGACATCCAGTTGCACCGGGTCGCCGTCGCGAGCAGCGTCAGTCGACCGGGCTGAGCCAGCCGAGCCTGACCACGAGTCACCGCAACTCTCACGGGCGGCATCGACCGAGGCGCTGTCGACGTTGGGAACGCGCGACTCGCCGCGGGCGTCACGCGCCAACTCAGCCGAGCCGCCGGGCTCGTCGCCGGCCAACCCAGTCGTTCTTCGGCCAGAGCAGGAGGCGGCAGGAGCCCCGGACGTCCTGACGCTTCCACAGGGACAAGCAGACAATGCTCGCGAGCCACGGGCAGTGTCAGCCTCGCCGCTCTCCATCTCTCCCGGCGTGCAAGCCAGCCTCGCGTCCCCGGTCTCTGACGACGAGGCTGACGACACGTTTGGGCGGGCGACGTCGGCCGAGGCCTCAACACCGCTCCCGGTGGTTGCCCCACCCACAAGTAGCGGAGGGCGGTCACGGTCGCAGACGTCGCCAAACTCGGCCCAGCTGCCGCTCGTGGGGAGGACGACCAAGCCGTCGCCACTGAGCATCGGGATGCGAGTCCGGTCGCAGACGTCGCCGACGTCATCGACGTCGCTCGACCACGAGACTGCGTCCGAACTGGCCAAGCAGGCGTTGCGGTCGCGACCGGCGTCGAGCGCGGCCACGGTCCGGGCTCGCCCGCTCGGCTCGCCGTCGCCGCTCTCGACGTCGCCACCGAGCCCGTCGCCGCTCCGCAAGCCGACACCGGCCAGCACCGCGTCTGCGGCTGGCGGGCACCGGTTCACGCACCGCCGCACCGCGTCTGCGGTGTCATCGCCAAGCTCGTCGGCGACTGGTTCACCGGACTCACGTAACGGGCCAAGGAGCAGCGGCCACCGGCGGACGTCGTCGATGATCAACCCACCGCCGGTTGCAGCATCGCCGTCGCCCGAGCCCCAGCCCGAGCCCAAGACTGCGACCAGCCCCCCCGCACACGCGTCGTCATCACCACCGTGCGAGAACCAGCCGGGCGCCCACAGCGACAGTGCAACACCCAGTGAGACTGCTACTCTGCCGTTGCCAGTCTCACCAGTCTCGTCTGTCTCATCATCGACAACGCTTGACGCGGTCTCGTCGCCGTCGTCAGAGCCGTCGCCAGTGGCGCGAGCGGTCCCAGCAACGCCGACGACACCGCTCACGCTCGAGGAGCTGGCATCGCCTGATCCAGTGGCGAGCGCGCCCGCCAAGCCAGCGGCCCTCAACAGCCTTCTGCCTGTGGTCCCGTTTTTTGCTTTCCGTGGACGAAAGGAGGCGCACGGGCACAACGTTGCGGAGCGAGCGCTGCCGCGGACCCGGGGTCGGCTTGCGCGGCACTCCCCACGCTCTCCCCGCTACGCGCAGCCTACCGAGACCTCGCGGTCCCACGCAACACCTACGAAACGGCAGGAAAAGCCACGTGGACGGGCAATCAAGACTCGGATGATCGGCAGTGGACGCGGGCGGATCAAGTCTCGTGGCAGCCGAGGCCGGGGCATCCGAGGCCGGGGCAGCCGAGGCCGGGGCAGCCGAGGCCGGGGCAGCCGAGGCCGGGGCAGCCGAGGGCATGGGCGTGAGGCACGGTTCTCGCACGAGGTGGTGCGTCTGGGCGTTCATTGACGGGGCGGGACCTTGTACTTGATGGCGAGCTTACGGAAGCGGAACGGATCGAGCGAGTTTGTGACGCCGAGCAAGGTCTTGGAGAGCGCCTCGGTCGTGCCCATGCCGGTGCGGAGGATGGCAACCGGGACGGCGCGAATGACCGACTTGACCATGCCGCCAGTGCCAGTTTGGTGGTACTCACGGAGGGGAACGGCAAAGATGGTGGCAGCGGCGTCTGTGAGGCCACGGGTAAACGAGCGATATGCCTCGCGCACGCCTTCAGAGACCGAGCCCGGCTGAGCGGCAAACTTGGAGACGGACGGCCCGTCGCGGTTGGAGAGGTGGGCGGGAGTGAGCAGGTCATCAGCCTGTTCGAGGACAACCTGGGCGCCGACCGAGAGGTGGGCCGAAACATTTGCAGCCTCAAAGGCGGCGCGGCGGAGAAGCGATGTCGCCCCGCGCTGGAGGCCGTACATGACCCGCCCGTCGCGTTGGTAGTGCTCGATGGGGAGCATGACAAGCTCAGCAAAGCCGGTCCCAACGTTCATGATGGGCCGCAGCGGCGAGATGCCACCCACCAGGCCCGGCAGCATGCGAAGGACGTCGGAGCGGTCCTTGGGCCGCCACACCTCGATGATCCCTGCAACGACTGCCGGCCATCCTGCCATGCCGGCGAGCTTGACCGGAGCGAGAACGAGCGCCATGTCGTCGATAGGCACAAGATTGAAGAACTGCAACACGTCCTCGACGCCTTCGCGGTTCCACAGTCGCTCGTAGTCGAGTCGCTTTGGGTTGTAGTCGACCCGCAGCTCAAGCTTGGAGATCTCGACGTACTGGACAAATGTCTCCTCGCTCTCGGCGTCATCGTCGGCCGAGTATTCGGCCGAGCAAGACTCACCCGCGGCCAGCTCGACCGAGACCGCTGCGTGCTGTTCGACAAGCTCCAGCACACCGCGGAGCTCGGGCCGGGCGCTATGGAGCGCGGCCGAGACGACAAGCTCGGCGACGTCCTGGTCGATGTTGAGCCGGAGCGGGAGGAGCGAGACCTTGAGCTGGACCTCGGCATCGGCGGCCGATGCCGACTCGGCCGGGAGCACGAGGTCGTAGCGAGCCGAGATCATCGCCGAGCCGGCGCGCCGCGGCGTCTCCTCAGACTCAAGATATGTGAGGACCTTGTGGTGGACCGACGACGAGAGGCCGTCCACAATCTCCAAGTCCTTGATGGAGACTGTGAGCGACGAGACTTTGGCCGACGCTGGCGTGTAGCTCGCGCTCCGCACAAATGCGTGCGAGAAGCAAAACTCGACGGCATCGGCCATGCGCGGCTCCGAACCGTCACCAAAGTCGAGGCCGTCGTGAAGGGCAATGACAATGCTGATGTCGTTGAGGGTGATGACCGAGTCGAGATTGTCCTCAAGCGCAGCTTCGCCGGTGGCGCGCCCGGGCAGGAGCGCCGGACGGGCAAAGTAGTTCTCGACCATAGGGATGGCCTCACCGGCGCTCAGTCTCGAGACAATGGTGACGTTCCCGGACTCGACAACGCGGCCGCCATCGGCGTCTGCGTGGTCGAGGCTGTAGACCGAGCGGATGGTTGTGTCCGAGGCGAGGCCAGCCTGACGATTGACCCGGACGGTGGTGGGGAGCTCGCCGACCGGGACCGACTTGGACGACGCTGTGACGGTGTCGTAGTACTCTGCGGCGTCGTCGTCAATCTCGATGTCAAAGACAAACCAGTCGTCGTCATTGTCAGCGGCAGGCGCGACGCCGACGTGAATCGACGGCGGGAGCTCGATCGGCGTCTCCACAATGGTCACACGTTTTTTGCGAAGATGCGGTGGTGCTGCGACGCGAGCTGCCTCGCCAGGCCCAAAGTAATCCTCGACCATCGGCAGCGCGTCGTGGTAGACTGAGGCGTTTGACTCGCCGAGAGCGGCCAAACCAGGCTCACCACCGGTTAGGGCAGCCGCGTTCCGATCGCCAGGCGCCTCGCCGGGAAACAGCTCTTCGGCAGCGAGCGCGATGAGGTCGGGCCCGGATGAGCCATCGTCCGACGCAAAAGCCTCAGCTTCAAGAGCGTCAAACATGTCTGGCGAGCCGGCGGCGGGGGCCGCAGCGGCGGCTGCCTCAGACTGCGCCGCGACAACGACATTGTCGGTGGCGCCGACGGTGGTGGTGTTGGCGTGAGCACGGGCACGAGCAACGTTACGGGCATCCAAAGCAGCAGCGGCATCGTCAAGCGCAGCTTGCAGCTGGTCGGCATCGAGCCAGTCCATGCCTGCGCCGAGGTAGGTGATGAGATCGTTGACGATGTGGAGCGAGTCGCGGCAGAGGTCAAGGCGGAGGAGTTCGTTGGAGACCCGGAGCTCAAAGGCCGGACCGGAACGGGCGACATCGGGCTCGTCGCTGGTGCGGATGAAGAGCTGCGCGTAGTCGAGGGCGGCGATGCGGGCGGCGCCAAGGCAGCGTTCAAAGTGAGCGTCGAACGAGTAGGCGCTCTCCGCAGCCGGGCCAAGCTCGCGCTCTGCAAGCGCAGTCTGGTCATCGTGGAGATATCCGGTGGCGTCGTGAAAGGCAAGCTCGAGGCCAAAGCTCTTGGCACCATCGACCATGTTGGTCGAGACCCGGAGCTGCGAGGCGGCAACAATGAGTGCGGCCGGATGGTGGCGCGGGGTGTAGCGGAGGGCAGCATCGTGAACGACGGCCTGAAAGTTGAGGACACCAGGCGTCGACGGGAGCGGCGGGAAGGCCACCTGCGGCCAAGCGAGCGGCGGGCCAAAGAAGCTTGCCATTCGGGTGGCGGTCTCGTCATGGAGCCGTATGACGAGCTCGAGCCGCCACGCCTCAAGCGCAATGAGCATGTCAGGAAGTGCAGCGCGCGGGGTGGCGTTGCCGAGGACCGAGACGCGGAGCGCGCCAGCTCGCTCGGCATCGTTTGAGGTGAGGACCGGACACGTTCGCACGACTGAGACACTGTTGTCGGTAACGGCGATGCCGCTCAGCTCGACCGTGGTGTACGCCAGGTGCTGCGAGCGGAACTGGCCGGCCTGAAAGAGCCGCAGCGAGTCGGCGACAATGGTATACGTGTGGAGGTGGTCAGATGACTCGGCCTCGTTGTCGTACGGGGCGAGCTCCTCGACAAGAACAAGGCTCAGTGCGTCGACGGTGAGGAGGAGGGCAAGTCCCGAGTCTGCAGTCGGCTGCGAGGCAAGCAACAGGTCGTAGGCCGAGGTGTCGTCGGCCGGTGATTGGGTAGCAGGCGGAATGACGACGTGCGGCTTGGTGGCTGGCTGTTGCGCCTCATCAGCGCTGGCGTCGTCTGAGTCGTCGAGTGGGCGCTGGTGCGGGACGGCGGTTAGGATCGAGCGGGCGAGCTCGTCCTGAGTCATGCCGTGACCAGGCGCCACACCTAGCATCGACTGGAAGAGCGCTGACTCGAGCATGTCGTCCGAGACTGTGCCTGACGACGAGGTCGAGGCTGAGAGGAGCGGCGGTGGCGTGGCGCGATCGAGCAGACCAAGCTCGTCAGACGACGAGGTGACAGCGAGCGCATCAAAGAACTCGTCGTTGGAGTGCGAGTTGGCGTCGCTTCCGGCGTCGCGGATGTCTTGCGTCCGCGCTGCAACAATGGCGGCCTTGAGCTTGCGCTCCTGGACGAGCTTGTGGCGGAGAATGGCGAGGTCACGCGAGGCGGCGACGTCGAGGACAGCCAGCAGCTCCATGAACCGGGCGTAGAGGATGTCGTACGTCCGCTTGGAGAGGGTGATGGCAGCAGCAGGAAGGGATACCGTGATGGCGTACTGAGCAGAGGCGAGGGTGGCAGCCTGCAGGTCGGCTGCCTCGGCGCGACTGGGCGCGGCGTACCGCTGCGAGGCGCCCTCAAAGGTGGAAACGAGGGTAGAGAAGACGCCGCGAATGGACGAGGCCCGAGCAGCGCCAAAGATCGGGTGCGGCTCGTCGGGCGTGGTGAGCGGGACCGAGGTGGCGTGGACTGCCGGCGGAGAGTCCGACACGGGCTCGTCACCAGGCTCGTCGAGACCGAGCATGACCGAGACAGATGATGAGACGGCGATGTCGAGCGTGATGCGGGAGTCACGAGAACCAAGAGTAGCAAAGTCGAGGTCGTCGAGGGCGCAGTTGAGCTCGCTAGCGGAGACAACGAGGCGAAGGTCGGGCGAGGGCGGGATGTCGACGACGAGGTCCTTGGCCGTGATGACCAGACGCTCGGAATGGACAGCATTGCGGGTGCTGGCAAGGACCGGAAACTTGAGCTGGAGCGCCGCGAAAGGAACGACAAGCGTGATAGGAAGAGCTGCAGCAAGGTCGTCGTCCGAAGGCGTTGCGGGGCTGGCAAAGAGCGCGTCGACCAGCGGCGCCTTTGCGGCGAGAAGCTCTGCGATGGAGAACGATGGGGTCGGCTGGCTGCGAATGGCATCGAGGTCTGCGAGAAGTGAGGCCATGCGATGGGCGGCAACAACGGGCGAGGGCGCGAGGAACGGTCCCAAGCGATCAAGAATGCGGAGATCCAGCTCGAGGGAGAGTGGGTGGAGGAGCTCGATGCGGAGCGGCGGCGGCGGTAACGCACATCCAAGCACCACAGTGGCGCAGAGAGCATGTGGGACGAGGGTGGCGGCCTCGGGCGAGGGCGGCGCAAGCGAGGCGACAGCAATCGACTTTCCTGCGAGCACTTCTGAGACAGCTAGTGATGCGGCGGTGACGACGACGTTGGTCTCAGGCGCTGGAGCATTGACGAGCGAGAGGCCACAGCTAAGAGCATCAAGCTGAATTGCCATGTGGTCGACCGACGCAAGGGCCGAGTCGAGGTCTCCTGGCTCAACGACGTCGAGGACGGCCGAGTGCCAGACAGAGGAGGCGAGCGAGGAGCGACACATCGAGGTGGCGAGCGAGGCCGAGTCGTCGCGGTCGAGGCCGAGAAACGACGACGAGACTGACGACGCGAGGTCTGGGTTGTCGACGTCCCAGTCTGACTCGGTGCCTGTGGCAAAGCCGCGCGGGGTGGGAGCACCAGAGGCAAGCTCTGCATCGACAAGATCGAAAAAGGCGTCGTAGATAAGGACGAGCGAGACGGCATCAACGCGAGCTCGGAGTTTGAGTGGGAACGGCGATGGCGACGACGGCGGCGACGGGCACTCAGCGTCGACATCAGCGTCGGCGTCCGGAGCAGGGGTGGGAAGCGAGTAGGCGTCGAGAACCTCGAGGACGAGCTCCAGCTGCGCAGCGGAGAGAGCAAACGAGGCCGAGGCGATGTGGATGTCGAGGTCGTAGTCAGGGACCGCGGTAGGCGGGAGGGGGTCATCGGCCTTGTCGTTGCGGAGAGTAAGACGGAGCTCCGAGGCGGTTGCCGGGTCACCGACAGCAATGGTGGGCAGCGGCGCGCTCGCGGGAGCGGTGACAGCGGCGGCGGCAGCAAAGAGCACCGATTCGGCTGGATCAAAGGCGCCGACAAAGGCTGGCGGGACCGGGGCGTCGTGCTCGACAAGCTGGACCTTCCAGCCGAAGAAGCGGAGGGCCTTGTGCCAGAGCGGCGGGCGCGGCGAGCCGCCTGGCGGCGTCTCGTCGACCAGCTTGAGGAGTGGGATGGTGATGAGGATGACGGACCGGGTAGAGGCACGAGGCGAGTAGTGCTCGAGGCGGATGGCGATCTGGTTGACCGAGACCGAGACCTTGTTGACGATGGTGTAGATGAGGTCGGCGAGGGTGGCGACGCCGTCGAGGGCGTCGGGCGGTGCGGCTGAGTCGGAGGCCGAGCCGTAAGCGGCAGCACGGGGCATCTCGCGCGGCGGTGAGGAGGCCGTCGGTGAGACCGGCTCGTAGTCTGCGTCTGCCAGCGGATCCGCAGTAAAGACAGAGGCGACACCAGCAGAGCGTTCTTCGGCCATGAATGCCTCTGCCAGCTCATCTGCCGAGGGAGGGGCAAGAACAGCGTGTGCGGCAAGAAGATTGTCTGGATGAAGGGGGGAGTCTGGCGAGAGCGAATCATTGGAGACGAGAGCTAGCTCGAGGCGGTCAACTGTGACATCGCAAGGTGCATCGAGCAGGTTTGCCCAATCAAGCTCTACGGCGACAGAGCCAAGGTAGCCAGAGGAGATCTTGAAAGGCGATTGCATGAGAAACGAGTTGAGAGCCACAGGATTGAGTTCGAGATCATTGAGAGAGAGGGCACCTTCTGTAGCCGAGCCATCTAATTGATCCAATCGTAGCTCGGAGAGGAGGTAAGGACCAACGGCACGACGAAGAGCATACTTGAACAGCCGCCGCTCCCATGACGAAGGCAGAACCGACTTGAGCATATAAAGGCTGAAGATGCTGCCGAAGTAGCCATGTCAGATGCTACATTGCCCATGTTGGCTTGTTGTCTTGCTTCCACTCACTGCTGCTGGTGCTCCACAGGCCTTGCCCACACAATTCGCTCAAGAGGGTGGCGTCAAGTGTTCCACACGCCCGCTCTTTGGCGCCGAGTCGATGGCCGAGCCGCTCTGCCGAGGCGGGTCTACCGGGACGGGGGTAGGAGGTGGACATGGGAGGTTTGCTTGTCTGTTTGCTTGTGTGATTGTGTGTATTGATGGTCTCTCTCTCTGTGTGTGTGGTGGTGGTGGTGGTGGTGGTGGGTGTGGGTTGGGGGGGGGGGGATGGTCAATGAGCTGGTAATGTAGATGGAAGAACGGTGTCAAGGCAATAGGAAAGCCTAGAATTGGCGATTGCGAAGTTATGGGGCAAAGGAAGGGAGGGAGAGATAGAGAGGGAGTGGAAGACTGCGGGCGTGTTGAACTAAAATTGTATCAATATTTTACCATGCCAACGCCAACAACCGTGACAAAATTCCTGCCATCAGGGATGATGCCACGTCGCGGGACGGGCGCGAGGCGAGGCGGCCAGGCTCGGGAGCCGGGAAACAGGCTAGGCCAGGCCAGGCTCGGCTCAGCGAGTCGGTGGCAGTAAGCAGGCAGACTCAACGACAGGCAAACATGGCAGAGACTACGACGAGTACTACAGTTGTGATTCTTTGTGGAGGACGGGGAACGAGGTTCCGTCCGCTCTCCTTCCGAGTGCCCAAGCCACTCTTCCCCATTGCCAACGCTCCGGTCATCGACCACTCGCTGAGGAGCCTTCCCACCTCTGGCGTCAAGGCAGTCTTTCTGGTTGGCTTTTATGGGGGATCCGAGTATGAGACTCAGTTTGCTCACTATGCTGATGATCTTCAATCTCGTCTCAACGTTCCTGTCAAGTACCTTCGTGAGCCTGTTGAGGCTGGCACAGCTGCTGGTCTCGCTCACTTTGCTCAAGACATCCTCGCTCCCAACTCGGATGCCATTCTGGTGGCAAACTCGGACGTCGCTGGCGCTCTTCCGCTTGTTGACATGCTCAAGGCTCATGCTGATGCTCAGGCTGGCGGTGTTGAGTTGACGCTTCTGGCTACCACCGTGCCCGAGGCTGACGCTACAAAGTACGGCTGCATGGTGGTCGATGGCGTTGAGGTCGGCGCTGGGGGCGTCGGCAAGGTCGCCCACTATGCCGAGAAGCCTGAAGTCTTTGTCTCCAACACCGTCTCGTGCGGTGTGTACGTCTTTAGCCGGGCAGGCTTCCAGAACATCACCGACGCTGTGGCTAGCGCTGCAGCTGGCGGCGACGGCGAGGGAGGCAGCAGCGGCGGACGGTCGGCGGCGGCCAAGGCGGCGCGGCTGGCTGCGGCGGCGCGGCAGCCGGTCGGGCTTGAGGTCGACGTCATTGTGCCGATGGTGGCCAAGGACGCGGTTCAGGCCCTGGTCACGCACGCGCATTGGGCACCGGTCAAGACGCCGTCGGCGGCGCTCGACGCCAATGCGTACTACCTCGGCTCGGAGGCGCTCGCGGGCAAGCTGCTTGTTGATGCCGACGTGCCGTTTACGGTGGTGGGTAACGTGTGCGCCGCCGATCTTGCGTCAGCGACCATCCACGCGGACGCGGTCATCGGGCCGAACGTGGCGCTGGCCGCCGGTGTGACCATCGGCGCCGGTGCGCGCGTCCGCGACGCGATTGTGCTCGAGGGCGCGGTCGTGGCCGACTCGGCCTTTGTCAAGCACGCCATCGTCGGGTGGAATGCCATCGTTGGCGAGTGGGCACGTGTTGAGGGCGATCCCGCACACGCGGCCGACGCAGACATGTCGGCCACCATTCTCGGCGACGGTGTCGAGATCAAGCCCGAGACCGTCGTCCGCAACTGCGTCGTCCTCCCGCACAAGGTGCTCAAGGCCGACATGTTCGACCGTGTCATTCTCTAGCATCAAAGTATAAACGTCGGCTAAGAGCTGCTGCCGGCCTCGAGCTTGGCAGTCAGCGTGGCGATGTGCTCAACGAGCGCGGTGTTGCGGGCCTCAGCGCGGGCAGTCTCGGCACGGAGCGTGGCGATGGTGCCGCGGAGCGAGGCCTCCAGCGGAGCGCGCGACTCGAGCTGTGCAGCGAGCGCGTCATTGAGCGAGAGTGAGGCAGCGTACAGCTCTTCCAGCTCGGCGTACGCTGTGCGGAGGGCGGCGAGCTCGGCAGACGCCGAGTCGTCGGCCGGCGGCACTGCGGCACGCGGGCGCGGCGGCGAGCGGGACTCGGTCGGTACGGGACTGGTGGCGCGCGGTTGCGGTCCATCCGCGAGCCGCCCGCGAATCGAGGCTCGGTCCGCCGCATCAGATGGAGCCGCCGCCGGGCTGGTCTGCCGCGCCGCTCGAGCCATCGACTCGGGTGAGAGTACCCAGAGGTTGCGGACGTCGCTGTGGCGACCAGCTTTGCGGACCATGTCTGGCGGCCGCTGGCGGTCGGCCTCACGGGCAAGAGCGGCAGCGGCTCGCGTGTTGAGAACCGGGGCCGGAGCCGGGGCCGGGGTGCGAGCCTGCGGGCGAATCACAGTCGCGACCGCGGGCTCGAGAGGCGACGACAGAGCCGAAGCGTCTGTGCCAAGCATGGATGAGAAGAGCGACGAGAGCTCAAGAGTGCGATCCCTTGCCGCCGGAAGGGGCGGCAAGCTTGATCTCTCTACATCGTCACCGAGAATTGAGGCAGAGCGCGGAAGATCGAGTGAGAAGTCGACGATGGAACGGACGTGTGATGCCGGCGAGAGCGAGGACGATGGCGACGATTGGTCTCGTGGAGGAGAGCTTGAAGATGTCGTCTTCAAGTTAAAATCAAGAACTCTCTGCAAAGAGCTCTCTCTGTCTGTCTCCGTGGTCGATGCCATCGTCGTCGCACTCTGAGACTGACCGACTCGGCCCGTCTGTTTCCCGCCCGTCATCGACGCGGCCGAGCTCTCGGCTGTGGCCAGGATGGCGGCAAGAGAAAAGCGAGAGAAGCGGGCGTGTGAAAGAGTGAGTGAGGGGAGGCATGTAGAAGGTACCAGTGTCTCGCATGTGTAAAGCACTTACTGAATGTCTGCTTGTCGAGGTCGAAGATGTAGGGGGAGGATTGGGTCATGGCGGGCGTCGACTCGGCTGCCTCGAGGCGGGAGAGCAGTGCAGCCGACGTCAGGCAGTGCCACATGCTCTCTCCGCGTCTATTGATGTGACTCATTTCAACATGTGGCGACGAGATCGGGCGAGATGAGAGGTTTTGCAAGGTTGTCCTGGGTGGGCGTGGGTCGATGGAGACGGTCGCGGTCGCTGTCCTCGGCCGGGGCGGGGCAGCGGTTGGCGCAGCGTGATCTGCGACCACTGGCCGGCTGCTGTTGTACAGGGCGATTAAGGGAGGGGGGATGTGTGTGTACATGTATGAGAGACAGATGAATAGAGAGAGTGCGTGCGTGTGTGTTTGTGCGTGAGGGATGTACTTGGCATAGAATGCGATCGACGTGGTCTCAGGTGCGTACGGTAGGAACGAGAGATGTCTCCATCGAGACACGACAAGTCGTCACGGCATGGTCAGCATGGACTGTGACGGAAGTAGCATCAGCTGTGGCGGCAGTAGCATCAGCTGTGGTGGTAGCGGCATCAGCTGTGGTGGCAGCATCGGTTGTAGTGGTAGCATCAGCTCGAGATCAGAAAGGCCGATGCGAGTCGAGGTACGCCTCGTCGATGACGAGAGTTCAAGATTGCGGCGTGGATGCCGAGGCAAACTTGCGTGAGAGGCTATCGATGGAGTTGCCGAGATCGGCCAACTGATCAAGGACGTCAGAGATGTCCCTCTCGGTCTTGTCGAAGAACGTGGTGACCATCTTGAACTTTGCGGCATTCTCATCAACGGAAGAGACACCAGCAGAAAGAGAGAGATCAGCCAGTTCATCATCATCTTGCCAATGAGCCATCTGAGAGACAGAGAGTAAGATCTGTTGTTCCCTCACCAATTCCAGCTTGTCCAACATGGCTGCTTGCTGAGGTCCAAATGCCTGCATCCGCTTGGCCGACGCAGACCGACGAACCTTGCCCAAGTCGTTCCTCAACAACCTCGCAGCCTCGTCGTCCGGTGCCCCCGACGCCATACTCTCCCCTCCCTTGCTTCGTCGTCTCACCAGAGTCGAGTCTGTTCGCCACGAGGTCTCCCCGAGCCATAGCCCGAGCCTGAGCCTGAGCGTGTGGCGCCGGGAGCGGGTGCCGGGCGACTGAGCGTCGACACGTTGTCGCGGCGAGCAACGCAAGATCGTAGTCATGACGCGACTGATGATAGTTGGGAAAGGGGGCTTGCTCGACTTTGACTCCAGGCATGATCACGAGCACGACATATCGCATCATCGTGACGACGGAGATGATGATGGCGACGATGGTGCTCACCGCACACACCTTGCCACACGCACCCACATGCACATGCACATCTCACTTCTGCCCACAACCCACTCACACACAACCACATCGCATTGCACAACCACGTCGGATCGCACAACCACGTCGGATCACACAACCACGTCGGATCACACAACCACGTCGGATCACACAACCACGTCGGATCACACAACCACGTCGGATCGCATCAATACTCTCGGTTGCCGGCCGAGCGGTCGCTCCGCTGGCTCGACGGCTTGGGATTTCCTCGCATTTACTGTGCTGGCCATCTTTGCCAGCACATCGTGCCAATTGGCACGGTCAACCGCGCGTGTACGTGAGCGCCGTTTCGCCGGCTCACGTGCACACGATATCAAGGTGAGAATTGGGCGCACACTCGTGATCTACATCCCTTTGTCTTGATCCCATGATCCGATCCGATCTCGACACCCTCCCCTCCTCTCCCAACCCCCTATCGTGATCTACATCCCCCCCTTCCGATCCCATGAGCCAATCCGATCACAACCCCCTCCCCCTCGCCGCACTGCCACCTCACAATGGCGAGGTACAGAACAGCCCCCAGTCCCAGCCATAGCCACAGTCGCAACCACCTCACCCCCCCCCCCCCCCCCTTTTACCCACCCCCCCTGATACGCCCGCTCATCATGTATACTCCCACGTCCACCTGTATTATGGTCGTCATTGTTGTCTTCGTCTTGTGCTCTGTGATGGTGATGGGAGAGGGAGACGATGAGGTGGTCAGGTGCTCGTTCGGCTCGGCTGGCACAACAGGATCAACTTCATCAACATCAGCAGCACCAGGAGGAGATGGATGTGAGAAGGGAAGCTTTTGTTGGGGTATGTTTGCATGTCATGATATCGATGGAAGTACAGGTACATGTAGTACACCACCGACGGCTTGCATTGCTGTTCATGATCCGGTCTGTGGTTGTGATGGTGTTACATACTCCTCTCCTTGTCGAGCTATGGCCTCAATGGTCTCGGTGAGACATCGTGGTCCTTGTACTCTGAGTAGCCATGGTGACGATGATCATCGTTCGGTCTTGGCTATCCTGGGCATCATCATCGCTTTGGCTATTGGCGCTATTGTCGCCATTTGGGTCGTCGTTGGTCTCGCTCGGGCAAACAACGCCATTCCGTCGTGGGTCCCGGACTGGATCGCAAGGCGCTCGCGGCCGTCGCTCCTCTCCTCTTACCTCCGTCTCTCGTCCTTTGAAGCAGATGCCGATGCTGCTCGCTCTGCCGAGTTTGGTGGCGACGACATTGAGCTCGATCTTACCAACCTGGAAGACGTTGACCTTGTCGACGGCGACGAGCTCGAGCTCGAGCTCGAGCTCGGTGACGGCGACGACGACGAGTCGCGCCTGCGCCTGCCGTAGACCATGCGAGCCGATGCTCTGTATCTACAGCGATACCTGATGGATGAGGGTGCCGACAACGCCAAAGAAGGCGAGGATAAGGATCGGGACGATGGCCGGGCTCGGTGCGGCACCCATGATGAGGAACGGCGGCCGGGAGGCGACCAGGTAGCCCAGCAGTGTGTTGATGTCGGTAAACGAGTGCGAGCCGACCCGATGGAGCTGGGCTGCTGTGTCGGTGAGCGAGGAAAACTTGCGGTTGATCGAGGTAAAGATAGTGGCGACAAGGATGAGGGCGAGCGCGTAGATGACCAGGTAGTACTTGCCGTTGAGCTCGTTGTCAGCGCGTTCGCTAGCCCGGGCCGCGTCCCACAGCTGGTACGAGATCGAGAGAGGAAAGATGATAAAGACAGGAACCACAAAGCTCTGCATCAGGCTCGACAGCCGCCGCGCCAGCCGTGCCATTGTCGCATGCTTCCGCACCACCCGCTCCATCGACAGCGTTCCGTCCTCCATGCTCACCGCCAGCGCTGCCACTTGCGCTCGCGAGATGTGCGCCATCAGCGCCGCTACCGCCACCGCAAACACAAACACCGTCACATTGACAGGCACCGCCACAGCGTACAGTATGTAGAAGATCGGCATGCTCGAGTCCGGATCGTCATCCACTCCGTCGTTGTTGTCGATGCCCGAGACTGCCATCCACGACACAGCGAGCCAGCCGACTGAGAGCACCACGCTCGCCAGCAGCGCTCCAAAAGCATACACCCGCGTCGTCGATCGCAGCCGCAGCCGCATCCGCCCTTCAGCTAGCGAAAGGAGAAAGCCCGCAGACGCCCGCGAGTGACCCGAGCCCAGGTAATGTGCCAGGCTCAGCCATCCGGCCACAGACGCAAGTGAGAGCCCGGCAGTGCCCACAATTAGTGCCTTGGGGAACCTGGTGTCGAGCAGAGCTGCCCACGACAGGGCACCGGTCCCGGCCAGCACCAGCGTAAATAGCAGTGGCCGCCAGAGCCCGCGATACAAGCCCGATCGCGACGGCGCCACCGCAAGTAATGAAAGCAGCAGCCGCATCGGCTGAACGTGCTCGGGAACACAGTGCAGCGCCGACGGACCGGGCATCCCCGCGCCCTCTCCGCCATTGACCGGGCCTACCGCGCCGCGGCTCCGGCTGCCGCTGTGAAGAGGCACAAACATGGTCATCCCCATCCCCTGCGCCTTGCCAGCCACCTCATCTGGAAGCGGCGGTACCGCAGATCGCCTCCCGGTCGGAGTCCTGCGTCCATCCACAGACGAGCTCGACGTGGCGTCGCCACTGCTCTGCCGCCGGCGATGATGAGGGCGATCACGGCTACAGGACTGGCTCTGATCATGCCAGCGCCCGTCGTCATCGCTCTCGCTTTGCGCACCATACTTTTCGTGACCACGATGTGTGTGGCCGTTGGCATTCCTCGATCTCGCCGTCTTTTGACTGGAACCAGCACCGCGAGCTCGTTTCCCTTCACTCTGCAGTTCCCTCGTCCGTCCTGACCGCCTGCTGCGCCCACCTCGGTTGACCGAACCCGAGCTTCCCGCCGTTCTCAGGCCTGTTGTCTGCTCAACTTGCCGCGCCATGCTACTGCCCTAGCCGAGCCAACCTTGCTATGTACCCCCCTTCCTCGACGAGATGAGTTGTTGCCGTTGTGGAGCTAGAAATCTGCTCTCGTCACGCTCGCCGTTGCGACGCTGATGCGGTGACCGTGACGGCGTCGGCGTGGGTCTGTGGCAGCAGCAAACTGGGAGAGTTTTCAGCAAGACGACAAGATGGTCGTGTGCAGCATCGGCATGGAAACTCGAATGGCGAGTCTCTTGTTCATGGTGAGCACTGCTCCACCAGCATCGGCATTAGAGTGTACAGTGGGCGTAGCAATATCCGCGAACAGCGGCCCGCGGATGGCAGGCAAGGCAGCCGGTGAAAGAGGATGATGATGGAGATGAATACATTCAAGGGGTGAGCGGTACTGATGAGGATCTCCTCGAAAGGGGAGAGCCAGAGGAGAAAGAGCGTGTGTGACGAGACGGACCTGGCCAGGGCCGAGCTGGGTGCGAGTACTCCAAGCCACGGGCATTGCCATTACAGCGACAACATGCCCACAGGGGAGCGACAGACGCGTGACAACAAGGTGTGGATCATGACCGGACCTTGTTGCCGACGACGTTCAGGTGGCAGACCTGCAGCATGTACATGTCTTCGGCGGGCGGGAGGGTGACGATAAAGGCGCGGAAGGCCTGGGTCTCACCAGCCATGGCACTGGAGTCGAGCGTAAAGGTGAGCAGGCCGTCGGAGGTCTCCCTCACGCGGAGTGCCGGGGTTACCAGCGAGTGCCAGACCTGTGCGTCGAGCGAGATGGAGACGTTGAGTGCATTGCCGATGGGGGAGAGGGCGTGGACGGCACCGTAGCCGTAGCCGCCCATCTTTGCCGAAATGATGACGTCGGTGTGCGGGGTGAGGAGGTCGTAGCCAAAGAAGGCCGGGCGGCCCGGGAGGACGGCACCCTCGTAGCAGGTGTTCGGGTCGTCGTCGATGGCAAAAGGCGGCATGTGGTTGAGGTATTGGTGATGGATGCCACAGAGGCGGTTAGAAGTGCGGCAGAGGGTGCGATCAAAGGTGAACCGGGCGGGGTCGTCCTCGAGGGTGCACGAAACACGCTCAAAGTCACGCTGGACGCCCGTGTTGGTGAGGAAGAGGCCGCCGTCGTCGGCGCGGATGGCGTGGGTGATGTGGCGGAGCTGGCGCTTGCGGTTGCGGAAGATGCTCTCGTCGGCCGTCCAGAGCCGGTCCATGGCGAGGACACCGGCCTCGTGCATAAACTTGCCAAAGCCGGTCTCTTCCGAAATGGCGTCGTTGGTGTCGAGCTCGCCCTGCTTGATGTCGACGGTGTAGACGACGGGCGGCTCGTTGTGCCAAATGGGGAAGAAAAAGTCCGAGATGTACTTGAACTCGACCGGGAGCAGCGAGTGGATGAGGCCGATGTGCCGGACAGCAGCGTCGCGCGAGAAGACCGAGCCACACCCACCCCACATGAATCCAGCGTGGATCCTGGCAGCGGCGTTGTAGCACGTCCATGCCCAGTTCTGGATCGAGGTGTGCTTGTTGGTCACACCGTGCTCGGTACCGGGCCGGGCGAGGAACGAGTGCAGAAGGCTCTCCCGGTAGCCCGACGAGTCCCAGTCGTCGTCCTGCATGTAGCAGATCTCCGCCACTGCCCGCTGGCAGCCGAGGTACTTGCCAAAGTCCTTGAGGTTGTCCACCGAGTTGACCACAACAACCCGCTCCGGGATCCGCTCACCAAAGATGAGCTCCTCGTTGAGCACAGTATCCGGGTTGTTGTTCCACACCACAAACTCGCTGTAGATTCCGTCGGCATGCAGCTCCTGCATGATCAGCTTGAGGTTGTCCAGTCGCTTCCTGTCACCGTTACCCGCATGTGTGAGTGGGGAAGGGGGGGGGGGGGGGGGGGGGGGAGTGAAACCGGGCGGGTCCCGGGCTGCAGCCGAGCCATCAGCTGCAACTGCCGCAACCGCAACCGCAACCGCCACACATTCGCTGCAGCGGCCAGCATGACCAGCGGGAGCCAGAGCGACAAGACCAAGAGAGAGAGAGAGAGAGATAGATAGAGAGATAGATAGACGGAGGAACACATGGGCATAGGTGGAGGCTGATAGCCTGGTGGTCAATGTCATGCCCATGACACCTGCGGTTGGCTTGCAAAACCACCGCACGTGGGGGGTGTGGAGAGGGCCAGTGGCAACAACCAGCTCTATCGAGGGATAGCAAGTTCGCATAGCCATGCAAGTAGAGATGGAGAAAGAATTGAGGATGATACATCCACGTATATGGCTATAAAAGGCGTGGTGTTGGTATGGCAAATGGTAGGGCCTTATACGTGGTGGTTGGAAGGTGGTGCATGGCACCCGCCCGATTCCGTGAAACAAACGAAAACAGAGCCATCCACCCAAGCACGGGCTCGGGAGGGGGAGGGGGAGGGGAGGGGTTGGGGAGGATAGAGGAAGAGGAGGAGGAGAGAGTCAGACATACCAGTTGAGCATAACAACAGCAATGCCTTGGGAGTCTGCGACATACTCCAAGGAGCTCGCACGTGCAGCTGTGAGGATCTCCTCCTTTGTAAACGGGCGCTTGTAGGTGACGTAGTTCATGCGGTCAAGCTCGTCCTGTGGCACATCAGCTGGGATGTAGGGATAGAGGATGCGCTCACGTAAGCGGATAAAGGTACCGACAAGCAAGCAAAGGAGTACAATGGTTAAAACCTTGACAGTACGGCTAGGCTTTTGGTATACACTCTCGGACTTCTGACCCTTCAACATGGTTGTCTGCAAGCCTCCCACAATGGAGAAACGTGGCCTCGACCGTAATCGAGTGAAATGGCCCAATCCACGTTGCCGACTCTCCCGCCTTCCGCTGCTGTCGATTTCGCTTGCACTCTCCGTCGCTTTTTCCTCCTTTATGATTTTTTTTTTCAGCATCGGCGGCGGAGTGGGTGAGTGGGGTGGGGTGGGGAGGGGGGGAGGGGGGGGGGGGTGGTGCTTGTTGTGGTAGCCAAGGTCTTTTACGTATTTTGTCTGGCTCGGGGCGTTGGTGGGTGAGATTGTCCAACCAGTCCATCAGCGGACTGATCGGGACGAGCAGGTGACGATAGTCGCCTTTGCTCCACTCGCCTAAGCTGGTGATTGCCAGCTGCCACGAGCAAGGTACTGAACGGCCAACACAAGGAGGCGGGGCGCGGGGCGCGGGGCGCGGGGCGCGGGAGGGAGGGGAGGCTACACAACGTACTTGTCACCGTTGACTGTGAGCTCGCAGATCTGGAGCACGTACATGTCAACGACGGGCGGGAGAGTGATGATGAAGGAGCGGAAGACCTGGGTCTCACCGGCCATAGAGCGAGAGTCGAGCGAGAATGAGCGAGATTCGAGGGTACGGCCCGAGATGCCCAGGGCCGGCGTGGCAAAGGTGCGCCAGACCTCGGACTCGAGCGAGATCGAGACGTTGACGGCGGTGGTGAGAGGGGCGAGCGCGTCGCGGGCGCCCTTGCCGTACGCGCCGATCGAGGCGCGGATGGTGACGCCCTTGTGCGGGGCAAGGAGGTCAAAGCCGAAGAACGCGGGTCGGCCGGGCGCGACGGCAGCCTCGTAGCACGTCTTTGGATCGCCGTCGATGGCAAACATGGGCGGGTGTGCAAAGTAGTGATTGCGGACGCCGCAGTGGCGCCGACTGTCGGTGCACGGCGTGCGGTCGAGCGTGAAGCGCTCGGCGTCGTCCTCGAGAGTGCAGGTCTCGAGTTCGAACTCACGGTTGACACCCGTGTTGGTGAGGAACATGCCGCCGTCGTCGGTGCGGATGGCGTGAGTGATCTGCCGCTTCATGCGCTTGCGGCTGCGAAAGATGCTCTCGTCGGCCGTCCAGAGCCGATCCATGGCGAGGATGCCGGCCTCATACATAAACTCGCTGAAACCCTCTTGCTCCGAGATGGCGTCGTTGGTGTCGAGCTCGCCTTGGTCGAGCGGCAGCGTGTACACAATCGGCGGCTGGTTGTACCACAGCGGAAAGAACAGGTCCGAGATGTACTTGAACTCGACCGGGAGCAGCGAGTTGATCAGGCCGATGTGCCGGACAGCAGCGTCGCGCGAGAAGACCGAGCCACACCCACCCCACATGAATCCAGCGTGGATCCTGGCAGCGGCGTTGTAGCACGTCCACGCCATGTTCTGCATAAACGTCCGCGCGTTGGTCACCCCGTGTTCGACGCCGGGCTGGCCAAGGAACGAGTACAGCAGGCTCACTCGGTAGCTCGACGAGTCCCAGTCGTCGTCCTGCATGTAGCAGATCTCCGCCACTGCCCGCTGGCAGCCGAGGTACTTGCCAAAGTCCTTGAGGTTGTCCACCGAGTTGACCACAACAACCCGCTCCGGGATCCGCTCACCAAAGATGAGCTCCTCGTTGAGCACAGTATCCGGGTTGTTGTTCCACACCACAAACTCGCTGTAGTGGCCCGCCTCGCGCAGGTTCTGCATGATCACCCTCAGGTTGTCCAGTCGTTTCCTGTCATCGCCCCGTCGAAATAGATGGTACGGTACGTGAGTCCTCTCATCACACACCACGGCATGTCGTCTCAAGCCGACCATGTCGAGGCCGACCATGTCGAGGCCAGCCATCTCAAGCCGACCATGTCGATGCCAGCCATATCGAGGCCATGTCGAGGCGGATCCGCTCCAAAGCCAATGCAAAATGATGGTACAAAGCCAACAATGATAACATTGATAACGAGAATGCGCTCAACAGAGGGAAAGGAAAGTGGGGGAAGAGGGGGGGGGGGGGGGGTGGCGGTCATTCTGCGAGGTACAGCCATTCCCCAGTATACCAACTGAAGAACGAGGTCAATGCCATACTAGATGACCGTATAAGGAGGATGGTGCTATGTAAAAGTACACCATGGACATGTGCCAGGTGGATAAAGGCCAGTGGTAGGGGGGAGGGGGAGCGGAGGAGGGCCACGAAGTTGGTACCAAACGACTTTCAGTCGACCAAAACGCAATGTTGCCGCCATCCACAGGCAGTCAGGCAGGTAGGCAGGAAGCAAGGGCAAGGGGGGATAGATGAGGGTTAAGAGGAATACAAAGGGCACGTACCAGTTGAGCATAACAGCAGCAATGCCTTGTGTGTCCCGTGCCAACTCTATCGAGTGCTTGAGTGAGGCAGAGGTAATCTCAGCAGGGGTAAACGGACGCTGGTACTCGAGGTAGTTGATAACGTCGAGCTCGTCTTGGGGCAAGTCCCGAGGGAGGTAAGGGTGGTAGTGGTGGGCGTAGAGATAGATACTGATGACAAGTGCTGTAGCAATGACAACAGCACATTTGACAGCAACGTTCTGTACTTGCTCTCTATTGCCCTTCCTCTCCCTAACAATCATCACCTTCATCATGCTCCCGCTTCCTGCTCGCCCCGAGCAACAGAGCAGTCTGACGCTCACGTGGCTGACCTCCGCTCTTCGCTCTCCACTCGCTCGACCCACGCGTGGTGTGGTTGGCAAAGGCAGAGTTGTCTCGGCAATACAATTTTTGTCTATTTATTTTTGCTCCCGCCTGCCACCGGTATCCAACCTACTCGCGCCCTGCACACCCACGAGCGCCTCGTCGACACTGATCCCGAGCCCTTGCTCCCGAGCACGGGTCACACACCTTGCATGCTGATGGCGATACGGCAGTAGTGGCGGATGGACCGACTGCGAAACCTCTGCACTGGTTTGCAACTGCAACCGCTCATCACCACCTGGCGATCTGCATGCTAGTACGTACCCCTCACGGCCTCGCTGCGCCACGCCATCAACACAACACAGCTCACTTATTGCTCGCCTCGTAGATAGCTCGCATTGCACCGTGCCTATGACGAGCCAGCCACGGCTCCAAGCAGTCTGCGCTGATCGGCCGCACACGCCAGCAGATGCGTCTCTCTCACCACCATCCACGTTCGATGGGAGGCCGCCAGCCGTCAACGCTCGACGGGAGGCCGCCAGCCGTACAAGCTCCATCTCACTAGCTGAGACACAAACTCTGTGGTGATGATGTCATACGACGAGAGGATCAAGGCAATTGGTTGGTCCCGCATCGCTTGTCGCTCGGCTAGAGCCGAGTGGCACCTCTCTGCGTCGATCAACCAGTAGGTGAGCTTTGGACGACATGCTGCGACTTGTTGCAAGGACTGGGCTTGCCGGAGCAAACGGGCGATGGACATCAGCTAGTGTGTGTGGCCAAGCAATGCGGGGAGTGTCTGCGAGTTCTCGGCCAGGTCGTGAGGTCGCTGGTGGTCAGCCGAGCTCGGGAAGCTTCCCCTCGAGCAAGGATGAGGATGCCGCGTCTGGCGGTAGCGCCAGCGATGTGTCGGGCGCTAGTTCTGGTGCTGGAGCTGCCGCTGGGGCAGAGGCGGCTGGGACCGGAATCGGGAGGAAGCTTGACGAGGTGGAGAAGATCGTGGCACAGACGCCGATGCCCACGGCGACGCAGGTCGAGACCAAGGCCGAGGCCGAAGCTGAGGCCGAGGGGAAGAAAGGCGGCAAGTTCCGGCAGCTTTGGACAAAGTATGGCATGGTGGGTATCACCACGTATCTCGGTGTGTACGTGGTGACTCTCTCGGGTCTGTACATGGGAGTCAAGACCGGAGAAATTGTCCCGGGCGATGTGACCTCGCTGGTCAAGGACTACCACCTGGACGCGCTCCATCTCCCGGGCATGTCGTCGACGGATCTCAAGGTGACCAAGTCGACAGGCGACTTTATGCTGGCATGGGTGGCGACCAAGCTCACAGAGCCACTTCGACTCGCGGTCACGCTCGCCATCACGCCGTCGATCTCTCGCCAGCTTGCTGCCTTTCGACGCGCTCGGCGCGCTGACGCTGACAACGAGGAGAACAAGGTTGATGACAACGCCAAACAGTAAAAGACTGGAGAGGATGGAAGAAAGGGATGTGTTGCACGCGAACAGGATGAAAAATGAACGAGGTTCTCAACTGCATGCGCGCCAAATCAGCAGTCTGGCGGCTCTGGGAGCCTTGGTGGCTCTGGGCGAGCTTTGGCGGCAATTCGGCGAGCGAGCGACTAACCGCCAGGGTGACGAGAGCGAGGGGAAAGGGTATGGCGAGGGGACCGAAAGGAAGTACACCGCACTCCAGTCTGGCAACGAGCAAGTAGGACACGAGAAGTACCTGTTCTACTTACTTGTGTGAGCGTAGCTGGAGTGAGTATGGAGTTTGAGCGGTTTATTCCGTCGGACTCTGCGCGAACAGTGGGCACTGGCAGTGGAACTGGTCGTGGGCGTGTTGGACATCATCGTGGTAGCAATCGACCAGCCAGCGGACGTGATGGAAGTTTGATGGCAAGTGGAGAGAGTGGTCTACACTCATCTGGTATCGGCATGAGTATCAGTGGTGGTGAGAGCTTGTCGAGGAGAAGGAGTCACAAGAGCGGGCTGGATCCTGGGGCCATCGAGGCACTCGTCGACAAGTACCGCGGCTCACCGCTGCACAAGCCACTTCCGTTGGGATCGGAAGATACTTTCAACTCTCAGAGCGGGGAACCGCCGTGGCGAAAGTGGGAGGGTGGTCAAGGCAAGCGGAGTAGTGGCGCGGGATCGGCTACCATTCACGCAAAGTCGGTTGTCTGTGCAGCCTTCAACACGCACGCGTCGGTCGTCTTTACTGGTTCAGAGGATGAGACGGTCAAGGTGTGGGACATCTCCTCAACGACAACACAACTAGTAGCGACCTATGACGGCCACACCGGGACTGTCACCGACCTGCTCTACGTCGACGGGCTCAAGAAGCTATTCTCGGCCTCGCTCGGCGGCGAGATCATTGTGTGGCACTATGCGCAGACGCAAAAGGCGCTCAAGTTTCTGAGCATGGCCGCGCCGCCGGCACCGGCGCACTCGCTGCCGATTGCGCAGTATTTGCGGAGCTCGTCGCGGTTCGACGAGCTCAAGGTCAAGCTTCGGACGGCGACCGAGAAGATTGAGCGTGCCGAGGCTGTGGGTGGGGCACTGGCGGCACGAGTCAAGGCGCAGGCTGTTGCCGATCGCAACGCGGCGGCAGCCGAGCTTGGGGCACTGCGGGCCAAGCTCGCGCCGGCCATCGACCGTCCGGAGCCTGTCTTTTGCCTGGCCTGGCTGCCCGGCGACGACGTGCTTGTGGCGGTGTTCAAGGACGCGCTCCGGCTTTACAGCTACAACCGGAGCGATGGTGTGCACTCGGACTGGCACGAGGTGCTTCCACGGGTGGGCGGGCGTGGTGCTGGTGGGCCGAGCGGCGCCGGTATCGGAAGCTCAGCGAGCAGACAGGCTGCGCTGCTTGCGCTCGACATGACCAACATGACGAAGCCGCGGCGGGCGAGACGGAACCCGTCTGCAGAGATGCGCGGGACACGGCATATGGTGTACATGCCGTATGCGCATCTGCTGGTGACGGCCACGGACTCTGGTGCGCTCTGCGGGTGGGTCTTCTCGCAGCAAAAGAAGGCACTAGTGCTCAAGGTTCACCGGGAAGACGCACATGAGCTCGGGATCACGGCGCTGGCGGCATCGATGGGCGCGGACGGATGGCTTGCCTCGGGCTCGCACGACCGCGCCATCCGAGTCTGGTCGTACGTAGCACCTCCGGCATCCGAGCCCAATGAGTATGGGTCTCTCATCCTTGTCCACACCTTTCGGTCGCACGCGGCGTCGATCACGGGCCTCACATTTGTCAACTCCACGGCGACGCTGTGGGCGTCGGCCGGCTCGGACGAGCCGATCATTTACGACTTGGCTACCTTTACCGACGTCACCTCGGTGCTTGCTACGCTACTGCCGGGCAAGGGGAGCGGTGGGACCGGGGCAAGTGGAGCAAGCGAGCGCGGCGAAAGTGAGGCCGCGGCCGCTAGAGGTGGCGGTGGAGGCGGAGTCGGTGGTAGCGTCGAGGAGGAGGCTGGCGCGGCGCTGGCACTGGGACGAATGTACTACTTTGAGGCTGTGGACAAGGTACTCGCTGTTACGAACCGTCGGCAGCTTGTGGTGTGGAAGTACCGGTACGGAGCAGCGCTGACGACGCTTGTGCAGCACTCTGACGTGGTGGACGCGCTCTCGTTCTCGCGAACCAACCCGCTGGTGTTTTTCTCTGCCGGAGCCGACGGGCGGATTGTGCAGTGGGAGCGCGAGCAGTCGAACACGTACAAGTACAACAAGGAGGAGCTGTGGATTGAGGGCAAGCCTGACGAGATGGCCCGGGCCGGGAGCGCGCTGGGCGCCCCGGGCTGTGCGCCGCGGCTCATTGCCTCGTTTGCCGGCGCGTCGCAGACCCAGATCGACGACTGGCTCTGGCTCACCGAGCCGGTGACAACCGATGGGCACGAGGCTGGCGAGCCCGAGCCGGACCCGTTCTTGCTCGATGACGACGATCCTGCGGCGCGGCGGGCCAAGCTCGCGGCGCGGCAGACGGCGCGAAAGCGAGCACACATTGCGTCGCAGCGCAAGGCGCAGTCGTCGGCCAAGGCGTCGCTGGTCCGCGGCCGCGGCTCGTCGAGCGTGCACGGCAACGTAGCGTCAACGTGGTCCAAGCTCTCCGCCGAGAAGCGGGAGCGGGCGCGGGCGCTCGCCAAGCGCAACCGCTCTTTATACGACCCATCACGGCGGCTGGGCGATCTCGACTCGCCAGAGACGGCGGCAAAGACGCGGGCGTCGCCGCAGCCAACGGCAACGCCGCCGGCCGTTCAACCGAATCCGCTCATCCGCGACGGCGTTTTTGTGACCGACCCAATGCTGTTCAATGCGGTGCACAAGAGCACCGGTGGACTTCCGGACTTGGTCCGAGCTGGATCGTCGCAGGGCACGATGTCGTCGCTACTGCAGAACGCGCTGTCAACGCGGAGCTCGATGGCGTCACTGTGCGAATCAGAGGTGTCGAGCTCGGACAGCGGGAGCTCGGACGACGGCGAGTCGCTGGCATCGATCTCGATGGACGATGGCGGCCGCACGACGGTGCTGTCGGTGGCGGACAAGCTCAAAGTGCGGCTGAAGGAGGGGCGGGGAGGGCGCGGGCGGTCTGCGTCGCTGCGATCGTTTGCAGCGTCGCGTGGCAATCCGCAGGCCAAGGCGCTCGGTTTTGTACGATCGCTGCAGCTGCCAGACCAGCTCGAACACCCCCTTGTCGGTCGGCGCCGGCTTAGGCAGGAGGTGGTGAGCGGTGGAAGCGGCGAGAGCGGAAGCGGAAGGACGGGCGGGCGTCTGCGGCCGAGGCGGATCCTGTGGTCCGGCTCGGGCTTGTGGCCTCGCCGCTCAAGCCTGCCGATGCGGCGTCGTCAGTCAAATTCCGCAAGTCGCGGCTCTCGATCGACGTGGTGCTTTACTCTGATGAGCTCGACGTACTGCTACTGGGCACCTCGCGCGGACGGATTCTTGTGTACGGCTATCGCGACTCGTCAGTGTCGATGACGACGGTTGCAGTGCCGAGCTCGATCAATTACGAGCGTGCGCAGTCGATGCCGCAGGTCGGAGCCAACATCCGGTCGCGGCTGACTGGACTCTCGCTGCTCAAGTCCCTGCCGCTTGTGGGCTCGCGCGGCGAAGGCCACACCGACGCAATCACTGGGCTGGAGGTGGTCAAGGTCGAGTCGTTTGAGTACGGCAACGATCTGAGCGAGCACCGGCGGCGGCGTAATGCCGATCTGGGATCGGGGCCATCTGGTGAGGGCCGGTCGTCGTATGTGCTTGTGTCTGTGGCGCGCGACGCGACGCTCCGGGTGTGGCAACTCGACACCGGTGAGGAGGTGCTCTACCGCAAGACGACGCTGCTGGGCACGACCGATGCCGATGTGGTGCCGGAGCGAGTGCGGAGCGGGCGGCGCGACTTTCGGCGTGCGGCAGACGCGCCGATCACAACACTGGCGTGGTGCGAGCGGCACCGAGTTATGGCGTGGGGCGACGAGGTTGGCATGGTTTGGATCAAGTCGTTTGCACATGCCGGCACGCTTGGGCACGCCGGAATGGTCCTTGTGCAGGCGCTGTCAGAGCACGTCGGCACAATCACGGCGCTCGAGTGGAACGTGGTGCACTCTGCGTGGATGAGCGCGTCTGTGGACGGAACGCTTAAGCTCTGGGGTAAGGGTATCCGCAAGCCAAAGAAAAAGCGCAAGCGCAAGCGGCTCTCTACGCTGCTCACGGCGGCGTATGCCGACGATGAGCTTGAGACTGGCGGAGGTGGTGGGTCGGATCGGACGTCAGGCAACGGCGATGGCGACGGATGCGAGAGCGGGCGCGGGCGCGGGCGGGGAGCAGCGACGCCGGTAGGAGTCTCGATCATTGTTGACTCGACCGACTCGGACGACGAGCTGGTACAAGTGCGATCGGACTCGAACGACGATTCGGAGTCGCTCGACTCGCGGGACGATGACGACGGCGTGTCGGGCTCGGGGACAGGCGGCGGTGGGAGCGGAGGCGAGAGCGGGAGTGCGCTGGGTTCTAGCGCCGTGTCGGTGCTCAACAGATCGGCGACGAGCGTGCGGTTTGACACGCTTAGGGGCGAGGGCAAGCCGAGGCTCAAGCGAATGCACACGTTTGCTGATCCGAGCGACCGGACTGGGGCCCGGTTTGGCGCGACAGGATCGGCCATGGGCGGACACACCTCGCTGGACACGGTAGAATTTGGCAGCATTGTGCGGTGCGTGACGCACCACTGCGGGCCGCAGGGCATTTCCGAGTCGTCGCGGATCCGCGTGGCGGCCAAGCAGACCCGCGGGATGGTGGTGGCCGGAACCGACGAGGGCAAGATCTTTGTGTACAACCCAGTGCGGCGTGAGGTTGTGGCGAGCCTCTTCGGCCACGCCGACCTAGTCAAGTGTGTGGTCTACCTTCCGCAGCGGCACCAGTATGTCTCGGGCTCGTGGGACAACACGCTCAAGGTGTGGGCGGCGTACACCCGCGATGACAAGCCGAGCCAGAACCGGTTCGGCGGAAGACCGGGCAAGGCAAGCAGCCGCGAGACGAGTCGGCCGAGGTCGCAGACTGTGGTGGCGGCGAGCGAAGACGGTGGCGGGTACGGGGTGGGCCGGCCGGTGGTGGCGCTGCCGTCGCAGGACAACGCAACCCGCAACGCCGCGGTCTTCCACATCGATCCAGACCTGCGGCGGGTGGTGAAGTCGGTTGCCGGCGATTCGGGCGTGGGTGGCGGCTTTGTTCCGCGAGCCATCGACGATCCCGAGTTTGTCAGCGCGGTGCGCGAGCTCGAGCGTGAAGAACGCGAGAAAGATGACGGACTGCTCGGACTGGTCCCCGGCTCGCGGGTCCGGTTCCGCGATCTCAACGCGTCTATGGCCTCGCTCTCGACCTCGCTCAACGGCATGTCGGCGACTTTGCTTTCACCTCTTGCTGACAGCGACGGCGAGCGGCCACCGAGCACGCCCGGCTCAGAGGAGCCCGAGCCAGGACGAGGGCGCAAGAACAACCGGTCGCGGCTAGCGCGGCGGCGGTTGATCGCAGGCAAGACTGCTGCGCGCAAGCACGCGTTTTTCCGTGCCGATCAAGCAGCCGACACGCCACTCCCTCCTGCGCACAAGATTGACTCGCTGAAGTATTGAGGCAGCGCGCGGAGCACTCGACCAGGTAGCTCGCACCATCAGATTGGTCGAGGACATCGTCGCTGTGTTCAACTGAGTAAACAACATTGGATGAAAATGAGAGAATGGCACGGTGGCACGCAGGTGCCGCTGCGACGGCAAGGGCGACCGGAGGGAGCGGAGGGAGCTGGGAACACGCGTCTTTTTTTTTCAGGTTTGGAAAGGAGAAAAGGAGCAAGTCAGAGCAAATGATGATGTGTGTGTCGTCGAGCAAGATGCGCTCTCTTTGTGTGGTCCTCTGGGCGGTGGTTGCGGTGTGGGGAGGAGCTGGCGTCGTGGGAGGAGCGGTCGGCCTCTCACCTCCGCCAGCAACGAATCTTCGACCGATTGTGGGCATTTTGACGGTGCCGACGGAGGGCTCCGAGTGCGGCACGTTTTACCGCGAGCACAAGGCGATGAGCGGATCGGGATCGACTTCTTGCTTTGCCACGGTATATGTCAAGTGGCTCGAGTCTGCGGGAGCGCGTGTGGTGCCCATTCCCTACAACCTGCCGCATGACGTGCTCCGCGATCTTGCCGGTAAGTACCTCAACGGGCTGCTGTTTACCGGTGGTGGGACATCGCTCGAGCCGGAGACCGAGTACTATCAGGCGGCCAAGGTGCTGTTCGAGGCGGCGATGGAGGCCAATGCGCGCGGGGTGTACACGCCAGTCCACGGGACTTGCATGGGCTTCCAGCTGCTCTCGATCCTGGTGGCCAACTCGACGAGCGTGCTGGAGAGCGGGTTCGACTCGGAAGACTACTCGATCCCGCTCGACTTTACGGCGGCGGCAGCGACGTCGCGGATGTACGGGCCTGCAGCGGCAAACCCGGCGACCGGGGTCTTTGCCACGCTCGCGACCAAGAACGTGACGTCGAACCTGCACCACTCGGGCGTCACGCCCGAGACGTTTGCGACCAACGCCAAGCTCACATCGTTCCTCACGGTGCTCTCTACCAACCGCGGACGCAAGGGTCGCGCCTTTGTTTCGTCGTTTGAGGGCAAGACCATGCCGGTGTACGGGACGCAGTACCATCCGGAGCGACCGGCGTACGAGTTCAACCCGATTCTCAACCTCAACCACTCAATCGCGGGCATCGAGGCGATGCAGTACCTCGCCAACAACTTTGTGACCGAGGCGCGACGGTCGACAGCTTCGTTCCCGTCGCCGACGGATGAGGCCAAGGCCCTCATCTACAACTATGCGCCACTTGCCAACGGCGAGTCGTACCAGTGCTACTTCTTCGAGTGATCGATCAGCTGCCCAGGCTCGAGTGCAAATGAACCAGCTTTGGAGCCATGGTATGCAGTGTACGTGAAAAGCGAGAAAAGATTGCAGCTCGTGCAAGCCCAAGATCACACCAGCCTTGATTTGTGGTAGGTAAATCAGCATCGGAGGCTATCGTGCTCAAGCCCCGATCGTAGAGGGACGAAATACCGAATCTGCTGATCGTGTTGCTCTCGGCAGCCCACGCACCGAGGGCTTTGAAATCCAGCCACAAACCGGAATGGCAACCTCTCCACCTCGCACACCTCGCACAATGAACAGTGAGTCACGCAAGAGACAAGCACTCCGAGTCGCCGCCTGGAAAGTGAGGGATGAAGCGACAGAAGTCCCGTTCACGCCAGTCTCATCGACACGGTCCGCCTCTGTCTCCAGCCCAACCCCAACAACACACAATTTTTTTATTGCCCTCACCCCCCACCCCCCAACATCCCCCTCCCACAACTCGGACTTTATTCCAGGTACCACGACGAGTGCTGTTTGCCCTCACACTGACCACCGAACGACAAGAGCGGGACGAGCTGCAGGAGCGGGGGAGCGGGGAGAGAGAGTGTGTGAGGGGGAAAGTGCTCGAGAGTGAGCAACACTGCACTCTCTGGAAGAGAGTCTGAGGTGGTTGTAGAAGGGTAGACAGTAGACCCAGAGTCAAGGGAGATGGGAGGCAAGGGCAATGTCTTTACCGCCCGGGTGCGTGAGCGCAAGCTGGCCAAGGACGGCGGGAGTTCGGGAGGGAAGGGAGCGATTGTGTTGGGCAAGGGCAAGGGCAAGGGAAAGGCAAGCAAGGGCAAGGGCAAGGGCAAGGGCAAGGGCAAGGGCAAGGGCAAGCACACGTCATCGTCTTCTGGTGACGATTACGACTACGACTACGAGGACGAGGACGAGTACGAGTACGAGGACGAGAGCGAGAGCGAGGACGAGAGCGACGGTGACTCGGATATGGACAGCTCGTCGTTGGCTCCGTCTGCGCGGAAGCACTCTGTCTTCATGCCGCGGGATCCGGAAAAGTTCAACGCAAAGATGAAGAAGAAGCACATGGTCGCAAAGAGCGAGTCCTCCTCCGAGTCGGGCAAGAGCAAGAGCAAGAGCAAGAGCAAGAGCAAGAGCAGGGGCAAGAGCAAGAGCAAGAGCAAGAGCAAGAGCAAGGGCAAGGGCTCGAAGCGATCGAAGAGCAGCGATTATGATGATGATGATGATGGTTCTGACGACGATGGCAAGGTCCATCCTTTCCTGGCCAGGATCAAGTCCGACTCGGGCTCCGACTTTGGCATGGGCGGGCATGCGGCCGGCGAAGAGACTATTGACGAGGCGGATGGCTTTGATGGGCCTGCCGGCGGGGCCGATGCCGGAGCTGGGCGTGACGGGCGTGGGCGCAGGAGGCGGACGCGGCGGAAGAAGTCGTGTTGGCAGCAGCTGCGCCGGCCGGGTCACCGGCGCGATTTTCTGATGGCCGCGGTGTACTTTGTGGTCGGAGCCGTTGTAACCAGCGTGCTCGTTATTCCCAACCTTGTGTCGCCGCCGAAAAACGCTGCCGGCAGCGCCGATTACACTGACCAGTCGTTCACCGGACAGGTGTTTGGCGGCATAATGGCGGGGCTCATCATGTTCCTCTCGTCGCTGTACCACTGCTGCCGTGGGAGCCGGATGGCATACGCCAAGCGGCGGGCGGACAAGTACGGCGATGCCGAAGAGAACAAGGATGGTGCCGGGATGGTCTCGTTCTCGTCTGACTCTTCGTGCGCCTCGTACTCTTCCGACTCCGAGTTTGAGCCTGGCGTCGGCCACCACCCATCGACACGCAATCCGTACTTTTACGTGCCTGACTAGAGGCACGCGCTAGCTAGGACACAGTAAAGGGCACATTTACACCCGCTGGAGGTCGGCAAACGGGCCGTTGAGCGAGTTGTCGATGATGTAGGCGGCGCGCGAGACGACACCTTCGACGAGCGACGAGACGCGGACGGCGCCGCGCGGGAGCGGCTGGTCCTTGGCGGCGACGTGCATGAGCTCGGCAAGGTGGAGAGCGACGCCGTCGGCAACGGCGTGCAGGTGGGTTGCCGACTTGACCACTGCCATTCGCATCTGGGTGGTCCGCTCCTGGGCGGTGACGCCGATGTCGAGCGAGAGCGTGACACGGTCGCGGCGGAGTGATCGCGCGGTCTTCGCGAGCATGCAGTCGAGCTCGCCACCGACGGCTGCAAGGTCTGCGGCGAGGTCGACGACGTGACTGACTCGTGCCGACCAACGGGTGGGAGCGCCGAGCGTGTGCGGCGCAAAGATTGCGACGAGCATGAGCGGGTCGTCCGACGAGACGATGGTTCCGCCGGCGGCGACGATTTTGCTCGCCAGAAAGTGAAAGGCGCGGTAGACACAGGCGGCGTAGCGCGGGTCGACCACGTCGACGGCCTTGTCGCCAAATGCAATGTTGAGCTTTGTAGCAAGGACGACGGCGTCGGAAATGGTGCGGAACGGGAGCGGCAGTGAGGCGCCCGGCTCAAGCTCGAGTTTGGACGAGAGCGGAAGCGAGACCGCGGCGTCGAGGACCGACATGGCGCCCGAGGTGGCGTCCTCGTCCATGACCAGGCGCTGGGCGAGGAGTGGCGGGAGCTCGCGCATGTGCTGAAGGAGCGCAAAGAGGCGGCGAGGGAGCACATTGTAGTCGAGCCTGGCCGCAAGATGCGCCTGCTTCATGTTGTCGTGGGTGTAGAGGACAACGGCGGCGAGCATGGCGAGGGCAAGGCCAAAGACGGTCTCGATGTCAAAGCCGAGCGAGCCACGGTTGGTGGCGACGGCAAGAATAACGTAGACGAGCGAGATAAAGATGGAGACGATGGGGCCTTCAGGCGACGATGCGAGGATGACGTAGACGAGCGAGGCGTACAGGTGGAGGAGATAGAGGCGGAGGATGTGCTCGGTGGTGGGTGCGAGGAGCGAAAGAACCACGTTGCCGATGGCAACAAGCGCCGAGACAAGGAGGAAGGGGCCAGCGCGAGGGGAGGCAAAGACAACTACTTGGCCGGCGAGGAGGACGGCAAGAAAGGCGACGGCGGTCCGGGTGATGACCAGCCGCTCGGCGCCATCGCCAAAGGCAAAGTCGAGGACAAAGCCGGCGCAATTGAGAACGGCAAAGGTGAGCGCAAGTTCCCACCGTGCCTTGTACAGCAGGTTGCCGACCCACTTGCCGCGAGCCGAAGCGCCAACGTGGTCGTAGGGAAACTCGCCGGTCGACTCGAGCTCCTCGGCGCGGACCTTGACCACTCGCAGGGTCTCGGCGAGCTGCGCGTCGGCGAGCAGGCGGCCCATGAGGACGGCGGCGTCCCCGGTGGCAAGCCACGACTCCATGTCTACATCGTACACGTCGCCAGCCTCGCTGTCCAGCATCTCGATGGCTGTCGTCGACTCCTCCTGCTCCTCGCCCGAGTAGTCGTAGTAGTACTCGTAGTCGTCGTCGGTGTACTCGGACGCGAGGGCCGGAGCCTGCGCCGGCGCAAAGCCGTAGTAGCTGGCCGTGCCCGGCCCGCTGAGCTGAGCCGATGCAGCAGGCGCAGGAGTCTCCGACGCGACGGGCACGCTGGTGAGCGAGAGCAGCCGCGATGCCGGCTCGTGGGCGGCAGCCGCCGCGAGATCGGAAAAGGGCACAAGGTCAACTCGGGCCGAGGCGGCAATGCGAGCGAGCGCGGGGCGGGCGAGCCATGGCGGGTGGGCAAGGGCGACGGTGGCCTGCGGCGAGGCGAGGGCAACGGCGAGCGTCTCTCCATATACTTGACCGAGGGAGACAACGGCAAAGCCGAGCGATTCCGGCATGGCGGCAAGCATCAGCGGGCCCATGCCGAGCGCAACAGCGGGCCTTGCCCGCCACGACGCAAGGTGCTTGGCAGCCATAGTTGTGGCCTTGGCAATCGAAGCGGCGCGCGGCGGGAAAACGCCGACAATAGCCTGGAGGACTCGCTCGACAAAAGCGCCCTGCGCGTCGGGCGAGAGTGCACCCATGTCGGCGACGGCGACGTAGGTGGCGCCCTGGCGCACAAACTGAACCGAGTGGACACCGAGCGGGGCAAGGACCTCATCGAGGGCAGTGGCAGTAAACGAGGCCCGAATGGCGCGAGTGGCCGACAGCGTTGGTACCGTCGTTCTGCTGGAGCCATCGTGTGCCACGGCGAGGTTGACGACGACGACTAGAGCTGAGTCAAAGGTGACCGACATCGGAGTCGACGACGCACCCTCGAGTGAAGCGACAGCGTCAACCGACCGAAGCCAGTGCGGAAGGGTGTAGGCCAGCACACGCTCGCGGAGACGACCCGGAAGGCCATCTCTGGCGGCACGGTCCTGTAGGGCGCGGACGAGGCCGTCGAGAACGCGGCGCTCGATGGCTGCGCGGCGAATGCGACGCATCTTGTGTGTGGCGTGGACAACAGGCGGGATGGTGAGGGCGACAAAGAGAGCTTCACACAAGGTGGTCATAGAGCCTTGCGTCGAGGGAGCCACCATGAGCGAGATGGCGTGGGCGATAAGAAGCAGAGCTTGCAGACCACCAGCGACGGCCATAGGCAGAGGCCAGGCCAGACCGGTAAAGAGGAGCCAGCCCGCAAGGGCGATGGTTGGAGCAGCCGAGCCCGAGTCTTCCGCGGAATCGATGAGAATACGAACAGTGGTAAGGAGCAAACCAGTGGCAGCAAAGGGAATAGCCACAGCAGCATGAGCCGCCATACCCCTTGCAGCATCACTAGAGCAAGCCGAGAGCTTGCCCAGAGCACCTGCCAGAGCCAAGCAAGCCAGACCATTACCAATGATCACGGTAAGGATAGCGAGTACCAGTAGAGGAGTAGAAGATGCTACAACAGCAGAAGTCACCACATACCCACATGCAGCCACCTGACCAATGCCAAGGACAATGCCCACACGACGACGGAAGAGGCTCGAGACAACGTCGAGTGGCTGTACCGCATGTACCACCTCACGCACAAGGCTGGACAGCTCAGGGGACGGATTCATACCACGTTACTCTCGCTCTGCTGTGCTTGTAGGAGAGTGGACGAGAGTGTGTGTGTGTGTGCGTGTGGTGGTAGGTGGGGGGGGGGGGGGGGAGGGAGGGGTATGGGCCAGTGTGGGTATGACGGGGAGGGTGAGAGGACCGTGTCTTGGCCACTGGGCGAACATTTTTCGTGGTGGTGGCATGGTTTCTTTTTTCTTGACCGAGATGGGGTTGTATTCTTTGGGTGGGTATGTGGGGATGATGGGGGTGGTGATGGGGGTGGGGGGAGGGTGATGGGTGGGCGTGGATGAGCGTGGGTGGGCGTGGGTGGGCGTGGGGGAGAGTGAGGCGAAGGCGGAGGCGGGAAGAGGGGGGGAAGCTTGGTGAACTTTTTCGGTGAGGAAACGTGAAGCTGGGCTGGGGCTGTGGAGGATACGTGGCAGAGTATGCTTGGAAGGGGATCCGCAACGCTGCTGCGCTACAATAAATGCGTCAACATACCCGGTTGAAGTACACACGCGCAGCACCGGATCCAAGAGGCCAAGCCCATCTCCACGTTCAGCGTTTTCTTCAGCCGCCGCCAACTCGGCGAAAGTCACACTCTTGGTGCGACTCTCCCGAACAGCGCCATATCTATGCCCATTACTCGATCATCGCCTCCCCACACACAACACGAGCACACTTCGATCGTCCCCTCTACTCCCCCGAATGCCCTCCCCTCCCTCCTTCCTCCTCTTGCCACAATCAACAACAGACTCCCTCCAAAAAACCACCCTACGCGCAAAAAGTGGGCAAAGCCCAAGGCGAAATGCACCAAACTCGCACGAGTCAAGGGCACCTTGTCACCCACACCACCGCTCCCTCACCCACCACAGAGCCCCGGCCACAGAGAGCCAACACTTGACTCCCAAGGCAGCTGAGGAGAGAGTAGTATGTCTCAGGGCACCAGTCGGGACGGGTCGACTGGAGGGGGTCTTCTACCGCATATGGCGGGGACGGATACGGAGTTGCTCGGGGACGAGGAAGCGGTGGCAGTGGTGGAGGCGGTGGCGGTGGTGGCAACAGCACCGGTGGTGGTGGTGGTCGTGGTGGTGGTCCTGGCTCGACAACCGGATCGGTGGGAGGAGGAGGCGGAGTCGGGCAAATGACACGGGAGCTTTTTTCGTTTGTGACGGACTTTATCGTGGTTGGTGAGTTTTCGGAGCAAGAAGGACCGGTCCCGCTCATGATCTTGCCTGACGAGGATGCAGCAGGAGGCTTTGACACGGCCTCTTTTGTCGTCCGCACGCTCGCTGCCGACTACCAGAGGTCGTCGGATCCGTCAAACTCGCCGGACGACTCGCAGGTTGTCTTTACTATCCCATCTGAGGACGCCACCGCGTACATCCATCACCTCACGTTGTATGACATCCATGCCCGTGGCTATGTCCGTCCGGTTTGCATGTCGTTTGTGACCCGCGACCACGGAAAGTGATGGGCCAGTTTGCTGCGCTGCGCAAGGCCTTCTCGGCAGTCTCGGAGCTGTTCAAGACCGGTAACCAGCTTGTCTTTCTCCAGGATCTCGAGCATCGGCTCATGGATCTGCGGATGACCAAGGACCTGCTGCTGGAGGGTCACCCAGAGTTGCCGGACGAGGCGCGCGAGGCGCTCACGCCCGAAAACGTCAACGCGTTCATGACATCGATGGAGGAGCTGTACGACCGACTCAAGGCCGCTATCTACGCTCGTATCGAGAGCAATCCGCGGCTGGCACTCTTCAAACCGTTTGTGGAGACCTATGAGCGCGAGTCGGCCGCCGGCGCCTACACACCGCAGGTCCGGTCAACGCTGCACAAGGTCGCCCATTTTGACCGCGGCCTCCGCGCGCTCTCCGAGATCTGCCTCTCAGGCTTTGCCACCGGCGTCGCCCTCCTTCGCCGCATCCAGCGCAAGTTCTCCGCCTCGTCGCTCGAGCTTCTCCTCGACTCGGAAGAGAAGCACAACTTGCGTCCACTCGAGACTGGCCTCTGCATTGGCGGCTCGCTCGTCACCAACTTTGCCAATTGCATAGCGGGGTACGGCGCCAACGCGCCGTACGGTCTGGTCGCCACCTGCCGCCACAACGGCTGGGATGACGCCGACGCTGACGCCGACGCTGATGATGTGACCCGGTGTGACAGGTCCGTTGTCCCGCTTGCGCTCCGGCGGTCGCCGTCGATGTCCTCGCTCGACTCGAACTCGTCGCACCGGTCGATCTGCCTCACCGACTCGGACCCTGGCGAGCGTGCACTAGGTGAGTTTGACGAAGGCTCCAACGCGTCACGAGCCACGTCGTTTGAGGACGCGCGCTCATCGTTTGACGTCTTTGACACGCCGGCGGGCGGCGGGCAAGCGCTGCTCTCGCCGGCCCTTGGCGGCCCGCACTCATCGCTTGGCGTCCTTGGCATCCATCCGCTGCGGAGGCCCAAGAACTCGACTGACTCGCTGGCGTCAGGCTCGTCGGCGGCGTCACCGTCGTCGCCGGCGTCGCGCGACGCACCAAGCCCTCTCTCGAACTCGGCTTCACCGTTTCTCACGCCCGAGACCTTCTACGGGCGGCTGTGGGGCCACTCGGAGCGGCGGACGGCGTGGAACTCGCAGGCGGCGGCCCACGCTCAGCTCGGCGGCGGAGGCTCAGGCTCGTTTGCAGGCGGCGAGTCCGGCTCGGGCGACCTCGGCGTGCTCAACGGCACCGCGCTCTACGCACCGGTGCTGGAGCGAATGGATGTGCTTCAGTTCCGGGCACGATACTCGTTTGCACCGCATGTGGTCTACGCCCTGCTCTCGGGCCGGCTTGTGGTGGTGCATGCCCGGCCAGCGTCGCGGGCGGTGGTCAAGTCGCTCGTTTCGGCGCTCTCGCTCTTTGTGCCTGGCCTCAACCGGTCGGTCCAGGTGTGGCGGACCAAAGGTGTGGGCCTCACTGAGCTGGCTACGCTGCGACTTGTGGGCCTCTCCAAGGCCGTGCCCATCACGCCCATGCTCTACGCGCATGCTACAGTCCTCGACTTTGACGACGAGGAGCTGACTGGCACGCCGTACACCGGCGGGAGCTACGTCGACAAGCTCTTGGACGCCAAGAAAGAGTGGCCGTCGCTCGACTCGTTTGTGGCCCACGTCTCGACTGTCTATGCCGAAATGGGCATGGACACATGTATCTTTTACGCACTCTGCTGCGTGGGCCTCCAGCCCGCCTTTGCCGAGCCGACCGCAGACTTTTCCTTTCTCCCGCCAGACCTCCGCACCCTGCTCACCGAGCGCGCCGCCGCCGCCTCGCAGTCGGGCCGCTCTCTCCACGCCTCGTACCGCGAGGACGAGGCCGCCATCCTTGCCCAGCTTAACGTCCGCGGCTGCGACATCGATATTGTCCGCCATCTCGCTCGTACCGTCATGGAGGCTCAGCTTGTCCATCTCCGCGCCTCCTCGTCGCCGTCGTCGTCGGCCACCTACGGCGTCTCGATGCGTTTGTCTTGCGGCCCGGTCCAGCGCTTTGTCAACGAGGCGAACTGATGCTTTCACAGCCTGAGCAAGACGTGCACGCTGGATTTGTAGTCGGTTTCATTGGCCAGTCCCTTGCAAAGCACCGGCAATGGTGTCGAGGAGGAGGCAGAGCTCGCAAAGAATCGCCTCAGTCTCAGCACCATACTCACCGGTCACAGAGTTGTTCACACCCTGGTTGTAAACGACTTTGGCCGCGAGGCCGAGCATCGGAAGCTTGAACGCTACACACGCAGACTCGAGCGTCTCGCGCGCACTCGAGAGCGAGGACAAGAGTTGCGTCTCGTGGACCGCAGTGTCAACGCTGCAGCTGTCGCTGCGGAGCGCATCAAGGACCGCCAGCGCGTCCATGATCTCGGTCCGAGCTCTGTTGAGCTCGTGCTGGGCATTGGTACTGGCGACACCTGCACTGCGACCGATGTGGAAGAGTGGGATGGTAGTGGCACTCTTTGGCTGCAGCAGCTCGTGGGTGAGCTCTACATATCCGCGAGCCAGCCCCGTCCACTCGGGCTGTGAGCCGAGAACGTAGGGCGAGGTGGCACAGTCTTGGACTCGCTTCCAGTCTAGGCTGCCCGGGACGGACGACCACGCCACATGCCTTTCTGCGACCTGCGTGGTGGAGGCGAGCCGTGCTGCGCGCTGGACTGCGACCTGGATCGAGCGCCGCCGCGAGCCACCGTAAATGAGCTCCGAGAGGTGTGCGTCGAGCCAGAGCCAAGCTCCACCGTCATCATCACTGATGAGGTATGTGCTGAAAGTAGTCTCACTAGCGGCGAGGCCATCCGCGCGAGAGCGAGCGTGGACGGGAACCCAAGTGTTGGCCAGCGCGAGAGCCATGTCGGTGAGTGAGCACGCGTCACGGAACCCGATGCGGTCGACAACGGTCTCGTCGTCGATCGCTACAAGAGCGAGGCGGGAGCCCCAATCAGACCGCGAAGAGCTACCGGTGTAAGTCCAGCAGCTGGCTTGACTGGCCTTGCTGTGAGAAAGAGCCATTGCCACGATGGCCGATTCGGCGGTTGCAGCCAGAATGGCGTCGACGTCGCGGAGCGCTGGGCAGTTGGCGGCGGAGACAACAGCCAGGCCTGGACTGGCGCAGATAATGGAACAAAGCGCGGTGTCGTCGAGTGCGGCAAGCCCGTCGAGGTTGAGGACAAAGAGGCCGGCGTGTCGTGGGATCGGCGCACGAACTACGCGAGCAACACACGCGTCGAGCACTTCCTGCTCATCAACATCGGCCGGCAGCTGGCTGAGGTTGTTGAGAATCTTGAGGACTTGCGCAGGGTGCAGGAGCCTGTCCACATTGGCGGCAGGCGTGTCGCCGCGGGCAACCGCCATCGGGTCGACCGGGACGAGCCGACATGCCTCGCGGACAGGGTCCGAATTGGGCACAGATCCGGCGACGCCGTCCATGACTTTGCGAAAAGCCTCGACAAGGCTGCGGAGGGTTGGGTGTGGCGAGTGAACTGCCTCGCGCAGTGCAAGAAGGGTTGTCGATAGACGCTCGAGACCACGTTGTGAAAACTCGAGTCGCAGCATTGGGTACCGCTCGGCAAGACTATTGTCACTGAGGCCGAGCGAGACGTACGAGTCGTTGAGTTCGATGGCGGCGTCAATGTAGGCGCCGAGAAAGTTGGTCGACGATCGCAGCAGGCCGCCGCCGTCGTCGCCCATGCTCCGCGCCACGTAAGCACACGAGTGGAGGACAGCGTTGAGGACTTCCTCGTCGACAGCGGCGGTGTCACTCACGGTAGCAGCCCAGGCGTCAAAGCTGTACATGTCGCGCCTGCCGTCAAAGAGCAGCGACGGCCCGTCCGGCGCAGCTTCGAGCAAGCACGAGAGAACAACGCGCTCGGTCGCATCGTAGCTCTCCTTCATCAGGAGCATGAGCTCGAGTTGAGCACCGCACGAGGCGAGGAGGACTGGGCGCGGGAAGCGGGCGCCAAAGAGGACCGAGGCAAGAACCCGTTCAGAGGCGACCCGGCCCCAGTGCAGGTCACAAAGCTCGTCGAGGCTGACTGGCCTGAGCGGCACGTGGCTTGCACCTCTCCAGCCGCACGCCGGCGCGCACAGAGGACCGACGCCCTGGACCGACCAGACCGACGGCAGGCGGTCTCCGGCCTCCTCGACGTCGACTACCCGCTGAGCAACAGTGGCTGCAAGCGTAGCAACCTCGTGCCAGCGGCTTCCAGCGTTCCGCTCCACACATGCCAGCGAAGCTTTCAGATCAGCTCGCTCATCTGCACCCGCATCGACCACAGCGGTCTCGATATGCGCGTGCGACGTGAGCATGAGCAGCGAGTTGAGAGTAGCTGCCATGTTGGGGTCGGTCGGGAGAATGTCAGCGCGATCAGCGTCCGGGAGCAAGGCGAGCGCGCCGGCGAGCGCAAGAATATCGGCACCTAACGCGCGGGTGAAGCCGGCGTCAAACAGCAGGCCGACCGAGCGGCCACAAGGAAGCGGCCCGGCATGGCCGGCCTGGAAGGTGGCGACCAGCGGCTGGGCCGACATGTAGAACAGCCGAGTAGCAACCGGGCTCAGCTGGAGTGTCTTGCCCGCAACGGCAACGAGGCCGGAGCGCGGAAAGGCGTCCTGAGCCGACCTCGAGCTGGCTTGGATGAGGAGGCGGAGCGCGGCAGCAGAGTGCATCTGGAAGAGAGCGAGGTTGACGGCCTCGCGGGCAATAATATGCTCGTCGGTGAGCATGGCGGCGCGGCGGACGAGGTCTCCTGGTGCATGGCGGGCGGTGTAGGTCGACATGCCAACAAAGACCAGCCGAGGAACCAAGGCGAGGTGCGTCGTGACGCTAAAGTCGGGGTTGTGCGGGAGGAGCGGTGCGAGTCTGGCACTGGTGGCTGCCTCGACGACCATCTTGAGGCCGAGCTTGCTGGCGAGGCTCACCAGGCTTCCACCCGAGTCGTCGACAACCATCTCGGAGAGTCGCGCATCAAGCGCAGCATAGTATCGGGCGAGAAGCTGCTCACCCGAGCTTACGGTCGAGCTAAATAGCAGCGATGGCGAGGTGATCAACTCAGCAAGGCCTACAGACAGCTGCTCGCCGGCGGCGGTCATGGCGGCGGCAAGGGTCTCGGGGGTACCAAAGAGCGAGATCGGCGACGCGCTTCCAAACGGGATCATGCCCTGGGTATCAAGGGAGAATCCAGGCCTGTCGCTGAATGTAGTAGCGACTTCGCCGAGCTGGGCAACCTTGAGCTCGAGGTACTTGATAAAGACCTCAAAGTACTCGGCAGTGCCCAGCTCGTCTGCATCAACGACGCAAGCAAACTTGAGCGTGTCGAAGAGGGCAGGCACGCCGTGTGCGAGCGAGCCGAGTGAGAACAGCGCAAAGTGAGTAGGCGGCGGGCCCAGCGCCCGCAGGCTTGCACGGACAATGTCGCCAAAAATGGCGACGACGGCGATGTGGAAGTTGTGGAGCGCGGTAGCGAGCGGCTTGGCCTCAAAATTGCGGAGGTGCAAGGTTTCGTCGGCGTCGGCGTCGGCGTCGGTGTCGGCATCGTCAAAGACTGCGGCGCGGAGGACACCAGCGACGGCGTTGCCCCGTGCGTGAGCGAGCGCGGCTCGCCAACGCGCGACTGGCAGGGCAGCGGCGGCAAAGGGCGTGAACGACTCGCAGCGCAGCCACGAGTGCGAGGTAACAACCCGGGCCAGAGTCACTACTTGCATGTTGAGGGCAGCCTCGATACCGGGACGCGAGTCGAGCAGGGATTCACGCGCCGGTGTGGAGCGAAGGAAGGCCGCGGCTTCGAGGTAGAGCGAGAGCGCGCGGACTGGCGCCTGCCCGGCAGCAAAAATATCGGCGGCGGCGAGGACGTTGTCGAGGGCACTTGGGTTCGGTTCGGTGGCGGCAAGCTGGCCCAGAAGCGTGGAGTGCGCGAGTGAGCTCGGCACGACCGAGTCGAGCCATGCCATTTCGAGCGCGTACATGTGGGCATCGAGAACCGGTGCAGGTGGCGACGCCAGTGACGCCTTGGCTACTGCTGCGATCTCGACGACCAAGGGCGCTGCATGCTGGAGCGCACTCACGCCAACATCTACAGGTGGCATGCCACAACCACCGAGAGAGGGCAGCGGTGTGTCGACAAGAGCGGCGACAAGGGCGGCAACGACCGCTTCGAGATTGCCGTCGCCAGCCGCGGGTTTGAGGCGAGAAGCAGTGGCGCGGAAGGCTGCAGCGTGGGCAGACGCTGCCAAGTGCAGGTGACATGTAGGCTCGGCCGGCTCGGGCAGGTCGCTGGCAAACCGTGCGTGCAGGTGACGGCGCCATGACAGGGGCAGCGCCTCGCGGGCTGTAGGCGTGGTCGAGGCGAGAGCGACAAGCTGCGGACCAAGCTCGATGGCAACAGCAAGCGCGACAGACGAGATTAGTTCGGCAAGGTCATCGCGCGAGCCGACGACGCCTGCGAGTTCGGCCACGAGATCATCGGATGACTCGAGGAGAAGATGTCGAAGGGCACGGGCAAAGAACCGAAGAGGTCGAGCAAGATGATGGACTGAGGTCGGCGGCGGTGGCGTTGCGACCCTGATTGAGTCTTCAACCTCGTCGCCAAAGTCTTGTACGACAAGACGAAGAAGCGAGGCAAGACCATCAACGTCAGCACCATACTTGGCGGTAGTGATAGAGTCATCGAGGGCAGATACAAGGGCAGAGGCGGACTCGGGCTCGAGGTGGGTGGCTACAGTATGGAAGAGGCCAGCGAGGGTCTCGCCCGGCCGGGCGCAAGTAAACGCAGAGATCAAGAATGGAGCGACGTCGAGAGCAAGAGCAGAAGTATCCTCGGGCGACAAAGTGGCCATGACGTGGTCCAGCAGAGCGACCGGAAGCGGGCGAGGCCCACGCGACTCGGCCACAGTGTGTGCATAGACGAGGTGTGGGGTGGGTGCCTCAGAAGTTGCGACGATGCGAGCCAGGGCGCGGACCGAGGTGGCCAGCGACGGCGGCGGCGGCGAAGCCACGGCGGCATCGGTGCCAGCGGCGATAGCGACGACTGCTCTGGGAGTAAAGTCCTCGCCAACAAAGACCGAGGAGGCGAGGGCCGAAGCTGCGGCAGCAGCCAGGCCGCCGAGATCAGCCATGCGGGTGGCAGCCTCAAAGGCAGCGAGCGGAACAGGTGCGTGCGGCTCGAGACCGAGAGCAGCCGCAAGGCCATCTGGTGTAAACGTGCCTGCCCATGGCGCAACAACACGATGTCCATAGGCATTGAGCGTGTGAGCCAGGTCAGCCAGGGTGACATGCGGCGAGGAAAGGACACGATGCCAGATGCGACCTGCGGGCGAAGAGCCCAGACGGCGTCGGACGTCGAGGGTGCGAGTTCAGCGATGATGGAAGAGAGCGAGTCGTTGTAGATGTCCGAGATCGACGATGCGGCAGAGAGAGCCGAGGGGCGAGAGGCCGGCTCTGTGGCAGCACAGGCGCGGAGGAGTGAGGCAACAGCTTGGGAGCACGGGAGCTTGACAGCGTCGATGAGGCTCCAGTCTGGCATGACATAGATGTTCTCGCGGCGAGCGCGGTATTCGAGACCTGTTGCCTTTGAGACCAGCTCAAAGCCGACGATGGCAAGCGAGAAGACGTCGGCGGCGGGAGTGAGTGAGGAGAGGTCCATGAAGACCTCGGGAGCACAGTAAGAGAGCGAGGCGGAGACATAGCCTGGCGAGGCTAGCTCTGAAGCCATGCCCAGCTGCGGAAGAGCGGCGACAAGGTCGACGGCGGAGCCAAAGTCACCGATGCGAACTTCGATAGCGTGCTCGGCGGCGACAAGGAAGATGTTGTCGGGCTTGATGTCGAGGTGGACAAGGGCTGAGGCGTGGATCTGCGCAAGGCCGGAGGCGATTTGGGAGAGCCAAAGAAGCTCAGTCCGCGGAGCGGCGGGCGAAGATCCGGCACGAACGGCGCAGATGTAGCTCTGGAGCGTGCCAGAGTTTGCATACTCGGTGACCATCCCGAGGCGCGGCACGGCGTCGTCGTCCTTGATACAGAGGCCGACGATTGAGAGCACAAACCTGTGTCGGACTGCATTGAGGACACGGACTTCGCTCAGCAAGTCGCTGGCGTTGTGACTCGAGCGATTGTCGGCAAGCTTGATGGCATACTCGCTTCCACAGAGCTTTCCACGGTAGACGACGCCATGGGCGCCACGGGCAATTTCCGCAACGGAATCGAAATGGTCCCAACGAATGGCAGGGGTGCCATGCATCGAGTCGCCACTGCCGGCAAGAGACGACTCGTCGTCGACGGAGGACCGAGGTGACATCAAGTGGGGAGCAGACCGGATGACACGGGACGCTACCGGGGCCAGATGAGTCTCCCAATCCGAGTCCGAGTCCGAATGGAGAGCCAGATCGGTGAGAGGAACAAACATGCCTGGGCTTGACAAGGCCAGACCGTCGTCGACAATGACGGGCATGCCGAGCGGAATGGAGTTGGTGAGGCTGATCGAAGCAGTGAGCGAGCTTGCAGTGGTGTCTGAGTATGCCATGCAGGAAACGTCGGCTGGCGGTTTGGACGAGTATGGGTAAGCCGAACTGTGCCACGACGACGACGACGAGGACGACGACGACGCTGACGAGGATGAGTGCGAGCCGTTCCCCGCCGAGTCCTCGCTGTCCGTGCCCGACCGCGACCCAAAGTCAACCGAGACGAACGAGGAAAGCGCCATGTCGGTTGTCCGAGCGTTGGACGAGGATGAGGAGGTGGTAGTGGCGATAAAGTGCGCGTGTGTGTGTGTGTGTGTGTGTGTGTGTGTGTGTGTGTGTGGTGGAGGGGGA